GTCTTTGCTGAATCCTGCTTTGGTAGAAATAGTCGCTTGAAAGAAATCGATATTGGCGTGACTTGGGGTTGCTGTTCAGCCTTGGTGTCCTTGCTGAGTTTGTCTTCTTGATTCGCATCATATTTGGGGTGCTTGGGCAGCCAGAAGCGAGTAACGAGAACCATGGTGATAGAGAAAAGGCTAGTAAGCGAGTGTTTCCTAAGACAACATTCTTCTTTTGGACCCCTTTCATGCGGGCGCCGAAGTTTTATACAAAGGCTTTTCATTGTGAGTCGGTACTGTACCATGCAGGTAGACCCTGGCCTAGCCGAGCAAAGTGTGTCTACATCGCCAATCGGAACTCAGGGAAGTCGTAAGCGACCCCCGTGTCATAATCTCGGACGAGTTGGCAGCCGCCAGCGTCATCCAGATGGATCGGGAGTTTGACTATCACTGCACATTGCCCTTGTGTGATCGCTTGATTTGTCCAGAGGGAAGGGGTTGCGAGGTCACCAGCTCCAAGACAGGGCGCTGGGCGCTTCAAGGCATCCCAAGCAAGCCATCTGTTTCAAAATTGCTTTTTGTATTAGAAATCTTACAGAGTCTTACAAAGAATACTTTTTGGACTACTTGCGCGCGTCTTGACGAAGGTACGCATCTGAGTCTTTTTTTCAAAATGCCTCAAGGCTTTGCTCGAAATCAAGCTCTAGACAAGCATTCCAGCCACAGTGCATATGCGCCACACGCGTCCCTTCAAAGAACTAGTTGTTCTGGGACATCTGACTTGACCGGTTTACGCGATGACTGTCACGACGCGGAGCAGCGGACGAAACGGACCAACGAAGATCTGCGCATCGGCTCCCGAAGAAGGCGTTGTCCGACCAATCCCTTGTAAATCCCTGGAGGCGGTCAGTTGGAGCAAATGTAGTACCATACCATTGTTGAATTTTTCAAGTAGTACACAGTACTATGTGGCGTCAGAATTGATCAGGCGAAAATTCCAGAAGAAGATTATTAATATGGTTCCCTCAAGGCAGTACTGGTAGGCCAGCACAAGGCAGCCTATGCAAAGCCACAAATACCAACGGATTAGTTCGCGGCTAGATAGAACTCTTTTTTTTGTTACTACGGAGATCTACAGTGGCTCGACGTGTCTTCCGTCTATCGGAGATAGAGGGTGTGATGAGTCGGGCGGAGCGGATGATGCTAAAGCCGAATCCCGCACAGCTTCACATGGGAATGAAGCAGCGTGACCGCGCCATACATGATCCTAACATGTCCGCATAACCGCTGACCTGAAACAGAAAAAGACATGGGGAAGGAAGTAATCGCTCGTGATAAATGTCTCGATTCTACAATACGGGCAATACGGGCAATACGGGCTGACAATATGCTACCACGTGGAAAATTCGCTCGGTAATAGAAGTGGCTCATGGATGGACGTATAAGATAACGTCATATTGTTCAGCAATTGCAATCTGATATATTCCATCATAAAGCATTATTTCTTTTGCGAGATTATCAGTATTTGAACATATTATGGAGACCGCATGCCTGAGCCAAAAAAGAAAATAAGCGCTATAATTATCCCGGTGCTGACTGCCATCCTCGCACTTATGCACCAGTCAGTCTGCCCCGTGTCGAAATGACATGAACGCCATTGGAAAGTCAAGTATACCGACCTTTCCTCAGCCTTATGACTGGCGGTGAGATCTAAGTGACGCTTTCCACGTCACGACCATCGGGTCTGCTGATGAGCTGCTGTATCTTAAGAAGTTTCTTCTGTGACACTACAATAGGCTTTGCATGATCAAAGACCAGCTTGACCATTGTGCGTGTCGAGTAAATCACAAGATACCGTCGGACCCATTTGGTATCTACATCATCTCCAGCAGACGAACGAGCTGCCGCAGCGCCAACGGTACTTACCCAGTACAAAACACCAGACATCTTGTCCCATACGTCCGCAACAGCAGTACGGCGTAGTACTTTGAACAATGCTTGGCTCAAGTGGGTATTGAGATGACTCGCGTCGGATCCCAGACAGTTGAACGCTTCCGACTCTGCCACTAACGGGTTTCGGCATGGGTTAGCAGCAGTGGAGAAAGGTATACGCAGTAAGATTGAAGCGGTATAGATGAGCGCGGCAATACGGCAGGCCTCGAAAATCCAGTCATTGGAAGTGGGGAGGTCTGGGACGTGTGCTGAGGGAAGGCTAGTCAAGCGCTTGCGTATTGCAGTGACTCTACTACAGTACTCAGCGTTGCGCTGTTCCCAGTAGGCCGCATCTATTTTGAAAGTATCGCGAACAGTCTCAGATGCGGCTTCTTGGGAAATGAAGAGATCGGTCAAGTCCCGCATGTCTCGAAGTAAGTCACGTGTCGAGGTCGAGCAATGCGAGTCGCTAGCAATTGTCGTAAAGTCTGTTCTAGGGCAAAATACAGGCGACTCAGGTATTTCAACACCGTCAATAGTCGCTGAGTTTACGACTGGTAGATCAGTGGCAAGATCAGGTAGAGGTTCGGCTTCGCAGATCAAGTCACCGTGATAGCAGACCCTAGCATGCAAGGTTAGCACAACGTCGATCTGTGAGAAGGTTTGCTCACGCAGTGCATGTTTCTGCCAAGATTTCGTTGCCCAAACATTGTAGCCCACCACGATGCTGAAGTAAATGTGCAATACCCCGCTCGTGTACACGAAGCGCCTTCTCATTGGAGCCCGATATCTCACCCATGAGCAAGTGAAGCACGACCATGATCGTGGAATCTGATGAACAAGTGCTCTTCTTTCCCAGCCGCTGATTAACCATACCGATAATCTCGTCCTTTAGCAGGCGGGTTTGCGTGCTTTCACCTGGAATCTCCGAGTGCATGTCTAGCCAAACGGAAGCTAGGATTGCAGAACTGAGCATGACTTCGGGATCAGACAGCATGACAGGGAGCCATTTGACATGGAACGAATCGCTTGCAAATGTCCGGATACCTGATCGGGTTGTTAATTGTGTATTTCAGACGAATGAATCATGGAAATGTATGCATACAATGACGCTTGAGGAAAAGCGAGTTGACCTCCGGATGTTTGAAGTCTGGTAGCACAAAAAAGGGGTCCACACCATCTCCAATGTTACATATTGTAGTTACTTGGGCCGTGAAAAGACGTAGGATGCGCTCTTCTTGACTCTCAGCATAGTCACAGTCGTCTGAATTGGCCTTGGGGCTAGTCAGCGTCAGCAGGGCGCGTGTGGTGGACAGCTGTCGATTAGATCGTGGCATGCGTTCAAACGTGATGCTGTCGTGAGCATGCCGACGCGTGATTTGGTTCGTTTCATTTCCGTGCTGCTGTTGCAGCAGTAGACAACCTTCCAGTTCCCCTGGTGCATCTCCATGATCGCGACCATTGCGCAGGATGTGTTCTTCTAAGGGAGTAGTCTCCTTTGTGGCTAGTACTTCGGAGCATTCCTGAGGTAGCCTAGCCTCTTTTCGTGGTTTATTCCGATGATATGACATTGCGTGAGAACGCACGCTGCGTCTCGTATCGTCATTCCTGAAATGTGACGGATTGGTCGCGGTGAGGAATCGCAGTTGGAGTTTGAACGGTCCATCGCGTTGGCCTCGTCGACGTGTAGCCTGCTTCTTTACATGGTTCTCTCGGAACAGGCGTTGACCTAGTAGAATGGGTTAGCACACGGGGCCTCGTACGAGGCTCTCGACCCATACTTGTAGCGACGTTAAACTGTTTTGATGTCGGAGCCATGATACACGATCAGCGGCTTAACGGCCAAGAGCTGAGGGGTATGTCTGTGCCAATATTCGTGATTGTGGTGTAGGGGATGTGCCCTGCATCCCTAGGGCGGGTGTTTACAAAAGACATCTTTTCGGGGTTGATGCGGCGCATTACCATCCAAGGCTGAGTGGCTGATTTGGTACCACATTAGCATTTGGGGGCCAAATCGAGATCCAAGCCAAGGGCAGCACGTGTATGCAGGAAGAGTCTTTTTGCTTCCTCCAAGCCCAATAATCCTCAACTGTCCAGTCAGGAAGCCAGTAAAATGAATTGTCCGCCTCTCAATCTGCCCCACGAAAGCGCGAGAGTAATCTCGTGGCTTTTTAATAGCCTTACCAGTGTCCGGCAGTAATTGGAAGGCAATGGCCCCTCTTTGTTTACCGCTTCTTCTTCATCGAGGCAATGGTGTACGGGCGCTTCATGTGGCGAATGAATTATTCACAGCAGGTTTTGTGCTAGATATGTATATATGGTTTGGTCCAGCAGCTGTACGGTGAGTGTAGGGTCACGTGTCGTGTGTCGCTCGCGGGCGACGCCAATAACATCGCTGTCAGCAGTACTCGACGCCTTCGGATGGTAATTGCCTGGTCGGATTAGCGACTAAAAGCCCCAACACCGGTGAGAGGGTTGTCAACGGTGAGTGACACCAATCAGTGCTATGTAACAGTCCTATTCGATGGTGTTAAGCGGAGACTGTTCAGATGGGGTAGTACTAGCAATTGGAGACTCCAACATTCATCAGCAGCTTGGTGCTACCACACCCGGCAGGTATCGGATGCGAGTGACGCCAATTAGGGAAACGTTAACGTATTAGATACATAGGTAGGAGCTAGGCAACACCCAACACCAATCATATCGCTGTCGCTAACAGGCCATTATTCTGGTAAGAAGTCCGTACTACTGAAAGACGCGCACTGTCATATAGTTTCATTATGGGCACTGAATACAAAGTCACATTGGAAAATACAGTATGGCAACACATATATTAAAGTCAATTAGCTGAGTGACTTTTTACTGACTGACTGAGCAACGAAACTTCTTGACATTGGTTTTCAGTTCCATAGTAGCGTTCATCCTCGCATCACAGTACCCCAGTTTTGGTAGAAGAGATATGATTCAAAGTCATCTGGCATGCTTGTAGCAAGCAGGGCAGGGAAAACATGCAAAGAAAGTAACAGAAAGCCTTCTGGTCCGCACATATCCTCCCCTCCTTCAACCTTTCTCCAGAAGACTGCCACTTATTCCTTCAGCCTTCCCAGCGCCTTCCTAATCTGTCTTCCATACAGATCTTCATCAACCCGACATCCGTTCTCCCTCATAATCTCCCTTACACGTTTGTACCTCGCATGCATCTCCATTGGCTCGACACATCCAATATCTCCATTCTCTTCTCCTGCTGCAAATGCGAGAACGCGAACCACCTTCTTTGGCTCCACTTCGATTCTGGTGTCCATTTCGTATTCGGTATCGACATTCAGGTAATTGCTTACCAGGTGTCGAACTAGAGATAAGGGAAAAGGAAGGTGGTGTGCCAGGTATTTAGAGATGCAGTATATGGAATGCGTTAAGGCTGAGAAGATATTGACTAGAGCATTGGCGGTCGACTCGATCGCATCTGGTGAACAGGGGGTAGATTGAGGGGGAGCCAGACTGGTCTTTGAAGGGTATTCAAAACGTGCGACTATCCTCTGAATGGAGCAATCATGTTTTGCTGTGCTTCGGGTGTGCTTCTTTCGTACTCCCTTGCCCTTGATTCGATGCTGTTGATTGCTCAATCTTGATCCCTTTTCTTGATCCTTATCTGAATCATATCTTATGAATACTTCCATCTCATCTATTGAAGAATTGCTTTCTTCCGGCATGGGATGGTCTTCGTATACGATATTTGTGAGGGCGTTTGGGATTTCAGGTGCACGCACTCCATATTTTGTATCGTCCATGGCCACTGAGATATGAGGAAGGTTTGTTTTTTGAAACAGCGCCTCTATCTTGGAAAGAATATCTGGTACAATTCCCGGAGGTGCGAGTGGTAGTGTGTCTTTGAAAGTGTTCATCTTGAATAGTTGAGCTGCGCTGTGTAGTTATTCAGTACTTTTGACAAGACTGATATAGGAGCAGGAGGGCAGAAGGATGCATGAAAACCAAGTTTGAAACTCGCCAGATCACACGCCGAACGTATGACCTCTCACTAATATCGAGGACGAGCGGTGGCGGGTGAAAGGGATGCCGGTGACGTGATTGTAGACCAGTGAAAGTGAAGATAGAAGGGCTTCTTGGCAGCACTGTGATTGGGGTTGTATGTTCGAGCTTTCATGCTTCCAAAGCCGCCGTTTTTCTTATAGAAAGAAGATAGTACTACGCTGATTGTATACTGACATGGTGAACATGAACAGGTGATCTCGGCGTGCATATTCTAGTGGCCAACTTACCTTTCTCATTCATAGTGATCTGATCTAGACATATACCTGTGCGCTTATATATCGATAACATCTGCGACATTCAACGCAAAATAGATCAAGACTCCAGCTTGGAAATAATGCAAAAACTTAGGACAGAGTTTAACAAGAAGCCCAAAAGATAAGACAAAACATAATAACCGCATCAGCTTTAAACATCGGGGGTTCAAATTTTTCAAAAAGTAAACTCTACATAAGACATCCATCAATGAAAATGTTCATTCATTATGGCAGCCGGCACATTACCGAGAAAACAGTAGAGCAAACTAGACCGAACGTCTCACTACGCCACCGCAATTTCCATCACCCACTCAGGCCTCTCATGCGTTTCTGCACTTTCCTGCCCAAACTCCATTCACGACTGAACTATCCAATCCAAAAAAAAAAGTGAAGAGCCCGCATCTACCGCACAAAGAACGTTGACAGTCGAGCCCAAATCCAACTAGTCCACAAGAAGAAAAGCGCATAATCACCAACATAAACAACACCTGTGTATCCCCAAATCTCAAGCTCACATCCCTTCCCATACCCGTTTTCTTCCAACCTCCCTATCCATTCCCGTTCTAACAATGGAAATCCATCAAATACGCAACCGCAGGCCATTCTTAGATCAAGAAGGACCACCCGTACCACCAAAACCATATGCTTCGAATACGCCTTCAACAACGCATGACCGACTCGCAGCTGTAACATCGACTCCAGGGAATGCGATATCAAAGCCACTTCCACCGGTTCCCGGGTCAAGATTAAGTCGCGGTGCGGGAAGCAAAGTAGTATCGAAGCCTCTGCCGAGTCCCCCAAAGAGCTCGACTGTACAGTCGACGTTTCTATGGATCTTAGGGTTTGCGGTTTGGTTTCTGCTAATCGTGATCTTGCTACCTGTGATCACGGAGAAAGATGCAATGCCAGGATTCAATCGGTGGCTTCGAAACCGATTCACATGAATCACAAAGAGCGAGAACGCACGTTTTATTAAGTCAGTGTCAATCAACTTGGGCTACATCCGATTACACGGGAATCTCAATTGCATAATCAGCCAAACTACAATTTCGAATCGGGCTTTGTCGCATCTACCAGACTCTTCCTGCCACCAAACCCGAATAGATAGGCTGCCACTTTGCGCATCTGGATCTCCTCGCTACCTTCAGTAATCCTATACCGTCGATGATGTCGCCAGATATGTTCAAAGGGAAAGTGCCTTGAATATCCATTACCACCATGGACCTGGATCGCGCGGTCGGCTGCTTCAGTGCACAGCCTGTTTGCATAGTAATTACACATCGACACCTTGTCCCCGATCTTCTTTTCGATCTCGTTGTGCGGCATTGAGTCCATTTCCAACGCAGTCTTCCTTATGAGTTGGCGCAGCATTTCGCATTGAGTGGCGAGTTCAACGAGTGGGAACTGGATGCCCTGGTTGTGCGAGAGGGGCGTTCCAAAAGGTGCGCGTTCATTGGCATATTCAACGGATTGTTGGACACAGTATACAGCTGCGCCTAGGGATGAAGCAGCTTGTCGGATGCGGTTTTCGTGCACAAAGGCTTGGGCGACTCCCAATCCATTGTGTATGGGCCCTAAGGCGGCAGTTTCAGGTACCCATACATCCTTGATCGAGACAGTCGCGTGGTCGGTAGGCATATTCAAAGTCCTGTGGCTGGTGGTCAGTACGGTTTCTCAGCAAGGCGGAATAGAATACGCACCACTCGTACGACTCTGCTTTGAGACCAGGCGTCTCAATGGGTACAATGAAGCAAGAGATACCCTTGACCTGCCCATCTTTCCCCGACGTCCTCGCAAATATCGAACAGTGGGTGGCATCATGTATACCCGACTGCCACTTCTTGTACCCATTCAGCAACCAGCCCTTGACTCCATTCCTCGTCTCCGGCCTCCCTCTTGTAGCCATATGTGTAGCATCCGACCCATGACCAGGTTCCGTCAACCCAAATGTCATCCTAAACTTACCCTCAAGTCGCAGCGGTATAAACTCATTCTTCTGCTGTTCATTCCCAAAATTCATAAGCATGACTATATCCGGGAAGTTGCCAACCACTGAGTGCTCATTCTGAAGGTCATTGAATAGTCCTAGGCCCTTGGCTGCAAGATGCTCTCGAATGACAGCCATCCAAAGATTGCTTCCTCGCCCGTCGGCGTTACTTCGCCCACCATACTGCTTTGGCAACGAGAGTCTGTAGAAGCCGGCTTCATCTGCGAGTCTTCTGCATTCAGCTAATAGATCGTCCCATTCTTTGCGCGGCAGCCCGCCATTATCCCAATCTGTGCGAGCGTGCTCACGGCGGTGATCGAAGAACCGGTTGTTATCGTCTTTGTGTTGTAGCGGGGTTATCTTTTCTTCTATGAATTTATCGAGATCGGCGAGGTATTGTGTCAGGTCGTCGGGAATAGAGAAGTTCATCGTTGTGCGATTGCGATGTGGTGGTTCGGAGAGGGGAGAGGTAACGAATTCGAGCGGTATTGGGGGTTGGGTTTCTTTCAGCGATTGGTGTAATCTCTGGCAGCAGAGAATGGCCAGACTATTTGTAGCATATGGCAGAGCTCGAGAGTGCGCATCTTAATAATTGGCTTGGCCTCAGTCGTATACAGTGGGTGTGCTTTGCCAGGAAGACGCGTTGCGGGGAAGCACGCGCACGGATCGTGCGGAGATGCGGAGTTGAACCTCGGCCATTTCATAATGAATCGTTTTCTTTGTTCGACTCAGCATAGGTATCACTGGAGGCATCTTGTCGTCCACCTTCCAAGTACTAACACACTAGTCAGCATATGCAATTTATGGGGATTCTAGTTATCACAAAGGCTCTTTTCTCTCCAATAGTTATAGACTATACTATACCTTGCTGAGACCCTTACTTGTACCATTACCTAGTTTCAGCATTTCGTTCATTCTTCAACCCTAGTAGCGAACTGACTTATTTTTGTTCATAATGTTTTTTCAGCAGATTCATTGGCGTAAACTCCATGTTTCTTCGAACCTGGCAGACATCCTTTGCTCCGCGTCTCTTCTACATCGACACATGGTGCAATATCCAAGGCCTTCACATTGTCCCTATCAGGCATGTACTCATATGTAGTACCTGAGGGACTTAGTACTGTGCGGCTTTGATTGTCCTCCCCATATGGTCTGTCTCCTGCAATCTCAGCACAAGAGCTTTGCGGCTCAGCATTCCGACCTCCATCTGCCTGCTGCGAAGATGTCTTAGACGGAGAGAGAAGCTTTCCGTAAGGAATTTCATAGATTATACCGTTGAAGTCGTCCCAGTATGGTATGCTTTGTCTGTATGAGACATGGTTGCTGCGGCGCTGTCTATTCGGGGTTGGAGCAATGCACGTAGCACCAGTAGACTGTGCATGTGCATGCTGGAGCTGGTTTCGAGACTCGGAAGTCTCTGGTATGAGTTCAGTGCCACTTAATGGCTGATACGATGCTGAACGTTGTCGGTGGCAGTGTCTTTGTCCGCATGGACACATATCGTCTGGATTTCTTTGTGGCATATGAGGAAGTTTACTGGCTATGGCGAAGACCTATAAGAGGGCTGGTGGCCTTATTTGAGTGGTTACAGTGCAATATTCTAAGAGAGAGCCTTTATCAGTGGGATTTTTGGTGCTGATATAAATCAGCGATATTTCTCTGTGAAGGGTATGAAAGCCCCTTGGTGACTCTTTGACTGAATCATGACCAAGACATTCAATATAGGATGAGCTTATCATTGATGTAATGATACTGTACAGCTTTCATTTCACAATAAGGTGAGCTGTGGCAAAGTCGATGCCTATGCGTACGTCACCGACACATCGCATACTCAAGAAGTCATATTTGAATGTAAGATATCCATGCTTGAAACCATATTGATACACCTCATTCGGACACCATTCCTTTAATATCTATTCCGCATCTGCCAACACGTAGCCATTTCCACAAAACAAGAATTTTGTTTCATATCCAGCTTGCAATTCGTGCTCCTAAACTACCGTAAAGTGATACAAAGAGACATTCGGATACAAGAAACCCCCAGCGCCGTGCTATGCTCAACCTCGCCAGCCCAACGGATGTTTACTGTGAATAAAAACGCCCATGATGATGCATTGAGATAAACAAAACGCTTTCATACAACCCCAAAAGAAAATTCGTATAAACTTGATGAAGAGGAAAAGGGCATGGCTCAAGCCGTACCAGCCGCTGTTTTACCATTGAGTTGGGGTGCTGCCATCATGTGGCATGATATCGCTCTCCGCATAAGCTACCGAGAGCTTCGAGTCATCCGAGACGATACTCAAGCTCCCGAGATTTTGTGTCGTATCTTTGATATCTGTTGTATGGCTCTTGTTGACGTCCTCCTGTGACCAGTGGTTGCCAGTATCATGTCCACCCTGAGAACTATTCGTCGTCTTGTTTCGCGCACTACTTCCCAAGTTCTTCGTCCAATTCGTGCTGAAGTGTGGGTGGTACCGCTCATTCAGCTCCGGATCGCGCACACGGGCTTCCAGTTGTGGATACCTTTTCAGCGTAGCGTACATGTCAGTATCAATGCCTGGAACGGCTTTTGAATCGTTGCTTTCATGCGTTTGCAATCTATTACCGACAACCCGGATAGCCGCGTAGACGTATCGATTTTCTTCACCAAGGCAGTTCCACAAGGCCTCCAACTCGACTGCGAAGATTGGGCGGACAAAATGCGTCTGTGCGATGAAATTGTCAACCCGAAGAGCATCCTTGTGAAGGCCGAGAAGCTCCATAGTTTGAGCCAATGAACATGCGACAAACGTCTTCCTGGGAATGCGAATCTGTTCCATCGTAGCCATGGTGTGGTACTGGCAAGCCCTTGCCATCCAGGCAATCAACACCCTCATTGCGGCCTTGCTGCTTACCCCACGAGGTAGGCTCATTTCCTGGTAGGTTGGCGGTTCGCTCGAGCTCTTGCCGTCTTGGCGTTGTACCGTTCGGATGTACTTGTTGAGAACCCTCCGACCAAGAAACAAAACCAGTAGCTTCTTGGGAACTTGATAGGCAAGCACGACTCCAGTATCCTGCTCAATGATATCGACTGCCGGTCCGTGTAGTGCGTTCAACTTTCTCTCGGGTTGCAGATATGGCAATAGGCTATGCAATGTGTGCATATGACGAATGTCTTCCGGATTTGGATAGGGATGAGCTATACCTGAGTGGGAAGCCCATCCAGCGTAACCCAGAGTACTCATAGACTCAGCTTGTGAACTGGTTGGATAGCTAGATGACTCATATTCGTCGCTGGACCAGTGGCTTGGCTCCATGAGTTCTGATATAGCGCTGTTGTCGAGTGGCTGGCCCCATGACTGATATGGGGTGCTCCCATACTGATGTGTTTCTTCTGGATTTGGTGCGGGGTAAGTCATTGCACGGTGTGCGAGATAGGCTCCAACAATGTCTCCATGTTGCTGGTCTGAGGTGGCTCCTTGGATGCTACGTGTGAATGCTGGGGCATTTGGATTGAGATGGGTAGCAGTGACTTTGCCGTCTTTTCCATAACAGTAATAGGTAGTCATATCTTTTTTCAGATTCGGACGATGTTGTTGTATGTGCTGATGGCGCCTGTCGTGATTAAAGGTGCGTGTCGGGTCGAAAGAGCTTTCCCGGTTTGATTTTTTCCCGGAAAGAGAGGTTGCAGTTGATCCTGTGGACTGGTCTGGATTACCATCGTAGCAAAGGCGGGGGACCGGTATAAATCCAGGGCGTCGCGCTATCTGAATGGGTACAGGGGAGCTCATTGTGGCTTGACAATGTGAGCGCTGACATAGGTTGTTGTCGATTGCGACTTTTCAATCGTTCCAGGATTGCGCATTGTATATTGACACTGTGGTTGAAGATACTGGGAGTCCAGATGAAACGGTACGGACTGATCGTCTGGCGGGTGGCCGTGCGCGCGCCTTTGGCGCGCCCAATCCGGTTACATTGCTGGGATGCAGGTGAACGCTGTGCCAAGACAATGTCACGTGCATGAACATCGTCTCTCACCACTTGTAAAGATTAGGCAACGCCCATAATCAAGATGTTAATAACATAAACCGGTAAACTTATATTTGGGTATGTTTGGATACTTTGATATATGATTTGGAATATATTGTCATTGGTGTGGCAAGTGTGATTGCAAAGCCTATGGCGTTTGGGCAGAATACAATGCCATAGAAGTGTAGCAAAGAAAAGCAAATAAAGAGCGGTTTGTATCAGACACTGTTTCCGAATTCTTACTAAATCTTCCTGTCTCATGTGGAAATAATTGCTTGAGACATCTAGTGCTCACAGGAACGACCCAAATTCTGGGTACATCGCATTAGGAGATACAAGGAGTTGCATCTTTCACAATAAGTATTGCAAAGTAAGTAGGAAGACTGTTAGCTTACAGCACGAAAAGGAAGGTAATGACGCAACAGCACTTGCTTCCAGACTGCACATCAGTCTTGCATATTCACTTGAGTATTTTGGTAATATCCATCTGTTCTCAAACTGCCACGATGACTTGATATCGCATACTGTTTTTCTTGGGCTGAAGCATATACTTTCATCAAAGAATTTTCAGTCTTCCTCGTTGACCTGATTGATACGGACCTTTCCACATAGTCTTTCAAAGACATTGTGGGATGCAAGATTGTGAACCGTCAACCAGGTTGGAAGATCGGTTCGTAGCTCTGTTTTTGATGTTCTCTGACTTTGTTTACACTTGAAAAGGATACCGCTTTGATGACGGGATACCCATTTCCAATGTTGGCAAGTCGTTTAATCAAGATGTTTTCCTACCAACTTGAATGAACAACATTGCTCGGAACGATTGGGATCTATATGTACCGTAAACACGTGGAAAGTGGAGTCGAACTTTAAGTATATGGTTTTTAGCGAGGCATCAGTTATTGAACACGTTGTTCGAAAGAAACATGTTCCACAGATACCATCCTATTTGCCTGCCAATCGTAGAGAGGTGCTCATTGCCTGAGAAAGTGTACATTGTATCGTGTGATGCGATGATGCTAGGTCAAGGCTGGCGTTGAGATGGCAGGTGTCTTTGCCTCTACAAAATCCTCCCATGTGAATGCATCGTTTCCATGAACCATATCGGTGAGAGTCAAACCGGGTGAAGCATACAATATGCTTGGCTATAGAAAGCGCAAAGCGAGATCAACGGGTGGGAGGATCGAGCAAACAAAATATGCGTTGCCAACCGTTGGTACTGAGAGATGAATAACTGACCAAGCTGTCAAGGACAGACTTGTGAAGATTCTGGGACGTTCCGCTAGGATTTGAAGTCAAATCTCTCGCGTAGGGGAGTGAGACGGCCAAGCGGTGATCACTAGGTCCTATGAGGAAAGTCGTGCGGCAAGGACTAGCAAAGGACATTGTGTACAACAACAACAAAGTCCCGGGTGATGTCGAAGTCGATGGCAAAAAGCCTCAACGCTATCGATACTGGCTATGGTCTTCTCGCCACAGAAATCTTACCATGTATTCCTTTTTGAGTGCGGTGATTGCAGCGACGTTGGATTTATTAAGGACGCCCAGCTTCGCGCGGCGTCGCCCTTTCGGTTAAATGGGTAATTGCGGGTGGCTGTGATTGGCGGTTAGAGCTAGAACTGCTGCAATGCACGCTAAATTACTAGCGGGAAACCGATGGTGGCTTCACAACCGCGTCCAACACACGCAGATGTTCCTGTCGTCATGGACATGATGTGAAGTCAACCGATAATCACTATGGTGGCGAGGGGAGTGTGAAAGAGACATGGTATGAAATCCAATCTGGTAAGCCGGGGAATCGGACGTGTCAATTTGATGCATGCCAACTGCATGATAGATTGTTATGCATGTTGATCATGCTTGGAACGGTTGGCGATCAATCCCCAGCAAAAACACGTTCTCTACTTACTCGTTTGCCACCACGACTGCAGTCAATATCATGAGATACATGAGTACTACCGGATGAAAGGGTAGGCAATGGAGTCAGGAAACATCCTATTAACCGGCCAGCTTCGACGTTCACTGCAGCCCGTTCTGCATGCACTCCTCTCAAGCGAGTGGGACCTGCATTTCACGTGTTCAGACTATACCCCAGGAATGTCCACTTCATTCAGGCGTCCAAACAGTCTACCCCAGAAGCGGGAGCTTGGCCCTGTGCTCCCGAGGTCCAAGCCGGCTGATTTGTGGACTAGTCTGGAGAATCTCCACAAACCGCTAGCACTTGGCGCTACGGGGTAGATTCCAAGAACGTCCCTAGAAGATATGCAGACGCGAGAGCCCAGGACCCGGTTAAACTACCAAGTTGGCGTGAAGACGCACCGCCGGGGCGGATGGATTGATTAAACGCGGAGACGCTAGAATTTTAGAATAACCGTCGAATGCTATATATGTAGGAACATCATCTGTATTTTGAATGTACTGTGGCAGACAGCTCTAATCATAACGAGTCTCAGCATCAGACACCATGCATCTCTCTAGCATCCTCGCCAGCTTGGCTCTTGCCAGCTCTGCTGTTGCCGGCCCGTAAGTAACATCGCACATCTAGTCACGAACAGGTTCACTTACATCACCCTCAGTGTTCGTCCTGGCCCCAGTGACAGCCTTTACAAGGCCATGGAGAAGGCCGGAAGGGAGTTCATTGGCACTGCCCTGACCCTCAGGAATTCCAGCCGGGAAGACGAGATCATGAAGGCCGACTTCAACTCCTTCACGCCTGAGAACAGCATGAAGTGGGAGTCCGTCGAGCCATCTCGCAACAACTTCACCTTTGCGGATGCCGACCGCTACGCCGCATACGCGAGGAAGAACAACCTCGAGGTCCACTGCCACACCCTTGTCTGGCACTCCCAGCTCCCCGTCTGGGTCTCCGGCGGCGGTTTTGACAACAAGACCCTGATTGACATCATGGAGAACCACATCAAGACCGTCATGACGCGCTACAAGAGCGTCTGCACCCGCTGGGACGTCGTCAACGAGGCCCTCAACGAAGACGGCACCTACCGCGAGTCCGTGTGGTACAACACCATCGGCGAGGCCTTCCTACCCATTGCCTTCCGCTTCGCCAACAAGTACCGCGGCAAGGCCCAGCTCTACTACAACGATTACAACCTCGAGTACAACGGCAACAAGACCCAGGGTGCTGCCCGCATCGTCAAGCTCATCAAGTCCTACGGAATCCGCATCGACGGCGTCGGCTACCAGGCCCATCTCGCCAGCGAGCCCACCCCCACCGCCCCCGGCGCTGCCCCTGACCAAGCCACTCTCGAAGCTGCCCTCCGCGCCACCGCCAACCTCGGCGTCAAGGTCGTCTACACCGAGATCGATCTCCGCATGAACACCCCTGCCACCCCCGAGAAGCTTCAGGTCCAGGCCGATGCTTTCGAGCGCGTTGCAAAGTCCTGCCTTGCTGTTAAGCAGTGTGTTGGTATGACTGTCTGGGGTATTTCCGACCAGTACTCTTGGATCCCTGGTGTTTTTGCTGGTGAGGGTGCTGCCCTCCTCTGGGATGAGTCTTACAACAAGAAGCCTGCCTATGCTGGTTTCTTGAAGGGTATCAAGGCCAAGAAGCACTAGATTTGTCAATGGTTTTGGGGATTCTTTTGTAGATACATATGAAATATTTTTATGATGGCCACGTTAATAACGTGGAATGGACATTGCACTTCAAATCATTGATCATTTGATGTTTTGTATTTTGGTTATGGTATGTTTGGACTACCATCTTGATTCGTGTGAATACATGAGCACTATTGAAGCTGTGCCAGTGGATTGAATTTCTCCTTGTCGAACTCCATGTGACCTGGCCTACCGTATGCATTCTGACCCTTCCACCAATATCCAGCCGTTTCCCTTTCCATCATATCCCCTCAGTAACCAGATTGAAAAGTTGAAACAAGTACCGGCAGTTTGTAGCGTGGGTAGTGATTGAGATCAGATATCTCTGTAGCTCCAACCATTGTGACTATCGGCTGTTCCGACCACGCGACCCAATGAAAAGGCTCAAGGTAAATACATCGGCGACAGTACTAATCATCTTATCGCTCATACCTGGGTTGCTCAGCTCGTATTCCAAGGCCTTTCGGATCTCAGTCTCGAATCTGTTTGCTGCAACAAAGGAGCGAACTGCGACGTCCATACTGCTCAGAAAGCTAAGCTTTGTCGCTTCGTATTCATCATCATTCTTCAGAATCATGGCTGCAATGGAGTGGTGGCTACCAGTTCATTCCTTGATTGCTGTGTTGAGAGTGCCGGCTGCCATCTCTTTTATCGTATGCCGCATGCCGTGAAGACCCTCAACGTTGCTCAAAGCCTTGACCAATATTTCATTTGTACCAAACTTATATATCATGCCAATTTTCGCATGATGTTCGTTCTTGTAGTCGTCCCAGGCCCACAGCGTTTTGTGAATTCCAAATTGTGCACCAGTGATATCGATGATCCACCGCTTCCCAGGCACGGTGATGCGGAGAATTTCATGAGCAAATGCCGAGCAATCTACAGGTTGTTCGCCGCTAGTCCGAAAGACAACCTTTTGTGTAATCTTGCCGAGAGTGGCTTTGCACTCTTCGACTTTGACATCCATTCCTTTGGGCTTTGTGTTAGTATGGGACTTCGAAAATGGTAGTCAACTTACCTTCAAGCGAAGCGCTTATCATATCCTTGAAGTATGCCAGTGGATCGTTGCAGCTAAAGGCAGAAAGGATTGTATTCCTTTTCTGCTCGCTCATGGGAAGATGATCAGGAAATTTGGAGAAAAAACTCGGTTCTTGGGAAAGGCTCGGATGGATTTCCACACAATCACCACGGACCATGATCGCCGCCACAGGGACGTCCCAGGTGTTTTTGCGGAAGATGTAGTAAACTTGCTGCAAGATGTCGGTGATCCGCTCAAGCTTCTTCTCCAGGCGCCGATTACGGAAGTCCCTGCATCGTTTCTTGTGCGCCGGCCAATCCGTCTCCTGACACGTTTTCCCGCAGTAGTAGCGTGAGTATGTATCTGACTTGCAGTCGGGGCACTTCGAGGTAGCTGGATCGCCACAAACAACGCAGATTTTCTGAGGCGCGGGAGCCATTTTGGCGTCAGTGGAATGGAGAATAGATCAGTGACGATGTTGTGAGTCCACGATGAGATGCGGGTAGTGGGAGAGGCTTTATATCAGAACAATATATATATATATATATATATGTGTGTGTGTGTGTGTCTGTTTCGTTTTGTGTAGGCAAATATGAAAGTGAGGGTGAATGAGCAGACAGCACCACGTTTGCTCAATGTACAGTCAATCCATCTTCACCCAACGTTTCCCTCCATATCGCATTCAAGTTTGTTTTCACGGAACAAGATAGAAACGCATTCCACTCTACTATAGAGTTTCTCCCTCTACCTAGATATCCTAGTGAAGCCACAACATCGTCTCTGATTATTTCCCTTTCCATTCCACTGACTCCAGAATGCCTCCCGAACCGCAAGGGATCTGTGCTGCATGCAAAAAACCAGCTTCCGATGTGTGTGGCGGTTGCAAATCAGATACCTACTCAGTTTACTACTGTGGCCAAGTGTGCCAGAAGAATGATAGGCCAAATCACAAGAACGCATGCAAGGACGCCCAACTGGAGAAAGCCCTTACCCGAATCGCCGAAATCGCTCGGCAAGCTTACCTCAACTTCCGCGAAACGACTTGGGACATCCCTGTGGTGAGAATTGACCAGGTACCTGACGGTCTGGAGATCCACTGAGCAGATAAGACAAAGAGCAGCAGTCACTTCAGCAATTTTCCTGCACATATGGCAACATCCCAAAATGTTCGTGAAGCAGCGCTCGTTGCTATGCATTGCGACGAGCCACAGGCACACCTACATGGCCTCATCAAAGCCCTTACTGAAGGTAGTTGGCCTTCATCAAGTTTTTACGGCACTTCACTAACAACCCTTTGATAGGAATGCCGGTTGAAATTGAGGAACTTGAAGTATTTCTTCGGTTGATTAGTCAAAAGGTGACCATCTCCCGTGAGGGTGCCGGCACGAATGCGAACTGGCCAAATTACAGGCATGCAATTCTTCGCATCAGGTCCGAGAAGACGAAAACGCAGTGGATCATTGACATTACCGGTGCACAATACGGAATCCGTAGAGCGTTATGGAAATGGAGAGATTATGAGAACATGCACATGGCAGTTGTCGCAAGAGTCTATGAACTCGGTTACTTCAAATATCTCCTCGACAAGGCGAGCAAAATTCAAGGTATGGATGGCCTTAGTTACAGGGTAGGAATGCTCGCGGCTGGCAACCTCGATCAAGCGATCACAAAGTGGGCGGTTGGTCACAAGAAGCTCGCCGAGATTATCGGTCTAGACGAGGAAGCATACCAGGTAGACAAGGCTAGCCTACTGGAGAGCATGGACACCGCAGTTCGCTCCTTTGTCGCAGCGAACAACTTCAACGCTCAGTTTAGAGAGGCAAAGGCTTACGATCGGAAATACCCAGGTAAAAGTGCGAACGAAATCATCATGATAGCTAAGACGTATTGTGAATAGGCTATCTGCTAGTCGTATGGAAGGGTCTAAAGTTACCACCTGTTTGTCGAACTGATTCTGCTAGCAATCTCCTCGTTTCTCTCTTATTGTCCGGAGCTAGTTAGTAGCAGAAAGAATATGGTGGCATGTACAGATATGGTTAGGCTACATATGACCTCATACCTGTGGTTACTGCGTCAGCGCTACAACTGAACAGGTGAATAATGTAAACCTCATCTGTAGATTCGAGCATCAAGTTGCAAGTCCAGAATAGAAGTCAAAAAGGAACTGTACGACAAGATGTCAAATCAATTATATCACGTGCTAATGCATGCGCATTCCAGAGGCACGGAACCTTGGTGGTGAGTCCCCCGCGACAATCAGGGACGCGACAAGGATATGCGCGCTAGTTTGCTAGTTCCTACGTCATCGTTCCGCAACTGAAGCTCCCCATACTACATAACACGACTTTTTTCTTGTCCACTTCCTTCTCATTACTTTGCAATCTCAATTTCAGCTCTCAATTGACAACTACCACCTCTACATCCTTTAATTCATCCCACTTCATCTCAATTTACTTCACAATGGGTTGGTTTAGCTCCGACGAGAAGTCTGTTCTGGCTACGCATCCTGTCAACCCCGACGTCACAACAAAGTCAGGTTCTGGTGCCGAGCAAGACCGATACGCCCAGCACTTTTCCTCGGATGCCATCAAACGCGGTGTCGACCGGGGCCTTGATAAGCTCCAGAACGCAGCCAATGCCGCCGGCTCGGGTGCAGAACAAGACCGCTATGCCTCGCATCTCAGCATTGGCGACCGGGGCTACAGGGCTATCAAAGAGGCTGCCAAGTACCAGGGTGATGGTGCTGAGCAGGACAGGTACAACGCGCACTTTAGTCCCGCGCTGCACAGCTTTGATGCCGTAAAGGCCGTCCAGGCAGCAGGCAGCGTGGTCGCCAATGGAGAGAAGAATGCTAGCTGGTATGGCCTGGGCTACGATGGTCGACAGAGGGCCAAATTGATGGCTGGCAGCGGTATGGGGGCTGAGCAGGTAAGCTCTTCATTGTGACTTGAACAGCACCAGGATACTAATATAATTGCAGGAACGTCTCGGCTCGCATTTCGGCCTTAGCAAGGACAGCGTCGCCAATGCTGCACAGAGAGTGAAGGACGGTGCACAGGATGTTCTTTCTCGGAGATGAGCAGTTATCATACGACGCGATCACGATTGCCACAGCTGCCACTGACAAGTTCGTCGAGTGTAAAGTTGTACGGCTTCATAATTGTAATTCAACATGCCATGTACCAATACAAAATGAATTCTTAGAGCATCTGCAAAGCAATGGGTATGCTTCCTTATATGCCAATCAACATCATCTTAGTCCGACGCGTCTGTTCAAAAAAAGTAGATACTACACGTGTTCATGAACAATATAGCAAAAATCTCGGCCATGAGCTGGCATAGGAATCTGCAAATGCTATGAAACGAGTTGATGTCTTCCCAGAATGAAGCTCTTACGCTAGAGTGATGTTCTGAATTCTTCGTGTCTAAGTGGCTTATTACCATGTGTGTCTCACATCGCAGTAGGTAAAGTTAAGGATAGTTGGATAGCCCACTTATCATTTGTAGTGGATTCAGCCGGTGGCAAAGCGTCACGAGGGCGTTATACTGTGCGATAACGCTGTAAGCGAGCGCATCTTGACCTATATTTGTAAGTTGGGGGCTGTACACTGGATTACAAATAGAAATAGCATGCAGCAGTAGCGTTCTGGAACAACGCATTCTTGACACATTCTACACACTCAGCCTTGTGCCAAATCATCGTGAACAATGCCCCCCAAAGAGTCCCCAACCCAGGGATCTTTTGGAAGCCTTTCACAAGCAGCAGAGACACCAGACGACGGTACTCAAGTATGGTATGAAGAACCTATCGAGATTTCGGGCTACAAGCTTCATACGAAAGTCGAGCAAAATGTACAGTCAGTAGTGGAGATAGATCCAGGATCCAATCGAAATCGAAAGTATACAGCAGGTTTGACGGCTAAAAACCAAACCAAATGGAACGATTCGGTTTATGCTCTCTTGAAGAAACTTGCTATCTCCTGGGCTGACAGCTGGATCTCTGAAGCACTTAGTTGCGCTGTGGCTGTCATTGCGTTGATATGCCTCATATCGGTCCTCCGCTATTTTGACGGCTCCGTCTGGACGAACCTGCCGCTCCACATCTCCATCAACGCATTAGTCGCTGTACTCGCTGCGGCGATCAAGGCTTCAATTCTTCTACCAGTCGCCGAAGGTACGCACCTGGAAAGGCAAATTTTTCGGTTTACTCATATACGTGTGGACAGGGATAAGCTAGCTAAAATGGCAATGGTTCTCTGATATCAAGCCACTAACTGGCTTCGAGAAATTTAACCTTACCAGCAGAGGAACCCTAGGATCTCTACTACTTGTATTCCGCTTACAAAGTCGGTATGTAGGTGGTGAGCTAATGATGGATCTTACTAATAAGTGTTACAGTCATCTAGCTGCCTTCGGGGCCTGAATCACAATTCTCGCATTCGCTATCGATCCATTCACTCAGCGAATTCTTCGCCCAATATCTTGTCACAAAGTCTCCACAAGCTCAGTAGCGCGCATACCCCGCGCAACGAACATGACAGAGATGTCAACCCATACTGGTGGAGGTGGAGAGGTCCTCGACTCTGACATTGCCGCGTCGATTTATATTGGCCTCCCCAGTGAGCAGAGCCTTACTGGGTATGAGTGCTCTACTGGTAATTGTACTTTCCCATCGGCACCCGGGTCAAACGCAAATTTCCAAACCCTTGCTATGTAGTCATCCTGCGTTGATGTTACGAATGAGACGAGGCGTTTTCAGCAGTCTTCAGTGTACTATATACCCAGATTGGGTAATTTCTCGACAGGAGTTAGAGCTGATTTTGAAGCACTTCGGACCACGTCGATTGCCCATAACAAACTTCGGTTCCCAGAATACTGGTCTTCGGGCACCGAAGAGTCAACCTTCTTTAGCTTCACTGTTCTTACCCTCACTGTGGACTGGGCGCATTACAATACCGTAGATGCCTCTTTTAAAAACATTAACCATCCTTTTTGCCGCAGAATGCCGTATATGGCCGTCTATTCAAACTATCGAATCAAGCATCGAGCTATCCGATTTGCAAGAGACTGTTTTGTCGGCAGAACCCCTATCGGGCCCCAACTCACCAGGCTCCGTCAAGTTTCCCTTCACATATATATCTACGAAAACTTTGCGCAATGGTACTTGGGAGCCATGCACATACAGTTCAATGTACTCTTCAAAGACTCCAGTCCCAGTCTTTAATAACACTCTATGGATCGATGGAAGATACCTCGACGACCCTGATGAGTTCCAATGGTATCCAGAAGACTGTGTATGGGTTATAGACCAATCCACTGAAAGAGCGATCATGTACTGCCTCGAAGATCAATTTGATAAAAAATCACTCGTCCTAGCATACGGTCCTCAAAGCCCAAGCGCTTCCTACGGTGAGCTTTGGACCAAGAATCTTTACCGAAATGGTACCGCGAATCTGGACTCAGTCGAAGCCTTCACGGCGCGATTGACGAGATCAATGTCAGCTTCCATTCGACTATTCGGCACGAAGAGGAGCGAGAAGTTCGGTTTTGTCCAAGGCGACGCGGTGCAGACTGACACGTGCGTACAAGTGCGGTGGGGCTGGGTCGCTTTCCCAGCTTGCATCGTGGCCATGACGTGCATTTTCCTTGCCATTACGGCCTGGAAGATACACCGTAGTGAGGCCAAGTATGGAAAAAGGACGTGCAAATCTTCGAGTTTGGCAGTGCTCTTTGGAGGGTTGGATGAAGCGATTCGCCAGCAATGCGGAACAATGACTAGAAAGAGCGAGATGCTGACTTGTGCGAAGGACTTGGAAATAAGTTTGAGACCCCAGCAAAATGGTTGGAGGTTAACTAAAGGGGACTAGATTAGTGTGAGTTCTATGTTGTACATTATGATAATGCTACGCTACGGACATGAACCGATTGAAAATTCATAAAGCGAAGAACCTAGTACGAAAAGATCAGCCAATACCATGGCCTCTTTTCCTAAATCCCGAGTTAGGTAGTAGGTTGCATTTCTAGTCCCACAGGTCGTCTTGCTCTTATTACGAGATCGTGTTGATCTTTACATCTAATGTTGTTGAAATCACCAACCCTGGCGCTTAGGCTTGCGTCCACCACCCACCGTAAGCCCCCTTTTTCTCTGACCTCAGCTCCGTTACTCACTCTGTTATCCGTCTCCATTTACCCACCATTTTAGATCAGTAAATACCGGTTAGCGTTGCAGCTGTGTATATCCAGATTGGGACAGAAAACGGAGAGGCCTGGCCACATAGCTAAACGGAGTTTTAAAATCTCACTGGTGGTCTTGACTCCCATTACTAGCTAGAAAACAGAGGACCTCTTGGCTGAAAGACGGAAAGCCGTGCGTTAAAACTGCACGACATACGGCTTCTTGTATTAGCGCTGGGCTAACGGAGTGGAGCTCCGTCGACACGATGGCGCCCAGACACCCGTTGTACCGAACACGATGCCATATCCATTTTCATCTCCGACTTTTCTGACGGAGCCTGGGTTAGGTATAGCCAAACGGAAAACGAGCCGGAACCGAACAGGCCCTAAGCTCGTCAGCTCGTCACGTGACGTACCACGAACTCTGTATACCGTTACACTTTGGCCGTATGTGGTATGAAAAGCTGAAAACCCATGGATTTGGTGTTGAGACAGCTGCAAGATATTGATGTGTTGGACAACGACGCGTCTCTTCCCAATGTAGCATGGTCTGTACGCAAGACATGCATTACTTCTGCGTTGCCTAGGGGAGCTCACCCGTACCACAATGTTTTGCTGCATCGCCGAATGCATCCCTCCCCCAGCTCCCCAGGTTCTGGGAAATTGCTTATTCTATCGAACAGGCATCAAAACATACTTTGTGAATACTCATCTCATTTCACAAGATAAGTAGACTCATCTCCTTTTTACAAGGTATACTCATCTCCTGTTGCATGGTAGACTCAATTCATCTCCTTCCATAAGGGAGACCCAACACCTAGCCTCACTATAAAAGACATCTGCTAAGGCAAGACAATTCTTGGACCCCGTTCGTTCAGCCAATGAACTAGAGGGTTCCCGCAACCTGATCGAAAGAGAACCCCTCTCATCGCCGCTCCGGTCTCCCGACAACTACCGCAAGTCCCGCTCAGCACCAATTATGGGTGAGGCGTGACGCCATTACGCCATTGCCGTGGTATTCTAACGTTGTGCACCTTGCAAAAGCTATGCCGCCTCTTCGGTCATACTATAGGCGTCGATCCCAATTCTATCCGATAATGCCGGACCTGCATGTGTGGCTTTGCTACGAGTATACCTCGTAGTAACTATGAATTTTCAATTGCTCCGGGGCTCTATTCACGGGTTGCGCGTAGCGCCGTGTGTAGGTACCACGGGAATGCCCTTGCTTGGCTTCCCCGCACGCCCGGCGGGCGCTGGGTCAGCATTGGCACTTGTCATCGCCGTCTAGTACCAACAATCAAGTATTTTTTTTAACCTTTGAGAACTCCGCGCAGTTCCGCTGGGTGGGCTCACATCGACAGTTGGCGATCGACACTGAGCTTCGATCTTGCGTGACGGTACTAGACTGGGCAATGACCAATAGCGGCTTGGCCCCACCGTCGTCTACCCAATGTGTAGTCGTTGCATTTCGGTGGTACACATGTGTACTTCCTGTCGGTACCTTTGGTGGCTCTGTTGAGGTGTCAGCTTACGGATCTTCTGTAGTAGGTTCATACAAATTTGGTCGCCAGAGGTCGAGGTCTGGTCATAAATGGCTATGCAAAATATCTTTCAAGAAGGCATATATACCTCCTCCTCTCGGCTGGATCTTGACTAAAGAAGATGGCCCCACCTGCGAGGGTACTAACTTGGACCGAAACTTTACGATATATCAGCCCTGACAAGGGTATGCGGGATATCAGCCTAGCCAACTACGAAGCTTCAGCCGTAAGCCTGTGTCTTACGAAGGCACTGCTTTTTTGCCTACCCAGGTCCAAGAAATCCTGAGCACCCGTGCTTGGCCCCCGGGAATGGCAAATAGTTGCTCAAGTCAAATCATGAACTGAGAAGTATAAAGACTTGTATCTTTTCCAACTTTTGCCTGATGTCCGCATTCGTGCCTTTCTCTCACTCCAAGGCCAGGGCTATATGTTCAGAGCGTCCATCTTAATCGATATTAGTACCCCATAGCCCAGACAGTACTCTAGTATACCTTAAACTTATTTCAAGATGCGTCACTTGACTGTCGGTCAAGCATCGACATGCGTCTTGCTGACGCTGTCTTCACTGCTACATGTCACTTCGGCATGGCCGTCATTTGATTTCTACAACTCGCAGTTTGCAAAGCGGGCAGACGCTACTACTCCACGCGGAAGTGCTCCAGATGATGATGCATCATACAACGAAGTGTACGACTTCGTTGTTGCCGGAGGTATGTTTCGCTGCGTATTTCCAATCCATACTGCAACCCTTACCTGGAGCTTTTATGAAGTTATTTCCGTGTTCATTGTTATCTGTTAATGTATTGAAAATATATAACTAACAATACGTAGGAGGAACGGCTGGTTTGGTACTAGCAAATCGCCTCTCTGAATCTGGGCGCTTTTCCGTGCTTGTGCTTGAAGCTGGACCAAGTCCAGAACAAGTATTGGCCTACGAGTCTCCTGGAGGCAATCAGTTCATCAAGGGTAGCTTACTCGACTGGGGATTCATAACTCAGCCACAGGTGCACTTGAACAACCGTACCATTCAGTACCTTCGTGGAAGGGGTCTTGGAGGTTCCAGCACAACCAATGGTCTTTTCTACGGTCGTGGTTCAGCCAGTGTCTACGATCACTGGAAAGAACTCGGAAACGACGGATGGGGTTGGAGCGACGTGTGGCCTCTTTTCGTGAAGAGCACCAAAATCGTCTCACCAAGTTCATCGGATGCGTTGGCAGCATTCAACCAAGACTACAAGACCTACGAGGCTAGTGCTTATGGGGACGGACCGCTTGAACTCGGTTTCCAAGGATACGTTCCCCCTGCCACCGAAGGCTTCATTAAAGCTGCTAGCGAGGCGCTCAACATTCCCATTGTCAAGGACCAGAACCTTGGAGACAGTGTCGGTGTCAAGCACGGAACTACAACACTCAATGGTAACCTTCGAAGAACGTCAAGCTACACGACATTTTATCAACAGGCTCGTCAGCGTCCCAACCTCAAGGTCCTACACGACTCCCCTGTTACCGGGCTCAAGTTTGACACAACCGGCGCCCGACCTCGTGCTATCGGTCTTAGCTATGTCCATCACGCCACTGGCTTCGTCAATACCGTCAAAGCCCGCAACGAAGTTATCCTGAGTCTGGGTGCCTTCCACTCGCCCCAAATGCTCATGGTCTCGGGCATCGGCCCCAAGGCTGAGCTCGAGAAAGTCGGCATCACACCCCTCGTAGTCAACGAGAACGTCGGCCAGCACCTCAACGACCACTCGGTCTTCTCCATCATGGCCCGCGCCCAAGACAGCGCCTCAACCACAGACATGTCCCGCACCCCCGAGAGCCTGCGTGCTGCCCAAACAAAGTTCTACCAGAACCTCACGGGCCCATACACCGCTCCCTCGGGCGTCACAAACGGGTTCCAGAAGCTCAGCGAAGACGAACTCCGCAGCATCGGTGCCGAAGCCGTCATCAACGCCGGTCTCGCAAACCAATCCCACATCGAGTACCTCTTCGAAAGCGTCTGGTACCCCTGGATCCCCACCCCGTACTGGTCCCCCCGCTCCAACGACTCCTACATCTCCGTCACCGCATCCAGCCTCGTCCAGCTGTCCCGCGGCACCGTAACACTGCGCACGGGATCCATGTCGGATGCGCCTCTCATCGACAGCAACTACTACGCCGACCCCACCGATGCCGCCGTCGGTATCGCGTCGTTCAAGTACCTGCGCAAGATCCTGAGAAACCCTGCTCTCTCGCAGTTCACCATCGGCCCCAACTCGGGTGAGGTGAGCCCTGGATCTGCCGTCGCGGATGATGACGATGATGCTATCTTGGAGTATATCAAGGCGAATACTATTCCTAATTGGCATGCCACCGGTACTAACCGCATGCTGCCCAAGGATAAGGGAGGTGTTGTGGATAACAAGTTGAAGGTGTATGATGTTGATGGGTTGAGGGTTGTTGACTGCAGTATCGTGCCTGTGCTGCCTGATGTGAATATTGTGGCTAGTATCTACATGGTTGCTGAGAAGGGGGCCGAGATGATTAGGGAGGAGTGGGGTGATGATTGAATGGGATCGTAATGCGTTATGAAGAGAGAGTGAGGTGTTAGCAAGATGTTAAAGGCTTAAAGGTAGTCATTAATTGCTAGGAAATAATTTTTACGGAGACTTTACCCAACGCCCCTACCGTATCCCAGATTACAATCTATGTATTGGGCTTGAACTCGTGATGTCACCTTCAAGTGTGGTTTTTTCACAACCACCGCCTACTCTCCTAAGAACCATTTCATGAGATTTCGCCTCTCTTGGAGCATCACGGGGTCGTCGGGTACCAGCTCCAACGCCTTCCTAAGAAATATACAAGCATCCTCAGCCTCATCAATTGTTCCCCACATCCTAACACACATGGCTCTGCGATATAGCAGCTTCGCTCGGAGGACGTCGGAACACTCCCATGTGTATCCATCCCGCCAATACCCGGGAGCCGCCGCATCCGCCGACATTTTCAATCCGCACTCTGCCATGTCTCGTTGTAGCTCTGGATTACTTCTATTCTTACCCAGCATTCTGAAAGTCATATCTCTTACTTTGATGGTGGCTTGAGCCACGTTGAGGCCGGTCTTGAATTGCAGATCAGCAATGCTCTCAATGAAACTATCACCACCGGGTCTTTGCAACTTGTCTCAGGTTTTTCCCCTGCAAAGGCTGGCAACCTCCATGGAAACTTCTGCCCACAATATACTAGCTTGTATGAAGTCCCTTTTACGATAGAAGCCAAGTCCTTCGTCTTTCTTTGATTCCAGCGACTTCAGCACCTGGTCTGGACTAGTCCGATCCGTAGCGAGTTCCTTCTTGAAAGCGCCTGCCACTTCAGGAGATACTTATCCATATACTTCAACGTCCCTATAATCTTGAATGGCAAGAAAGGGATCCAGAAATACTTTCTGTATAGTCTCGGAGAAGTGTCCAGTCAAGTCGTCCTTGTAACGGACGTGCTTCTCAGAACGGATTGGCCCACATGCCATAGTTAGCATATCATGACCTGCAAAGCCCTCGAGAAAAGGCATATACATTGCGCAATTGAGTCGAATGAATCGGTTAGATTTCACCATGACATCATAGGCCTCGCGGTAAATCTGGTTGTTAGTGCGCAAGATAGCCATGTCAATGGAGTGCTCAACAAAGGTGAGAGTAGGCTCGTCTCTCAGACTAGCATATCCCGACTTATCATAGGTGGGGGGCTTCGTACGCGCACAGCAGATGACTGTATGCTTCATCTCTGATCTCGTGGGGCATGTCCATGAAACGGAAAGGCGGGGTATCTTCAGCCATGGTGCAAGTGATTGTGTATTAAGGAGTAAACAATTGAGCACAATTGAGTAGGACCGTTGGAGAAGATTGTCAAGCAGTTGGTCCCAAGCCGTGTAACATGTTGACTGCCGGGAAGGGAAAGCGCAGACTACTAGTAATGGTCTTGGCGGTTACCGAATGGCACGGCCCCAGCAAACTAGGAAACCAACGATCAACGCGTTCTCCTTTCTATCTGTCTTCACCGGAATAAACATCATCAGCTGTACGACAATATGACTTCATCAATTTCAATCCCCCAAAGCACACCGCTGCTATCGAAAACGCGAGCCAAGTTGACGCTTCTATCCCCGTATCATCGCTGATCATCTCAAATCACGTCACAATTGCCTCATCCATTCAAGGATCTTGTCCTTCTCCCTCAAGATGCCCGGATCTCCAGGCTGCTTCCGCAGAGCCAGGTTGATGAATCCCAGGGCTCGTTCTTTGTTGCTAGGGTCCGCTTGTAACCTCAGAAAGGTTGCATACCGAAAGAAGAATTTCGCCTTGTGCGCGACAGCCACGGCGTGCTTATATCCCTTCATCCAATAATCTTGCTTAAGCGACTCGAAGGCACAGTTCAGCGAGTCTTTAGCCAGTACCTCAGCGACGAAGGAACTCTCCGACCAATTGGAAAGCTGGACGTGGATGATGTTGAGACGCATAATGAAATAGACTTGGGCAAGCTGCGAAACAAACTCCTGTTTTCCTTGACGAACCAGATCAGGCCAAGAACTTGAGACGATCAGCATGTCGATCTCGACTGCGGCGTCTTGCCATTGCAAACACCCAAGTTCAACTTGACCCTCTTGGAATAGACGAGTTCCTTCCTCCTTTGCGGTCATATACTGGGTTAGGACCGCTGCAGGATCAGAGTATGGATCTTTTGCAATATCTTGACGCAGAGCTGTTGCGACGGCGCTATCAACATGACCCTTGACCTCAACCCCTTTGTACCCATGGAGATTGGCCCTGAGGGGTGCGAACAAGGTCTTCTGCATCTTCTCTGAGAAGAAACCATCAAAGGAGGGCATTATATTGTTGCTTCGTATATTATCTAGGACAGGTGCCATCCTGATTGAGATCTTGAGAGACTCACTGAAGCCTGGTGAGTGTGCATCTCCATCTTTGATACCTTGGCAAAGTTTGTCCAGATGCCGATGCAATATCATGGCTGTCAGCGGTTCATGCCAAGCCGAATCTCTCGACGCCCTGTTGTCTCTCTGCTTCTTCAGACCGAAGTGTACACTGAGTACATACCCTTTGAACTGGTCGACGAGAAACTTTTCCTGAGTGACTACTGGAGTCTGCTGTCCACTAAGAGCACCTACAACGGGCATACCCTCCGCCGATGTCACTTTGACAAAACGGTTGGTCTTCACCATGATATCGTAAGCCTCGCGGTATGTTTCTTTCGATGTCCGAAGTATGGACGTCTCGATACGATGTTCGACGCGCGGTAAGTGTAGGACGTCTTCCATGAAGTCATCATCCACAATACCGAATTCGCCGGGTGAGTGATCGAACTCGCACAAGATGATGCGGTAGATCTTATTGCGTATCTAGAAGACGTTGGAGCTACATCAGCATATGCTGTAAGCACACCAACACATGGTCTTACTTCGCTAGGGAGATCGCGGAAGCGGAATGGCTTGGATGGAGTGCTGGGAGTCATTGTGATTTTCAAATTCTCTTAATCTCAAGATAAGGATTTTACGAGTCAATGGCAGAGGGAACAAAGATATCGAGATGAACCCGTCCCAATTGAACTATGATCGGTTTGTGTAAGACCTGTATGGAGGGAAAGTGGAGACAAGATGTGGGGGCAGATAAGCAGCTATTTTAGCGTTACGCGCTAAACGCGAAAACACGTGATCTACTACGTATCTTCAGGTATGCTGCAAGGAGAGTCTCCATACTGAGGAGCATCTATTATATAGCGATATCGATTTCAGGCCAGCAGATGAAACAAAGTATATGCTCTCTCATTCCGTCTGCTCACATTGTCCAATTGCACACTCTGGTACATCGCAAGGGTCCATCCAACACCTTCTGGCTTCTGCCTGGTATCTGCCTAATGTCATTGCACACTACACAAAGCCCCGTCGTATAAACTTTGCCTTTACTACACGATTCGTCACCTAGTTCGTGCCCATGCAGTATTTGTTGAAGGCATTTCCCTCTCTAATCCTCAATTGAAACACTGCAAAAACCACAATGGCGTCGACCCTCCCCCTCGAAATCTGGGCCGAAATCCTACAACACATCGACGACCCCTTCACCCTTTGGGTCCCCTGTCGCCAAGTCGCTCGTGGAATACGATATGAAGCAGAGCGCGTGTTTTATACTACCTTTATCCCTCTTCTCCACATTGAATGGACAGAGGCAGAGTCCATCACCAAGTACACGGAACCCAATCTCATCGCGACCCCGTACCAGCAGACCGCAGACAGCACGTGGAAGTCCTCCTCACTGACCTTGACGTTGCGCTCGGTCAACGGCTGCGAGGAAGACGACCCGGATATGTCGTATTCGGAATGGCAAGAAGAGGCACTCCGCAGAATCAACTACGCTGATGTGGACGTATGGCGAACCGGCATAAAGCGCGAGACGCAGCAAGACCAAGTTATATGGTTCGATACCCCAGATGCGCGGTATACGTTTATCAACAGTGCCGAAACGCGATTCGACCATGCCGATTTCCATGCCGTGGACGGTGAACCCAAACCGTACAACGCGCGCGTTGTGCTCGACTGGAGACAACTCATGACTAGGCTGTTTGCTGAGGAGAATATTGTACGAAAGAGGCTAGGGAGCGGTACACTGTCGTTTTGGGAGTACGCTGAGCTGCGTATCCGGAATATCCTTCGGAGTTCGGAGCGCCGCATGTGTATAGGAAATAGGATACTAAGATTAGAGTTCGAAATTTTCAGGCGCAGGGTCGATAAGTTTCTTCAGACACTTTGTTGGAATGATTGCAGATTTTATCCTCTGTATATTGAAGCGTTGGAGCGGCGTCTTCGTTGCGCGTTCGATAAGAATGGTGGGGATACGTGTAGACTTGAGGACGTTTTTGATGACGTCTGTGAATACAATAGACAGTTGGGGAGTGATATGATGCAGAGACGGAGTGATAGATTGAAGGATCTTGCTGAAGGACTATGGGCGCAGCGGTGGAAGGGTTCAGAATGAGGAATGAGTGGGGCTGCCAATCTCTCTCATGTAGGTGAATGGGACGCCCCACTATATAGAACCACGGAAATGCTGAAGGGACGAAATCGAGTAGCGCATTGCTCTCTTGTAATTATGCTTGCCCATTAATATACTTCTCAAAGATGAGGACCCGTCTAGAATATCAAAACACAAGTTCGCTGTTCGACGCTCCAGGTAACCTGCAGTTGTAGCTAACACACATGTCACTCAATCAGAACATAGCAATATTCCATTATCTACGCCTACAAATCCTCGACATTCATTAGAAGAGCAAAAATAATTCCGTTGGCATCTCTTCCCCTCGCCACCCACTCTAAGTATCTATACGTCTCTAGCAATCCAACCCACGCGGCGTGCGGAAGCATGGCTTTTTCCACAATAAGCGCTCGCCCTTTCAACCTACAGTTCCGAAAGGCATTGGTGTTTGTACCATCATGGAGAGTATCCCTGCCTCTATGTTCATTTTCTTCTACAACAATTCAACTCTCGCAGCAAAGTAAACTACCGGCGGATTGGTCCACACACACACAGATGCGACGTAGACGCTGAACCATTATATCGCTACTGCAAGGGTGGATACCACCCCGTTCACCTAGGCGATTATCTGAACAACGAAAGATACAAGATCCTACACAAATCGGGATGGGGCGGATACTCGACCGTCTGGGCTGCGCGCGATACCAGGTCTTTCTATCTGCCAAATACTACTGTGGGAATTTTAGACTGACATATTGCTAGGAATCAAACATTTGTCGCTATCAAAATATGCGTATCCGAGACAACCCATCACAGTCGAGAGTTGGCCGTCTTGCACGTTCCAATCAGCCGGGATACCAGCATTTCATGATAATGCAAGATTACTTTCAGATCCATGGTCCAAACGGGACCCATAATTGCCTCGTAACGGAACTATTAGGGCCAAGTGTAGCAGACTACCTCAACGGGTGTTCAGGCCTTACAAGACTTCCCGAACCGCTTGTAAAGACAATTGCAAAACAAACCTTGACTGGTTTGTCCTTTCTCCACGAGCACAACATCGCACATGCGGGTACATTGAGAATTGCCACCCCACCCTCCCTACGAAACCTTTTCTCTGCTTACCGTCCCCAGACCTACACACCCGCAACCTAGCCTTCACCCTCCCCACCTCCCACGAACAGGATATCCTCCAGAAACTAGGAGAACCCGAAACCGCTCCCGTCCAACGAACCAACCGCCAGCCCCTCGAATCCAACTTCCCCACCTACCTCGTCCGACCCGCATTATACCCCCACTCAACCCCCAAACATCCCCCACCCCAATCAAACTCATCGACCACGGTCAATCCTTCCTATCCAACAACCCTCCCCACACCCTGCACACCCCACTCTACCACCGCGCCCCCGAAATCCTCTTCAACGACCCCCTCAACCACCGCGTCGACCTCTGGAGTATGGCTTGTGTTGTACGTTCTCCCTTCCCCCCCCTCCTTATCCCACTTTTCCCCTTTAACCAATATATCAATGGAATGCTGACAGTTGATATTTAGTTTATTCGAGCTCCTAACCGCCCAAACCCCAAATCCCCCTTCGACACCTTCCTCATGACCCATCCAATCCTCATATCCCAAATGCTAGAAATGACCAGCGATACGTTACCGCACCGTTGGCAGGAGGGATGGCATGCCATGCACGCACCACACCTACTAGTTGATAATGAGGAGCAGTCGCTTCAGGAGTGGTTGGAGGAAGTGTATTTTGATGGAGAGAAGAACCAGGATTTGAGTAAGGAGGATACAAAGAGGGTGGGGAGGGTGATCGGGAGTATGCTACGTTTGGAGCCGGGGGATAGGGCGTCGGCGGAGAGTGTGTTGGGAGATGCTTGGTTTTAGGAGGACTGAGGCAAGTGGCACCATAGTTGATTGTGGGAGAGTTTTTTTTCGCTCCAAGGTATGCGGTAAACTTGATGGAAATCCGAGCAAGTATCTCCGACGAGCAGCTGAGAAATTGGAGAGTGCTATGAGCGCTTGTATGTTCTTAGCTAGAGGGAGATGTTTCTCACTACAAGGGAAGAAAGGGAATTATATAATTGCCTTGCAAGTAGTTTATAGAATAGACTGATCATATTTGCGTTACTACAATGGTCTACCAGGAGTGTGAAAATATCTTAGCATCACAATTATCCTACTTCTTCCTATATCCCAGCCTAATCTGTTCAATAGCCCAAGTCACACCTAGTCTTATACCTACTCATGAGCAGTCACCTCAATCCTCAACGTCAATAGAGCAAGGATACTGCGAGATAATCTCAACAAACAACAATCAAAACAACTTACGCTGCGTCCCAAGCATCTAGTTCATCTCCCACTCTCTCGCACATGAAAAAGAGTGGTCGACTATCCAGGCGGCACCACGAGGAGGCGCAAGGGTCCGACTTCTACCGCCCGTCCACCTCTTGCAGTCACGCCAATGTTCAAAGAACGCCGCGACTCATTTCTTCTCCAGGCAAGCATTTAAGTGAGCAGCTGCCCCGCATACCTTACCAATGGCCATGACAGCCATTGTCGACGAATCGACTCAAAGGGTATAAATACCCAAAAAAGGACAGGTCTCAGAAAGCTCCAAGGAGCCAAAGTTTTTTCTCAGAATACCCAAAAGGGCGGTAAAAGAGTTTTCTCGGAAAAAAGGTTTCTCAGAAAAGCCCAAGGGCCAACTCAAAAAACACCGGTCAAGGGTGTTGACACTTTTACAAGTGTGAACACCGCAATCGCGGTGTGTCTCCAAATAGCTCACGAAGCCTCGGCCGTGCTAAATAGCACGGCCGAGGCTTCGTGATTTGGGGGTTTGTCTGCATTTCAGCCAAGAACCATGCGGTCTATCAGAGACACAGCAGCCACTCGAAAGCAGTCGCTGAGCTCCATATCTGTAGGCCTCTTCCGCGCACGAATCCCTAAAAAGCGATCCACTGGCGGCGGGGATACGCGAACGTTCCCTGCAGGACAAGACGCCGATGTAGTTACATACATCGACTCGATGGCACACACGGACGAACCTATGTGGCGTAGGACGGACCTGAACAAGCGGACTTATCCGGAACATAGGCGGACCTGAATGAGCGGGCGTACCCGTAGGAAGCAGGCGTACCTGAAAAAGCGGGCGTACCCGAAAGTGTGGCACCTGGGCACGAAAGTTGGGTGGGGGAGGAGGGGTCTGCACAATAGCCAAGACATCGGGGGGATGTGCATCCGAGGGTGCCTGTAAGCAGAGTGCCGTGGACCCTAAGGTCTACCAGAGACTTCCGGAGAAGCTCAATATCGCAGGCATCTTCCATACTCATCTTCCTTAAAAGGATGATACTGATGGCGGGGATAAGGCAAGCCTTTCCCTGACAGACAGGTTCCTCACGCGAACCATCGTGGGGTGAGAAAAGCATACTCTACCTGGTACCAGTGAGGGCGAGCGAGTGCGAGGGGCCAAAGCTCGTGCCGGAATGGAAAACAAGGAGCAAACCAGTCTCAACCCCTGAATAAGGGACAGTATCTTTGTCGTGCTGGAGGTGGGCCGGGTCTTCAAAGCGCCAGCACGAAAAGTGAGGCTCGACTGAGCCGAAATGGACCAAAGGTTCCGAAAATCTATGGTTCCGCAAAAGTGCTCTCACGTCATCTGGCCTGGGTTTCCCACAGGTCAAGTTAGTGGGCTGCCTCAGGTTGGGCATGTCTCGTTGGACCTCGTCGGTTTCGAAAAGGTGAGTCATGACAGCCAAAGAAAGCCATGGACCATGTGGTCTGTCAGAGTCTTCCGAGAAAGACTCAATATCGCAGGCATCTTCCACGCTCGCTGTCTGAAAAAACAGCACTGGTGGCGGGGGGAAATTCACCTTGACTGACGAGCTGCACCTTGTTATTTCGCGCCTCTACAGCGCAACATGGTCAGACCTTGTTGCGTGGTAGATAGTCGGTGTCTCGATGCGAACGCTGTATGACAAAGACCCTCTGAGCGTTTGCCGACCAGAAACTGAACACTCCGAGAAAGATCGCCCGGTTATATTCGACGTCTTATGCCGTTCTCGAAAAACCAGACTTGACCGTGCCAGCCGATTCTTGTTGTACGCTGAACGAAACGCCAAGGACCGAAGGCCTGTCATAGTCAACACGTTGAGAATGAATACGAAACTCATATCCTTTGTTTCCCACCATCGCGCGCTTCGAAAGAATACTAAGCGACGGGAAAGAACAAAGCTCAAGAACAGTGCTTTCACCTTCGTGGCGAAAGCCATGAGTTCCTACATGTGGTTTCACCGGCACAAGGGAGAAGCATCCTCGCACGACATTGAACCATGGACCAAATGGCCTGCCAGAGCATGATGCTCCATATCTGCTGGTATCTTCTACACACGACAACCTGAAAAGGCGACACTGGTAGCGGGGTTGCGGCAAACGCTCCCTGGCGTGAAGTAGCTTCTCCCTTGTCTACGGTGGGCACGCATCACCCTTGGTGACGACATGACTCGAGAAAAAAAAAGGCTGAGACTAGCTCATCGCGGGGTATCGATCGGAACGTCCGTTCGTGTAGGTCGTCGGAAGAAACTCGGAAGGGTTTGTTGCATGCCTGGAAAAATCCAAACTCCGTTCAATGGAAGCCAAAAGGCTAGCTCGGCAGATGATGGTAGTGTGTTCAGGAAATGGTAAGGAAGGATGGTTGCGAGAACAAAGAAAGATGGTGTGCACGGCTGAGTGAGGTGAGTTGGGGGGATGGAGGGGTGAACTGGCCAGGAATATTTTGCTGTGAAAGTGAACGCGCCGCTTGTTGGTTGATCACATGTCGATGAAAGGTGAGCTGTAGGCCCGTGCTGGCGAACTCCATGGCACGAGTGCTAGACGCCAGTAAACAGCACCACTAGTCAAATCAAAATAGGAAAATGGGGAATACCAAGCTTCTCTTCATAGAGACGGGGAAGTCAACCATGATTCCGTTCCACATCCGGCATTAGACGGCCAACGTGAGGACAGATAAACTGTCTCCAGACCCAGGACGAACATTGGCGCTAAGATTGAGCTGTGAGCAGGGCGACCTTGATGCTTCTCGTAGACCGAGAATCCCTCGTAAAGATGGAAGGTGTGTAGCCTAAGCTACAGTTGCAAAGCTAGACAAGTTCATCCTTGAGCTAGTCACCGCCGGAGTGTGGGAGGGAACATGACTGTCTCAGCCAGTCGTCTCGCTTCGAAATTTACCTAGAGGGGCCGACCGGACAAACGGGATCGAAATTTCCCAGCAAACCTTGGTAACGCATGTCCGGTCGTCGGATCGCTAGTCGATGTCTAATCGCTATCTTCTAAGAGCTCAGCGAGCTCCGCTTCTTCTTCCACGGTCATTAGACTCTCTTTTCGCTCTGGTTCCTTTGTTGTCTCTTCTCCGAGTCGTTCCTTCTCAGCTTCCTCAATAGACTTGGCAAGCTCTTGTGGTTTCAGGCTCCACTGTCTCACTGTGGCGTCGATACTGACGCTGATTAGACGCTGCCCCACCAAGAAAAGTCCTGTGACCTCTTCAAAGTGTCCACTAAAAGTGTGGTGCAATCTACCACTGGCTCTCTCCCATACACGGACTTCTTCATCTCTGCATGCGGTCACGATCCACCCGCCAGCTTCGTCAACCACGACGTCGCGAACAAAGTCAGGGTGCTCAAACTTGGAATCTTCTTCCCAATCTCGGCCTCTAGATAGGCATTTTGCCGTCTTGTCTGCTGATGCAGTCCATAGATCACCGTCAGCGTCGAAATGTAGAGCGTCGATACTAGTCTCGTGGGAAATGATTGGTGACGGCTGAATTTCACGAGCCGAGGAAGATGCGATCTGCCAGCGTCTGATCTCTCGATCGCTTCCGGCACTGAAGACGGTGACGGTGTCTTTCCCAGGTTCATAGTCAACCGGGTCTAGTGCAAGAGCGAGGATGCCCCGTGTGTGTCCTTTGAGTGTGTGCAGCTTCTTTCCAGCAGCTATATCCCACACTATGATGCTCGCATCCTGAGAGGCCGAGACGAGAACCTCCTTGCCATTCAAGGTAAAGGATATGATGGCCTTGACGAAATCACTGTGGCCTTGAAAGCGGGTGGACACTTTCCGAGATGAGAGTGACCACGACCATATCGACTTATCCCAGCAGCCCGCGAATAGCGTATCGGACTTTGACGACACGGCGATGGAAGTCAAGGGAGCCGTGGGGCCGGAAAAAGTAGCAACGACTTTGCTAGTCTGTCGGAAGAGCAGTTAGCGACGGATCGCTACCATCACGTCCAGCGGTGAAGCTGGAGCGTGGAAGCAGATGTCTGACCGACTTCAATATTGATATGCTTCACGCTGCCTGCAGCTTCAGCTACGTAGACATGGCGCTCATCCTGAGGATCCGCGATGACGGCGAGGATCTTGGATGGAAGCTTGGTGGGGTTGCCCTTTGTGTTCTTCGATTTGGCAGCCTTGCGGGCTGTCTCCTCAAGTGCCGAGCTACATGATATCAGCCGGGATCAAGAGGCACAAGCACAAGGGCAGAATCGGTACGTCGTTTGGAAGTAATGGCCTGGGTCGTTGGAGAGCGACATGTTATAAGATATAGGGAGGAGCGGTGACGCCTGACAGGTCGGCGGGTCGAGTTGGGCATGTGAGCTGTCGGCCCCGCAAATATGACTCCGAGGACGCCAATGGGATGACGGCATGGACTTGGCGACAATGGCGCCACGAAGCTGCACACAATAGGGGCGAAACTGGCTAGCTCCCCCAACACCACCAGCCAGTATTCATGCTCGACTTGTAGCAGCAATGTAGTATTAATATGTTTTCTTATATACTGAATGAAGATGACCCAGACGCCGCAGATCATTATACAAAGGAAATTTCGTGAGTCATGTGTCCGAGCAATGAAGCCCCATCTGTAATACGGTCATGCCGTCATTAAGTCGTAAAATGCGTCGTAAGAGTGAGGCGGCATTGAAACACGCCCTTCATAACACTCCGGGGGGATATCTCAAATAGACATTCCAAGCAAGTCATTACTTTTTGTGAAACAAAGTCCACAATATGCGCCCAAAGAGGGGAATCTTGGATGCAATCATAAAATCGTAAATGCGGATGCACATATACAAGGTCGTTAAAACGCGGGATTACCAGCAGGCGCGCTGGCTGCGAAGTCGCGGATCGCCCATCGCCATCCGCCAGGATGTTCGCCGTTGTCGCGAAGGCCGCCGACCCAGCCTTCTACTCGACGGCGCCAGATGGCCTCTTCGTCACGTTGGCGGCGGATGAAACTGGGACCGACGTCGAACTCTTCGCCTACAAAGGCGGGATCTTCGGGGTTTGGTGTGCCGGAACCACTCATACCGTTGCCGCCAGCAACGCTCTCGTTGTCTTTCAAGTCTTCAAGGCCAGCAAAGGGGTCCTCGTCCTCGTCGACTTCGGATGGTGAGCGAACGTCGTTCATCGGGCGAGGGGCTTTGAGCCAGGTCATCTTGACAGGATCAAACACCATGCGGCCTTCATATTGCACGCTTCGGGGCACTGAGATTTGTGATATCAATGCAGGTCGAGGCGGAGATGGTGCTGGCGCTGGCGCTGGCGGCTGGGCAAGCTTTGCTGCCCGTGCCGAGAAGCTCCTGTGTGCTTGAGAGGCATGAATGGACGAGAGCGCTATGTGAGAGATGGACTGCGAACGATCGTGTGGGCGACCCGTCTGGTTAGAGGGAGGTGCAAAAGTTGGTGTACTGGCAGTGGTCAAGGCAAGAGTAGTAGTGGAAGTATTAGGGTGGGAGAAGGAAACGAGCTCCTCCTCGTTACCTTCCCATCGCTGTAGAGTAGGGTTATAAGTCATGCCTTTTTCGTCTACATAGTGGTCAGTAGGAGCTGGATAGTAGTGGTGGAGTGCCATACTATAGGACTGAGGCTGGGTCATCTGGCGGATCAACTGAGGTTTCTGCCCTAAGCCTTTCTTCTTGTGATTTGGGCTAGAATGAGGGCTGCGAGAGGCAACTTGAGCAGCCCAGCTCACAGGCCTTTGGGAAACGGAGCCATCCGCTCTTGACCTCGTGCCTGCCAATCGCTGCTCTCGTGCGTTCCTACTAGCAGCAGTATCTCGAGCAAATCGGGGAGTGTTGTCCATCTTGGGTGGACTTCGTGGAGTCTGAGGCTGAGGCGTCGCCATGCGGTCAGGCATGGGCAAGCGGGAATTACTAGGTTGAGTTCGTAAGGATTTGTTACTGCCAACATTACGTGGGACCTTTTCGAATTGCTTCTCTTTTGTAGCAGAGGTGGGTAGATCATCAAACATGTCAAGTTCATGCCCATCCCCAAAGTTTCGCTTGCGCTGGGGCTGGGTTAGCTTTCTTGGGGGTGGGTTGCGTGCAAGTGCAGAGGGTGCCAAATCGCGTCGGACCCCTGCGCGGCTCGGTGTCTCATTCTGATGTCCAGATGAGCGAGAGTAAGACCGCATAGAAGGAGAGAGAGGACGACGAGAGTCAGAGTCTCGACGAAGATGAGTTTGTGAAGTACTCTTGGCCATGACGTGGTGGGACTGGGATGAAGGACCACCAGCAGGGATGAAGGGCATGCGAGGTGGTTGGGTCGAGCTTATGTTGCGAAGAACAGGAGCAGAGCGCTTCGCGCGGAGGAGCTGTGCGCTAGTAGTTGTGGGCATGGTCCTTGACGATTGGTTCGAGGCTGACGCGCCAGTCTCGTAGACAGGAGTTAGCCGGGTGCGGCTGGCAATGGACGGTAGTGGCCTTGGAATTCGCGAGATGGTGGGTCGGTCGGTAAAGGTGAGCGTGGTCGCAGGACGAGCGGCGTGTGGCGCATTGGCCTTGTTGGTGGTCTTCTTTACGACGATGTTCTTGTTCAAGGTGAGCTTCTTGCTGTCCAGAATTTCACCAGTGCCAAACTCGAAGCCCTCTTCAAAATCCTCCTCGGGCTCAGCAGCCGGCTTTGATTTGGGTGATGGAGCCTTGGGGCTCCCCAAGGGTGAAAAGAATGCGGGACCAGTGGTGGGTGATAGGGGTGGTTCTTGTGTAGGGAACGACGTAGGTGGTGCTGGGGCAGATGTCGGACCTATCTGAAGCGGTGGGAGGAGAGATAGTTCGGGTGCACGCTGGGTTGAGTCCTGCTGACGTAGGTGATCGGCCTTCTTGAGCTTCTCCAGACGGGCGCTAAAGTCCATGGGCTCGGTGGGCAAGACGAGGCCGCCCAGGTCGTCCTCCTCGCTCTCCATGGTCATGCAGCTGCCCAGGCTAGGGCTCATGGCAGAGACAGAGGAGCTGCGTCCGCCGCGAGTGGCCTGTCGCGTGCCTGCAAAACGGATGCCCAATGATCCCTCGCCCCAGTCGAGGTCATCATCGGCATCGTCAGCAGGCGGGCGAGCAGCGAGCGGCTTGAGCTTGAGTCCTTCGGAGGCGTTTGCGGGCAGCTCGAGGTCGTTGCCCCAGTCGTCGTCGACGTCCATTTTCTTGGTCGACTTCTTTTTCCCCAGCCTCTTGATGGACCCCCCTAGCAGGGCGGACGAGGGCACGTTTGCGGGTATGGGGATGCCGGCCTGCTTTGCGGCCGAGGTGATGGCAGAGGCGTTTGTGGCCTGGTCGTCGGGCGAGATGAGAAACTGCCAGTCGTCCTGGGACTCTGATTCGGAACGCACGCTCATGCGTGACGAGAGCGAGTGGACTGTCGAGTTCTTGAAGAGCAGGCCGTCGGAGCGGTCGTCGAAGTCGCCGTCGTCCCACGACTCCATCCTGGAGCTGTTGGACGAGATGGAGGCGATGCGCGCCGCGAAGGAGCGGTTGTTGGCCGCCATGCTCGGGGGGCAGCGCGAATGACCGCAATTGCGTGTTGTCGTGTTTGGATGCAGGATCTTCGCGAGCAATGCAGGAGGTTGGGGGTGGGCCACGAAGGTGGTCACTGGGCTGTCAGGTTCCTGCAGCACAAGCGAGCCAGGCGGTGGGCAGCTCGAGGAAGGCGCGCCCCGTGGTCCGCCCGCTAGCCACGCCTGTGTGGGTGTGTCGACGCCAGCGACGACGGCCTGCTAGTAGGAGAAGGGTACTGGTAATTGGCTGCAATGGGCAAAAACAACGGACGGGCATGCGGATTGCTGGCGAACCAATGTTGCTGGTGCTGCAGTGGCAGGCTGGCTTGCTTGCTTCATGTCCTTGTTGTTGTTGTTGTTGTTATTGTTGTTTGTGTGCAGAGAGTTGTTTATGAATGAATAAAATCAATGCAACGAGGGAATGCATCTGTACATATACTTTACATTACCCTCTTACTTACTCCCTACACCTCGCACACACACCCACACACCCTCTGGTCCCTAACCCTCGTCAGACCCTGACTCCTCCCTCCTGGTGGCGTGCCTCGTGTGCAGGACGGATGCCTGGACATCAACAAACACTAAACCCTAACCACGCACACCCGGAGCAATGCTGCCTGCCTCTGCCTCCCCAAAGCCTGCAATATAAACCCCCATGGCCCTGCCGTCTCACATGGTCAATTAACTACCGTTTCAACATCCCCGCGCGCCGTATTGCTAAACAATCGGTGCCAGTCCCTGGTGCTGTTCAGGAGCACTCATCGACCCGCTGCGCTTGCGACAACTCCCGCCCTGGACCCGCTCAGATCCTCGTCCGGGCCCTGCAAGCGTCCCAACCTGCCCTACCGGCTAACTTCCCGCAGCACCGCCTAGCTTCTGCACATCACGCCTCACGCATCACGCCCCAGCAATGCCCACTCGTTGCTGCATCGTCCCCGTCGAGCCTGCCGACGGCCGCGGCGAGGCGGTCGTTGTCGAGGTCCTGCAGGAGGGCACCCATCCCCTCGATGTCCGGCTGGTGGGCTGTGAGGGCGAAAGCCCATATGTTGCCTCGAGTAAGCCCTGGTTGCAAACAAAGCAGGTACAAAGTTCATTTACTAACCCCGGTCCCAGTTCGGTACCGCAATCTTGCAGAATTGCAGCACAAGTTCAAAGGGACCGATGACGAGTGGGCGACAATTTTGTCTCATTTCCTCTTGATGAAACAGCCTGCAAGCCAACATGCCCATCTCTTGCAGGGCGTCCGCATGGTGTATACTTTGAAGAGTGGAACACTAGCCATCTCTTTCCGCCAGGACGTTCAAACCATAAAGGTGGGCTAGCTGAACGACCGAACAAAAGAGGCCTGGCCTAACCCGTGTAGGTCACCTTGGGCGAGATCGTCTTACCCCAGGACGATGAGTTTGAGTTTAATCCGTTCGACTGGGCCCGCGCTTCCGCCATGGCACACGCGCAAACATTGCAACACATGGCCGAACTCGAGGCCCACGTAGGTAGCGAGCAAAACACAGTTGCCAAGCTGACCGCGCAACTCGATGACTTTATCAAAACCAAGAATGAGGCGGAATCTGTCATGTTGCAGCAGTTTATGGAGCTGCTGAATGACAAAAAGAGGAAGATCCGAGACCAAAACCGCCTATTGGCTGGTGCAAAGGTTGCCCAGACGACAGGTAATGCCAGTGTGACGTCCAAAGTACATTTGCAAGACTGACTCTTTACTTTGCAGCAACCGCTGTTCAAGCGACAAGAGGAGAAACCAGGGCGCGCAAGGCAGGCGCATCACGAACAAGTAAGCGCAAAGCTTCGTCGCAAACAGCGCAGCCAGCTTCTGTGCTAGAGCCCGAGTCAGACAGCGACCAGATGGAGATTGACCAAGCAAAAGACGAGGAACGTGAGGAAGAAGAAGTAGAAGATGCTGTAACACCAGAGCAGTCTGATGATGAAACAGATGAAGAGACTGGTTCTGCCCCGCGTCAAGGAGCGAGATCATCCGAAACAGTCGGGGATGGTTCTGAGGTTGCACACGGTGGCACGACGGAAGGCGCAGAGACTACGGGCGTTCCCCCGCCCCGAGTCCTGCCATTCAGCAAAAGGACAGTAGCGACGCGAAGCAAGGGTGCAACAGCAAAGTCCTCAGGCGCAACAGCCCACGCCGAAGATGACGAGACAGATGATGAGGAATTGTAAGTAGGCAGCCAACCTTGAATGCTTGCGTGAAGAAACAGTGCATTGTGAGGTATGTAGCGGTCGTATCACGAAGAGACAGTACTTGGCCAGAGCGAGGCTTGCACAAGCATTTGCCATGAGTCAGCCTTGGTCTTGTTGGTTCCACAATGGGTGGTGTTGCGGAATGCAGTTTGAGGAATGCAGTTTACACTGCGTGTCGGAGTAGATGTTCAACAATGCCTTGCCCTGTAGGTCACGTGTACTGTCAAGGCGCGGACCCTTGCTCTCTGCCGACTGAAGATTAGATAGTGGCAGCAGCAACGTGGCTGGACATTCCTATTGCGTAGATGTGGCTGGTGAAGAGGATTGTGTCTGTGGGTCTGCAGTGAATGTGTAAGTGTGTAGGAGTCAGTTGGTGGCATGCGCACCGATGGTCTAGGACGACAGGGCACGTCGCAAACACAGGCAATGGACCAGCGCGACGGGCGCAGATGATGGGAGAGACGGCAATGCGAGGGTTGCAGCGCCAGGCGTGGCTGCATGCCGTGTATCGTGGACATGCCGTGTACTTATGTGAATGCAATGCAATGGCGCACGACTAAAGGGATCTGCAGGTGATGTGGTGTGGAGCAGAGCGTGTCGGTGCCAGGCAGGCAACCAATGGCCGGCGCAGAGGCTCCGACAAGCTGGAAGCGTTGCGCGCGCACGTCAAGCCTCTGTGCCAAGACATGTCCACCTTGACATGTCGCTCCTCTCCCCCCAGTGCCGTCGCAAACGCCAAATCGCCCTCTATACCCCGTCACGCCCATAGTCGCCGTCGTCACCATCGCGCCGCGCCGCGCCCCAGCAATCCTCCATCCGAGCCTGGCGGGTCCCGAGGCACCACCGCCAGCACCAACGGCGACGTGACCGCGGGTGAGGCCTTCACCACAACATCGTCAACAACCCCAGGTCCCGGGTCCTATTGTGCTGGTGCGCGCTGAATACGAAGCCCTTATCCCGGCCGAGCGCTCCCTCTAATGCTCCTCCGCTCCCGCACTTCGTCCCACTGCACTTACCGCCGCCCGCCTGCGACATACCCACTACGCGCGACATCCCCCACCCTCAATCCCACGAGCTAGCACGCCATGACGGGCCCAGATGCAGCTGAGCACCCCGGCGATCCCTCTCGACCTCTCAAGCGCTCCCGCTACTCGGCCAACGACCAGGAAGAGCTAGACCTGCTCGACACCATCGTCAAGCGCATCAAGACCGCGGTGCCGCCCACGCCCTACATACTCTCTACTCCCTCGCTCGACCCGTATCGCTATCACTCACAGCAACAAGCCAATGCCTGGATGATAGGAAGGCTGTGGCGCCCGGACGAAGAGCATCTTCAATACAGAACCTATCTCTACCGCGAGCCATGCCAGGACTGCTTCGAGCTACAAGCCGGCCAAGACGAGGAGCCGGAGCCGGAGCCCCCACGGTCGCAGACTGTAAACGGCCAGCCGACAAAGAAGAAGCCCAATCTATCTGCCTTCAAAGTCAAGCAGGTCAACGGCGCTGCTGCTCCTGGTGCAAAGACCAGCTCGTCCAGTCGCCCGCCCACCAAAAATACGTCAGATCAGGTCAACGGCATTACCAAGTCCGAAAAGCTCTCTGCACCCGCCCAAAAGGCCGAGCCCAGATCGCCGAGATCGTGGGTACACCGCTCCAGACGCAATTGCTCTGCTAACATACAACAGCTCCTCCAACACTATGCGCGACGATCGCAAAGCGACGCGCGAGGCCCCTCAAGTCAGCTCCCGCCCCCGGGCTCCTTCCACTTCGCAAAAGAGCGACACTGCAGGCTACAAAAGCCACGTGGAAAAGTCTGACCCTTCAAATTCCACACCGCACGGCTTGCCCCCGCTCCTATCACCTGTTCGAGAACCACTTGGCAATCCATACGGGCTCCCTACTATTCTTTCCCCCACACTACCCTCCAACGTGCAAGCCGAATTGGACAGGCTAGAGGTGCAACGGAAGCGCGCAGACTCGGACGCATCTATATCGTCGTCGGATATCAAGAGCGTGCCTATTACTGTGCCGGCCGATTCATCACAAAAGTCCAGCGCATCTCTCAAGACTGAGAATCGCGGACGTTCAGTATCTGTAAACGGCAAATCGCCAAACCCCGAACCAGTCAGTCCCTCACAACAAACACATGCCAATATGATTGTGAAACTGAAATTCTCAAAGCCAAAGGCACAGGTTGTGAGCCAAATTTTACGCCTGCCTCCAAAGCGCTCAAGTGCCGAGAAGAAAGAACGTACCGATACGCCAAAAGCCACAGCGACAGACAGCCAGCCCAAGGTCACTGATCCGCCCGTCATCAAGAAGAAGCCAGCACCAAAGATCACTGCTCGGCGGGCAGAGCCCACCACACCAGCATCCACCTCTACTCCGACCACCAGTGCGAAGCCAACCCCGGCAAGTGCCAAGGTCGTGGAGAAACGACTGCGAACTGAGGAAGATGGCTCCTTGGCGGTACCTCCCGCTAAGCGCCCACGGGCAAGCTCGACGAATGAGCCTCCTGTTGCTTCTGCACCGACCACGGCATCTCCAGCCGCCTCAGCAAAACCCTCTGCTCAGAAGAGCAATTCACTCCATCCGACACCCAAGAAGGACACCAGATCCATAAATATGCTACGCACTCAATCTTCCGAAAGCAACGAAGCAACTCCGGGTCGTTCCGGTGCGACTCCCGCCGGCTCCAAAGCGGAGCTCAAGGCCGGACCCACATCCGCACCCCTGAACAACAAGAAGCAAATCGACATTTCCTTGCTTGGACAGACATCGGCTAGGCTGAACCAGACAGGTCGCGCTCTAAAACACGAGGCAACCAAAATATTAAACGCCGCCAGCAGCAAAAAGGACGAAAAGCGAGCTGCCGTTACCAATCTGGAGTGTATTTTGTAAGTTCATCTCTCTTACCAATCTTGGCTAGACTGACTGACCAATTAGGGCATACATGGCCGCATATTCTGCCCAAGATCTGTCACTAAACCTCCGCGGTCGCGCCGGTGAGGTTGAGCAGACATGGAAGACCCTGCTACCGCTTTGTCTGTCGTATTCCAGGTGCACAAGAGACTTTCAACATCTCGACGGTCTCCGCTCTTACCTTAGCTCTGTCATTGCCTCTGCAATCTGCACTCATGTGTCACAACGCTTCAGCAGCTCCAAATCCCACGACTCACCCCAGGATATCAACCACCCAGAATCCGCTCGACAGCACATTGAAAACTTTGCCCTTCTCTCCGATCACACATTGAAGATGAATCGCCACTACCAAGAAGCAAGAATCGCTCTGCCTTTTGAGGACTTGCAAAACATCTACAAGAAGACATATGCGGGTCGAGAAGTCAACGCTAAACTAGCACGTGAACCAGAAAAGGTGAGCGGCGCCAAGATGTCTGGTCCATATTTCCTTCCGCTCGGAATAGATACAACGCCCATCCAAGCCGTCCGGTTTGGTCTGAAGTTCCTGCACGAGTTTTGCGAGAAGGAAAAGCTCGAGTACAGTCTCAGGGTCAATCTTGATAGACCAGAGTGAGATGGTGGCCGCTGTATTGATTAAAGAGTATTACGAACGATTTATTGCCGGAGCAATCTCCAGAGCCGCTCACTTTACGAGGACGAGCAACGAATATCCAAAATTCATACGGGAACTCGTCAACACATCATCTTTACTTACACTTTGCATCTGCGTCCTCCCATCATTCCAGCGTCAGTTTTCCCCTTACGACGTGTAACGACCGGTTCACTCACTATGTTCTTCCTTGGGTACCCCCCAACATACATCCCACTACCAAATTTTCCTTAATCCTGGTCGGCATTCTGCTTCCAATCGCCCAACTATTGCTTCCAGCGGGATCTGGCCTCTTCTCTAGGCTTTTCGGACAAAAAAGACGAGTTTCCTCGTCCTCTTTTTTTTCTGTCGTTTTATGCGAACTTGACAGCACATACATACCACACTCAACCACTCTGATACCCCCTTGTTACAAGGCGCGCGCGTTCGGATTAGACATGTCCTTCTTCCCTTTTTCTACTCAATCAACAATACACTGCATGGTTTGAAGGTGTCATCTGCCTTATTTTCTCATTACTCTTTGCTGGTTTCGGATCTGGATCTCTTTTTTTCTCCTTTGGCGCAATTGTCAGCATTGCGGCAGTTTCATATATAACGGGTGTGGCGGAAACTTTCTTTTTGATCGATTGCTGATTTCGAGGGTTTTCTGGCGCTCTTACTACGAGAGTGTGTAGTCAGTCATGATTTAGCGAGGCGTGTGGAGAGAACTGGGTTTTTTTCGGGTTATTTTTGTCCTGATAGGAGTCTCTGAAGATGCGATAAGGGGCGTATGTGGGACTAACGATATCCTGATATGTGCAAAAAGTCAAATTGAAGATTGAAGTTATTTCAAGCGGCTGTGGTGATGCAGTGAGAAAACTTGATATGCTATTCGCTTCTCTAATGGTGCAAAAATTAGTAGTTCGTTGCTATGCTGCCTGATCTATATACACAGTAGCTTTGAAAACATGGACTCATACATCAATAAAACAGTACAAGCACCTCAGAACCATCCCCCATTCTCACCCGCATCCCATCCTACTAATCCACCACTCCGCCAGCCCATCCTCCAGTATCCCAGCAAACCGCACCCGTTTACCCTTTTTTTACGTCCTACCACAACACAGCACGCCACCAACCCCAGCCATCTCGCCCGACTTCAATCCAGTGCATCAGCACACAACACTCCTGCTATCCAACCCCAATACAAGCAACACACACCGTGTCCCTCATCCATCATCCCCCATTCCACCTATACACCCTTACTCTCCCATCCCTCCTTTCTTCTACCTCTTATTCGTCTTCCACATCAAGAATCAAAATGCACCTCAGTTGCCTTCTACTCTTCCTTTCCGTCTTCTTCTATATATCTCCCTTACTTGGCAAGACCGATACATACAACCCCAATAACCTACGGAACACCGTGTATGTATATGTGGAAAGTGGGTTGGATGGCGTGATATATGGGTATGTGGTTAGAAGATGAGAGGGGAGAAGGGTGTGGAGAACAGTGATTGAACGGGACGTTTCATACACGGGCAGTACGTAGAAATCCTCAAATCTTAATCATTTCTAACCAAATCATAAATCATCCGAAAGTCATATATGCCCATCCCAAGCCATCATATACACAAAACCTGAACCGAAAACACCAAAATCCCATAGTTAGTATACCCTTTGAAAAAAAAACCCCCCCATCCCAAACTATATAGCCTCAATCCTCCAACCCCACAACCACTCAAACCCTCGCCTTCTTCCCCATCAACGGCATCTGCACCCCCTCCTCAACCCGAACCCTCGGGCCCCGAAACTCGCTTGCCTCGGATCGTCCCGGCAACTCACCAATCTTCTTCCACAGTAACTGCAACTGCACGTGACCGGGCGTGATACCCATTTGCTGGGAGCCCCAGCGATACTGCCATAGTGGGAGTACGTCATGCGGGTTAGGCGTGTGTTTGGCGTCGTAGAAGCAAGCTACGTCACCGAAGCAGAGGAAGACGTATGGGAAGCCATCCTTTTTTTTGAATTAGCCTATAGAAACGAGGGGAGGTGGGTGGTTAAGAGGGGGGGGGGGGGGGAGAAGACGTACGATTGTGTATAGTTGATCGTAAATGTCTGCGACGCGCTCACCGCAACTCCACGCCGAATCCATCTTTCCGTAGTAACTATCCGTGTTCTTTTCTTGCTTGTCGTCTTCAAAGGTGCAGTTTCCCTTGGTTGTGCTGAGCGTGTAGGGGAAATCTTCGAGGCGGGAGAAAACGCCGCATTTGTTGAAGGGGCTCTTGTCTGAGATGAACTTGCCATTGGTGTCGAGGCAGCCGACGGTGGCCTTTGGTGTTGCCGTCTGCCAGTTGTCTGATTTGAGCACGTAGATGTGGCCGATGCCGCTGAAGTCGGATTGCTGGATGCCTGCCAATGCGGGTGTCGCTATGGCGGCGGCGACGGCAAGGAACAGCGTGGCCAACATCTTTTGAACAAAAGAATGCTTGTCGGTTTTTGTATACCGAAAGTCAGGTGACGAGTTTTGTTGTTTAAGAAAGAGGGTAAGTAGTCCCAATGTCAAAACACTACGTACGTCTGTTAGTCTTGTAAACGGACCGAGGCTTCTTTATAACCTGATCGACCGTCACACAGGTTTATGTATTTCACTCACCCCAAACCCCAACCCCCGTTTACCACGCGCGGGAAAACAAGGATGTTAGAAAGGATGTTAGAAAAATATTTCCGCCGCTTGGGCCCCTTTCCCCCCTTCCAAGGCACAAACAAACCAACACACCCCTTCACTTAACACAAGCTTGCAAATCAGAAAAAGGGAGATCCCTAGTGAAAGCGAAAAACGTTCTCCACCTTTTGCTTTGCACCTTTGATATTACCGAAACAAGAACGACGGTTGCCTGCACGATAAATTAGGTTACCCCCAAAGAAACGCAATTTCGGGTCCCCTCCTCGTGACGGGCGGGAAAAGCCCACTTTCCGCTTGCAGCTGCATACGTAGTATCCTAGCTCTCACTCCCCCGCCTTTTCACTATTACCACACCCCGACGTACTCAAGTCGCTTACACCAACAAAACAATGAAGGGTGTGTGTGTGTGACCTCACTTTTTAATATCCAGCCCGTTTTTCTTTTTCTTGCGCGGATTGTTCCGCGAGTAGTAGCAACAAGCAAGAAAAAGAGAAAGCGATTAGAAATTGGGCTTTCAGGCGTAAAAGCCGAGGAGCGCGTGATGCAAAGTTGCAAGTTGTTTACTTTACGAGGTAGCGCCACGAGTGGGTAGAGGGGGAAACATGGCGAATCAGTAGTTAATACGGCAGATATTAACAAGGAAGAGAAAGAGAGGTTGGTGGGGGAAAGGAGCCGAGTGGCTTGGGAGGAGGAAGAAAAGAGCTCGCTCGTTTGGATTTTATTTTATCCTGTTTGTTGTAGCCGGGTTTTGGGGGAGGGGGAGGGAGATGTGTAAGTGATCTGTCAGCGGGGAGAGTGCGAAGAGGGGCGGGAGAAGCTGAGTGTTCGGACATTGACACCGGGGGGCCAAGGAGTAAAGTTGGGAAAATTGTGGGGATGGGTGGCTTGGGGTAGTTACGTCGTGTCAGCCGCATTGGGGAACGAGGAACGTTGTTGATTGTACATGTTGTGCTCTGAAACTTGAGACGTTGAGGTGAAAGTCGTACGGTGATGTTGAGTTTTTACTCGAAGAAAGTGGGGGGTTTACATTGTTACTACGTAGTGAGGTAAGAGAGTGGAGATATGAAGGTGTACATCAAGACTGTTAGGCAACCAGCCATCTTTCGACATCTACAAAAATCCCTACTACTACTCATATCTTTGCTATCTATCTATCTATTCCAACCATGTGCCGTCTCATGTACGCACCACGACATGTACTATCAAACCCATTCTCCACAAAACCAAACTACTAACTCCCGTTGATCTCCCGCCGTGTACCCGCCAGCCCGACCTACCGAAACCAGACAAGCGCTTCCGAACACCGTATGTAGTACACATCTTTATCTGAAGGGAGTCTAGAGCACCATGGACCATTTAACCCGGTACTTCAGAAACCCTTGCAGACTTCCTCTATCGCACCATCCCCGCTGCCATCATTCTCTTCACCTGTCAATTTTACACAGGGAAAAATCATAACTCCAGTGCCATCCTTCCCTTATCCACATATTTTTATCGCAACGGGGGCCACCTCAATTTTACTTTTAGAGAATCCCAAAAACGATCAGAATACACTCTTATTCGCACCAAACTTCTCCCCGAGGAGACCGTGGCGCCCATACCCATGCTCCGCCGTGTACCCATCACAAAGTATCTGTTACGGCGATATGCTGTCGCCCGCCACCGCCGCCACCGCCGCCGCCACAAGAGCTATGCTTACATGTACATGAAACGTTTTTGCCAGCCAATAATACCTTCTCTATACTGCTTTTCTGATCCAAAAGGCGCTCTCAACAAGACATCGACACGTCAGCTCTTTTTTTTTGGGCGTCTTTCCGACGGAAGCTGGATGAGTATGGATATATGACTACTATGCAAGCGGTGCCGGGGGATACGAAATAAGGGTCGTTTGTGCACTTTGTATTTTGCCTGGGAGGGAATGTGCTTTTTTTTCCACGAGAGATGAATGGAGCTGATGAAGGTGAAAAGGGCTGAAGATGTTACTATCCCTCGTCCTCAGAATTACGCAGAGACAAGATAATTGATTCCTGCGTATTCCGCAACGACGCTATAATAACCATACATCACGGTTATCCATCGATAAACTTACTCTTGGTTTGTTAAGAAAAGTATACCACGAAGTGCGCGAGAAGTTCTTTTTCAACGACGGTATTCGAGGTGCATCGCTTGACGCCAAGTGATGGCTCCTAGATGTATAATTATTACGCCTCTATGTTGAAACATCCTGGGTATGAATATATCGAGACATCAGTCTATGTGTGTATGATGAGATTGATTTGAAGACTTGTACAGACATGCTTTGCAGGAGTTTGAGAAGATTGTGTGAGATTCTGAAGACGGCCGTGCTGAATTTGAGGGTCGTGGTTGTACATTGGGTTGATGGCTTTCCGCATGCGGTTAGCGGGCGCGATATGGAGATGCGGGCGAGTGTCTTGCGACCATTCTCTAAACTTGATGGTGTAACTTTGCACGTGGAAAAGATATTGATGGCGGGGAATGGGAGAGAGGAAGTTTTTCAGATGTTCAAAAGTATATTTGTGTAATCTAGATACCAAAGAAAGCCAATTTAGGAAATTACCTTGTTAAGTAAATTCGGAAAATATTGATACACCTAAACTATACACTACTTGAAGCAGATTGAGAAACCCGGTTGTGTACTTAGATAACACCTAATACCTAAGAAAACGAAGCCATGTACTGCCAGACTCCATGGATAGAATCTTGATACCACCACTTTCCCACAAACTTTAAACAGTAGCCCGCAGTTTCCAACAGGATAATGGAAGAGCAGCAACTGCAACAGCCCAATAGTCCGGTAACACGTGACGCTATTCGATAGCGTTCTACTCAGGTACCTGGGCAATCCTGAATGCGACAATCCCCAAGGCGACGAATGAAAGAAAACTCGCATTGGTGTGTTGTCAAGCCATCCCGTTGCGCACAATCAAGACACATGCCCTTGACATCGGCATACATCTGGTTGAGCTTACGAATGACTTTGTGATTCAGAGAGCTAGCCGACCTACAAGGGCAATTGGGATTTTCGCACAATTTCTTCAGCGTCCCGGTAGTAGGAGTACCAACCTGATTCAGTCGATCCCTGACTTGCTTGATTGATTGGTTTCCAAGAGGCCACATTCCTCCGGATACGAGGGCATGGAATATAGTGCCAACACGCAACTTGAATCCGTCGCATGCGTCCTTTTGATTGACAAGAGCACCGAGAGCTTGCTCCACTTGCCTCTGAGACAGCATCTGGGCAGCCTTTACTTTCTTGAATAGATCCACTGGCAGTTTTTCATGACCTTCCATAGCAGTGGCGATGTTGATGATAGCTGACCGGTCTCGAATTATGCTCTGTGTGACTCTGTTGAACGATATGTGCAGATCGAGGAAGTGTGTAGCAAGGATCAACTTCTCGAAACCCGCATCCTCTGGGTACTGCATAAGGAAGGAACACCAGACTATAGAATGCGTATGGACAGCCTCCACGCACGAGTACTTGTGGCAGACATGTGCGAAATTGGTGAAATCGGTCATATTCAGCATTTCTGGCAGCTTGAATATTTTGAGATGAGTGATTAGGCATATCAGAAAAATCGAATTCGGATCATCATCGGGGAGTGGCACCGTCTGCGGTGAAGTCGTCGACAAAGCGTGACCTGCATATGAGCCACCGCTGAACATCTTGGAAAATACAGGCGAGGCATTGCTAAGGACCGCAGACGAGACCAAAAGCTTGCGCTTTCCCTGTTCAGATGTTTTATCAGCAATCTCAAGAATGACATCTCCTAGAGTGGTAATCACTTCTGGGCGTCTCTCTACTGCAGGTCTGGCAGTAGATTGTACCGGAGTATTCGGAACCGTAGATCCTTCTCCATCATCAGGAGCTATAGATTCTGCAGGACCGCCAGGAGCCGTAGCTTCTGCCAGACCGTCGGGAACCGTAACTTCTACCGGAATACCAGGAACTGTAGCATCGTCTGAACTCTCCGGGATTACACGTTCTGCTGGATTCTCAGGATTTGTAGGTTTCGATGAACCATCAGAATCTGTAGATTCTGTTGAATCAGGAATCGTCACTTCGACCCGTTTCCGGGCCGGACCCTCACCGTCGTTCTTACGCTTTCGCAGGGTAACAGTCATGGTGCTTGCTGTGGTGCTCGTAACTAATGGGTTGTGGTTGTCCGGGATAAAACCAAGTTCCAGGAGAAGCCACAGCAGAGGCCTTCATATCTGTGACGACTTTTGGACATTGTGAATGATCATAAACCACTGTAACCATGACTACCACTTCAATCGTCGTTGCACTTTACCTCAAAGTCCGCCCTTCTTGGACAATCGATATATAATAACATGTGGTGTTTGTTCTAATCATTATACCGGGCTCTTTTATAATTGTGCAAGAATCGGTTAGGAATTCCCCTCAGTTTGTTGCATTATATATAGATGATAGTATTTCAGGTTGGGGGTCGCCGGATAATGGGTGACCTAGAGTGCAGAGTCGAGGCCATGTTGTCGATTTTGCGCCGTTCAGGCGCATGAAAGGGGTCAGTCATTCTTGAAAAATCAGCAGCCATGGAGGGTGCTCAGGACGTTTAGCGATGAGTTCTTCATGAAGATTGGTGCAGGTCGTGAATGGCTGGCAGGACATAGTGCTCGAACCATGTGTCCACAGTGGATATTGTGAAGCGATTTGCCACTTTGCGAGTGCCATTCGAGTTGAGGAAGGCATGAAACGCCACACAAACGAAGATACGACCGAAGGATGAGGTGTGGGAGAGGTAAGAGTTTCCATTGCAGCGCAAGACCGGGACATGTGAACTTTCTAATGGTCCTGTAAGCTGAGGACTAGCAAACCGCGGGATCAGTCTACTAGATTGGGAGAAGCAATGCATAGTGTCAGCTGGCGATGTGGGTTTACCATGAATTGCCGCTCGCTAGAACAATGGAGGGGCAGGCAGAGTGGTGTCGGCGCCGCGTTTCGGCCGAAAGATAAGAAGCATCTCCGGGCCCTGAGCACCGAAACTCGGAGGCAACGAGGTAAACACCGACCGTCGTCCTACTTTGGCGCGAGTTTCGTTCGGCTTTTGGCGGCGACAACTCGCAGCCGCAGAAAGGCGAGACTCGACCGCGAGGGGCAGCCCCATTTGCGTCTGCCGCGGGACGGCATTTGGGGTTTCGGTCGTCTGGATCGGCTTGGCCGCGACATGAGACTCGATATGGAGTTGGGTGTGCCAGCACCGCGTCTATTCCATACTGACACCCCGCTACATGTCGTGTCCACGGAGCTCAGGATAGTCCCTCGTGGCGCCAGTCAGGGTGGCGCTGATATACTGAACACAATTGATTCTCTTGTATACACGTAGACACCAGTACGCTCCCAGCTCAATGGCCAGGGGACCAGACTACTGTGTATGCAGCAACACACACAGCTTACTTGCATTGGAGGGGTAACTGCATGCTACATGGATAGCCCCGCAGCCCCTCGATCAAGGCCTTGGAGGCTGATGAGACGGAGCACTAGCGTACGCGCGTGTAGGATGGCTCGCGCCCAAGACGAGGCTCGATTTACACAGCTGCACATGCGAGCCATCGCGGTCGGGCAGCTGCTCCGGCAACGGAGCCATTGTATTGGCCCACTTGGTCCCATTGACTATCATGTACGTTACCCGTCTCTCGCGCGAGGCTTCAGGATTCCAGAATAGGGAATCAACTGCTAGTGCCCGGCCCTGGCGCATCTTCGACCTGGTTCGCGCCATTGGATGCGACCCCGCACCAGGTGCAATGCGAAGTAATTCCCAAACACGACCGTCGTACCCGCAAGCGCCGCTCCTGGCCCAGCCTGTCTTTGCACGCACCGTGTCGCATCGAACCAAGTGGGGGAAGAGGGCCAGCAAAGTTCGCACCCGGGGCCCACGACCCAAAGAGCAAAGCCAACGACAGGCGTGGTGGGGACGAGCGGAGGATATATAATGAGCCCCCTCACGACCCCTCAATTGCTTCCTCACAACATCATCCTCGTTTTGTACATAGATCTCACGATCAATCCTCTTCCATATTGCCAGAGACGTCACTTCGGCCCGCAAGAGGTATTGCGACCCACGCACCCCCTCTTTTGTCCTGCTCCTGGTAGCAGAACCGCATATGGCTTACTGATGTTGCGTCAGGAACACGTACCTTGACCTGTCCGGCCTGGGATTTTACTATATATCTTCACCTGGGAACCTTGAGTCTTTGCATCTCACACGCCCAAACAACTCAAAATGGTATTTGCCCGTGCTGCCTCGCGCCTTGTGCGCCCTGCCTCGTCCCTCCTCAGCGCTCGCGCCGGACCCCGATTGACTTCGTCGCTGCGACAACTCAATGCCTTCAGAACGCTGACCGCGACTGCGTCACAACAGGGAAAAGTTCTTCTCGTCCTCTACGATGTAAGTTTTTTGCCAATTGGAACCCCTTTTGGTGCGCTAGTCTAACAGTGACGGTAGGGTGGCATCCACGCCGAGCAGGAGCCCCAGCTTCTCGGTACCACTGAGAACGAGCTCGGTATCAGGAAATGGATTGAGGAGCAAGGCCACGAGCTGGTAACCACATCCAACAAGGAGGGCGAGGACTCCGAGTTCGACAAGCACCTTGTTGATGCTGAGGTTATCATCACCACTCCGTACGTCAGAGCTACCCCGCAGTGCCCACTAGGGCGGCCCCACCAGCACGCGTCAAGCTCGCTGTCGGGTCGGCATGCACTAGTAATGCAAACACCATGATGTGAGGGAACGTTTCGGCTAATTGCTCGGGGATCAACAGTTTCCACCCCGGTTACCTTACCGCAGAGCGTCTCGCCAAGGCCAAGAACCTGAAGCTTGCCGTTACTGCTGGTATCGGATCTGACCACGTCGACCTCAACGCTGCGAACAAGACAAATGGCGGTATCACCGTTGCCGAGGTCACTGGCTCCAACGTCGTCTCTGTCGCTGAGCACGTCGTCATGACCATCCTCACTCTCGTCCGCAACTTTGTCCCCGCCCACGAGCAGATTGCCAAGGGCGAATGGAACGTTGCTGAGGTCGCTAAGAACGAGTACGACCTCGAGGGCAAGGTTGTAGGAACCGTTGCTGTCGGACGTATCGGAGAGCGTGTGCTCCGCCGTCTCAAGCCCTTTGACTGCAAGGAGCTGCTGTACTTTGACTACCAGCCTCTGTCTGCCGAGAAGGAGAAGGAGATTGGCTGCCGCCGTGTCGAGAACCTCGAGGAGATGCTTGCCCAGTGCGACGTTGTCACCATCAACTGCCCACTGCACGAGAAGACACGGGGTCTGTTCAACAAGGAGCTCATTTCCAAGATGAAGAAGGGCTCATGGCTGGTCAACACTGCCCGTGGTGCCATTGTTGTCAAGGAGGATGTCGCACAGGCTCTCAAGGACGGCCACCTCCGTGGATACGGTGGTGATGTCTGGTTCCCTCAGCCCGCTCCCAAGGACCACCCACTCCGCTATGCCACCAACCCATGGGGCGGCGGCAACGCCATGGTTCCCCACATGTCCGGTACCTCCATTGACGCACAAAAGGTAAGATTGAACCCAAAGAGAGTTGCGGCAAGGATGATACTGATGATGACTGCAGCGCTACGCCGACGGCACCAAGGCCATCCTGGACGAGTACTTCTCCGGCCGCCACAACTACCGGCCCGAGGACCTTATCGTACACAAGGGCGACTATGCGACCAAGGCGTACGGTCAGCGCAAGTAAACGGGCCACATTGGCATGTTTGGCAGGCTAGCGACCATTTTGAGCGATTTGGGACGAATTTCCTTTTAGTTAACAGGGCGCTGGATGCAATCACCCGCCCACCCATGTATATGAATATATTCACTGAAAGTCTATGCATGTTTCCCCATGAATGATGTCTAAACAGTGTATGCACGGTTTGTGCAAGCTTGGCTTTTTTCTTTCTTTCTCTAGCCTTGAACATGGCATGGGCTAGTGTTTATGTTTTGTAGGAACTGGTATGAGGCCAAGGAAAGGAATCAGATTATAGGTAAATGCAAGGCGGAGAAGGGGTCTTTTGTGAGATTGGCAGTGGAAGCAGTGAGTGGTGTCATGGGTGCCGTGAGCGAGCAGGGCGGGTGTCGTCATCGCTCTCATCCTCGCTGTCGTCCTTGAAGCCTTCCTCGAGGTCCCTGCCAAGACGAATCTCGTCGTCCATCATGCTTCTGCGCTGCTCGAGGGCCTCTCTCCTCCTCTCGTCAATGGGATCAAAGCCGACCATGCCCTCGCCCTCTTCGTCGTCAAAGAGCTCGTCGTCGTTTTGGCTGTTTCCGTGGACGACGCCGCGCTGTCTCACCCAGGCCGAAGGAGCAAACAGGCCGTATAGCGCGTCGGAGAGTTTTGTGCGCCAAGAGGTTGGGAAGTCGGTGACGCCTGGGGTCACAGGCAGGTACTGGCTGTAGCGGCTGCGGTGGCGGCGCACAAAGGGCAGGATGATAAGGGCGAGCAGGACATAGAGGATGGCGGCAAGGAAGAGCGGTACGAGAATGGTCTTTGGGTCGGTGGTTTTGTCAGCCATGTCACGTCTAATATATATTTATGTACGGGTGTTTGCATGTGTCGTAGACAGTCCAACTTACCTTTAAGAAATGCGTGGAGCCCGCCATGACTGCGGATGCATGTGTGTAGAGAGAGAGAGATGTCTAGTGAGCGAAGTCGCGGGTGACGCGGGACTGCGACTGTCTAGGCCGACCACGGATCTGGATCTGGATCGCTGAGACACTCGGGGCTAGAGACGTTAGAGAGGTGTGATAAGCGACAGGCGGTTATGCAGGCGGTGCGGTGGGTGGGTGGGTGCCTGCTGCGCCACAGCTCACTGTTGGTCCCGCGCAAACGGACAAACGCGTTCTGGGCTTTTTTGGGGGGTGGCAGGATGGGAGAATGAAGGTTTGCGGATGGGGTTGGCCGGGAATGGCTTGGAGCGAGCGGCCATGTGTATGCGTAGGGGCCTAGGGGGCTCCCTACTTACTTTACGCTGCCTGCAAACTGCGGGCTATGGCGCCACGCCCACACGGACATTGCGCACGTCTCAGGAGAACGTCGGGGCCAAGGGCGGGCGGGCCTCAGGCCATGGCACTCACGCACATACACGGACGAGACAGTTGCGGAGCGGCCCTCTGTGCGCTGTAACGACGAGTGTGTTTTGGCCGTGGGTGGAGCGTGTGAATCTTGTTCTAGTAGTACGTCAGTATACTTACTTGGCTGTATACTCTACATACACACATACACACACATACATGTAGCATCCCAGACCAAGCAAGCGCCTGTCCTGGGACTCCCATCCATCCATTCATCCACACGTTCGTCCCGTAGTCGCAATACTACCTCATCCACCCATCCCATTCGTCTACCCACCCCGGCCCAGTTGGGCGTTGTGGCGCGCTTCTCTCTTCAGGAGGAGGCGCTAGTACTCGGCAACTTCCCGCGACTGACCTGCAGCCGCATTGCCCACCACAGAGCCCCCCTCCCCCCTCCCCTCAAAGGGATTCCCTATTACTTCAACGCCCCAAAAGCAAAAGCCCCGCACCCTCGCTGGACTCGTACACTGAACCGCAGTCACGGCCTGCCATCGCTTGCCCTGCGCCGCCAGAGTTCGCGAGTGGCGGTAGTGCACCTGCACCGAGGGGAACGGAGCACTCGTCGGGCGGCGCGCTCCAGGTCGGCTGCATTGGGCACAGAATCTCGCTATAGGGATGGATGGCAAGGGTCGGCAATCTTCCGCCGGCAAGTTCTTCGGACGACGTCTGCACAAGGACAAGGAGAAGGGCGGCAGCGATTCAAAGCATACTGCCTCGTCTTCGATCGACAGCCCCCCGGGCAGTTCATACGGCTCCCAGTCGTCCCGCCATTCGCAAAGACATTCCATCGGTGGCGCGTCCATAGACCAGAGGCCCGTGTCCATGACCGCTGAGGGCATCTTTGCGCGAGCAGGCCCCGTGTCATCCATTGACTCGCCCCGAGACGACAACTACAAGTTGGGCGAACCGCTGCCACACCACCTGAACAAGGGCGGCGGCGACTTTCACCAGTACCCCGTCTTCACTGGCAACAACATGCCTCCCAACGGCTACGCAAACCAGGGCCCGCCTAGGCCCCCGCCGCACTCGTCGCACACCACCATTGCTTCGAGCAACCCGGGCGACCGTGGTGTCTCGATGCAGCAATGGGGCGCTCGCGGCAGCAGCAGAGACGGCTCCTATCCCCAGTACCCCCCAAACGACGCCAGCTTCTCGCGCACCTCGTCCGACCAGGCCAGCGTCTACAGCAACGACTCCAGGTCGCGTGCTAGCAACACCTTCTACCCCCAAAACTCGTCGCAGTCGACATTTTCGTCCGTAGGCCTCGACCCTGGCAGCCTCCTGCCCACCGCCGCATCAACCCCCCGCGACTCGCACCGTCACTTGCTGCACTACAATGTCTCGTCCCCGACGGCCTCGACGGCCTCCTTTCCCCAAAATACTCTCAGCATACAACGGCCCCCCGACCACATCGTCGAGAAGGAGTTTATGAACCTCATGGTCAAGCGAGGATGGAAGAGTTTACCAGAACAGGCGCGGCGGCAGATGGAGGCATACAAGATTGACAAGAAGTGGACACTTGTGTACCAGGACAAGCTTGCCGAATTCAAGCATGAAGAGAAGAAGCGCCAGACGCAACGGATAACATACGGAGGCGGCGGTGGCGGCGGAGGAGGCATGGTTGGGAACCAAGACATTTTGATACGAGCAGAAGAAGAAGGATCCCCAGAGTGGTATGTCAAAAAGGTCATGGACAACTCGATCACGATCAAGCAAATGTCAAGTTTGGAGATTAGCTTGAGAACCCAGCCAATTGCCTGGGTCAGGGGCTTCATCGAAGCCCAAGGTCAAATCGCCCTCACGAATGTCCTGGCCAAGATCAACCGCAGAAAAGGCACAGGGCCTCAACCCCCGCCCAGCGTCATTGCACAAAAAGCAGAAAATGATGTGGAACGCGAATACGAAATCATCAAGTGCCTGAAGGCGCTGATGAACAACAAATACGGCGCCGACAACGCCTTGAACCACCCGTCAATTATACAGGCGCTATGTGGTTCTTTAATATCATCACGACTGAATACACGAAAACTCGTCTCGGATGTCTTGACTTTCTTGTGTCACTGGGGCAATGGAAGCGGACACGAAAAAGTGCTACAAGCACTCGACAACCTCAAATCACAATATGGCGAAAACAGCCGCTTTGACGCATGGATGCGTATCGTCGAGGTCACGGTTGATGGCCGTGGCAAGATGGGATCCATGGTCGGCGCATCAGACGAAGTCCGTAGTGGAGGAATCGGTGTAGAGAACCTTCTCATGGAATACGCCATTGCAACCCTCTTCCTCATCAACATGATTGTCGATGCACCGGAGCGTGATCTCCAGCTTAGGATGCACGTGCGAGCTCAGTTCACAGCATGTGGCATCAAGCGCATCTTCAACAAGATGGAGGGCTTCCAGTACGACGTCATTGACAAACAAATCGAGCACTACCTCGAAAATGAAGCCGTCGACTATGAAGACTTCCTCCAAAAGGAAAACAGCTCCATAATGGACAATGTCGAGGGCGAAACCAAGGACCTTAATGACCCTCTGCAAATCACGGACGCCATCATGAGCAAGATTAGTGGAACCAGGGCACAGGACTACTTCACTTCGGCCATGCAGCATCTGTTGCTGATGCGGGATACGGAAAGTGAGGACCGGTTACGCATGTTCCAATTGGTAGATCAAATGCTCAGTTATGTGGCTATGGACCGCAGACTGCCAGACATGGATCTGAAGCAAAGTCTGAACTTTACTGTTCAGTCTTTGCTTGACAAGCTGTATACCGACTCTGAAGCCCGCCAAGTACGCGATGAGGCTGTCGAAGCACGCCAGATTGCAGACTCGGCCATTGCGGAGCGTGATGAGATGAAAGCGCAGCTCGAACTGGGAGCTGATGGCTTGGTGTCGAAGCTCCAGAAACAACTGTCAGAGCAAGAACGCATCATTGAGCTCCGTGGCAGACAGGTCGAGTCGATGAAGGCGGAACTTGCCGAGATGCAGAGGATACGAGCACAAGAGCTGCAACGAAACGAACTGGAGACGCGTGAACTGTACCTGATGCTTAGAGACGCCCAGGACGTTGCAGCATCAGCAGCGAAGAAGTCTGGCAAAGATGGACTCGGTGCTACGGACCCTGCTCAAATGCAGGGTATCATGGATCGTGAACGCCTCATGAACAGATTAGAGATCCAACTGCAGAGAGCCAGGACCCAAGCCACTCTGGAAGGCAGGACCTTGAACCTGCAGCCGAGTGAGAAGCTTAGGGAGTTGCGAGAAAAGATGGAGGGCGACGTGCCAGTCATACCCGAACAAGGCTATGGAGGTCTTGGACCGACCTCATTCGGGTCGGTACGTGCTAAGAGTGGAGTACCACGCAGGAAACCCCTCCCTGGTATCCCCGGTCAGAATGGTGAGGATGCTGAGTTCTCTGAGATGGATGATGATGAGGATGTTGTTATCGAGAAGCCCCGTCTCATCCAAATGCACAAGCCCAAGCTCAGCGCATCCACGGCCAATGCTCTTATGGCAGACATCACCTCCAACGTCAAACGATACGACGACTCCGATGGAGAAGACAATGGCGATGGTGTTACTACCGGACCATCTCACCCAAGCCTTGACTCCGACTCACCAAAGACACCAGCTGATGGGAAAACTGCTGGAGCACCGCCTCCACCTCCACCACCGCCACCTGGTGCTCTTGGATTTCCTACCAACATACCCGTACCACCCCCTATGCCTGGCACTACGGGAGCTCCTCCGCCTCCTCCTCCTCCACCACCACCACCGCCGCCGCCGCCACCTCCAGGCAAACTTGGTTTCAAAACGGGTATTCCTCCACCACCCCCTATGCCCGGTGGCAGCATGCCGCCACCGCCGCCACCTCCACCAATGCCAGGTTCCAAAATACCTGGTTTCCTTCCCAAAGCGCCTGGCTTTGGTGCCGCCCAACAATTTGCCCTTTCCGGACCCCGGCCTAAGAAGAAGCTCAAGGCTCTTCATTGGGACAAGGTCGACCAACCCACCACGACGGTGTGGGCCACGCGTGGTCTTACTTCAGAAGAGAAGGAAGAGAAGTACCAAGAGCTTGCGAGAAAGGGTGTCTTGGAGGAGGTCGAGAAGTTGTTCTTGGCCAAAGAGATCAAGGCGATTGGCAAGAAGGGTGGCAAGAAGGACGAGAAGAAGCAGATCATTTCCCGCGACCTCATGCAGAACTTCCAGATCAGCATGGCCAAGTTCTCGTCTTATGGTGTTGAGGAAATTGTACGCATGATTATCCACTGCGACAGCAAGATTTTGGACGACCCCGTCACCATGGATTTCTTGCAGAAGAACGACTTGTGCGATATTCCTGACAATACTGCCAAACTCATGGCTCCTTACTCCAAGGACTGGACCGGACCCAATGCCCATGACAGTAAACGCGAGCAAGATCCAAGCGAACTAACCAGAGAAGATCAAATTTATCTCTACACGGCTTACGAGCTGCATCACTACTGGAAGAGCAGGATGAGGGCGCTTACACTCACTCGTACGTTTGAGACCGAGTATGAAGAAATATCCAACAAGCTTCTTGAGATCTCGCGCGTGTCAGAGAGCTTGAGAGATTCGTCTAGTTTGATCAGTGTCCTGGGTCTTATTCTCGACATTGGTAACTTCATGAACGATGCCAACAAGCAAGCAAGCGGTTTCAAGCTGTCCACTCTTGGTCGATTGGGTATGCTCAAGGACGACAAGAACGAGTCTACGTTTGCCGATGTTGTTGAGAGGATTGTGCGTAACCAATACTCTGGATGGGAAGGTTTCACCGACGAGATCAGCGGTGTCGTGACGGCGCAAAAGATTAACGTTGAGCAACTGCAAAACGACGCCAGGAAGTACATTGACAACATCAAGAACGTCCAAATGTCGCTCGACTCTGGTAATCTTTCGGATCCGACCAAGTTCCATCCTGAAGATAAGGTGTCGATTGTCGTGCAGAGACACATGAAGGAGGCGAGAAGGAAGGCAGAACAATTGCAGGTCTTCCTTGAGGATATGCAAAAGAGCTACGACGATATCATGGCGTTCTATGGAGAAGACCCGAGCGACGAGAGTGCGAGAAGAGATTTCTTTGCGAAGTTGGCCAACTTTGTTCAAGAGTGGAAGGTAAGTCAATTTGTTTTATACTTTCCCATTACGGGCGTATTGCGTTTGTTTGGTTGCTAACTTGCTTCAGAAATCCAAAGACAAAAACATCCAACTCGAGGAACAACACCGCCGCAATGAAATCTCTATGCGCCGCAAGCAAGCTCAAAACTCCAACCCTCTCTCTCCCAACGCACTGTCCGACTCGGACGCGCCCAAATCGCCCGCCTCTACAGGCGCCATGGACGATTTGCTCCAGAAGTTGCGTGCCGCGAAACCAGAAGCAAGAGATCAACGTGATCGCCGTCGTCGTGCACGCTTAAAGGATAGGCACCAGGTCCGCGTGGCTAGTGGCCAAAAGATGCCAGAAATCGGCGTCAACGTAGAAGACGACAAGGAAAAATCTCAAGAAACAGACGAAAAGAGCAAGCTTCTCAGCCCCACGAGCGACACCGCCGAAAGCGAAGCCAGCTCCAGCGGCGGCATCGCAGCCATTGCCTCTGACGCCGCCGAAGCAGACATTGCTGACCGCGCCGCCGCCATGCTCGAGGGCCTCCAATCCGGCGCCTCCATCAACAAAGACGGCTCACTATCCGTGCGCCGTCGCAGAGAAAGCGCAGACACTGAACGCCAACGGCGACGCAACCGCCGCCAACAAGCTGCCACTGCAAAGACTGAGGATGGCCTCCTCAGTCCCTCAGCTATACCCGAAGAAGGCGGCGGCGGCGGCGACGCCGGTGCTGGTAGTAGCGCTAGTATAGACGGCGTTACTTCTGCTTCTATTGAAGATTCAGCAGCAGATGTTGATGCAGAAAATCCACCCACCACACCTGTTACGGTTGTTCATCCGCCCAGCCCAGAGTTGAAGGGTAGGGACTTGCCCACGCCGCCGCCTGAGTAGTTGGAGTCATGTACATTCCGTAATTTTTCTTTTCGAAGGTAAGGCTTGGCGAGGATTCTGGGTTATATAAACGATTGAGAGGTAAAAGAATCGGGGCGATGTATAAGGGGAAAGGAAGAAAGAGAGAGAGAGAGAGGTGTGCGCAGCGTTAATGTTTTTTTTTTGCTGAGTTGCGATAAGTGTGTGATCAGATGGGGGGAAGGGGGTATTTTCTTTGAGTACCTTTTTTTTTCTGTATCGATCTACCCTTAGCAACAACCCTCTTCTTGTTTTTCGCTGTGAGTTGTGATGGGTCTCTACATTCCTAAAATTTTTTTCTTTTTTTTTCATGTATTCGTTCGCATTCTCTTTTGTACCCACTACTTACTTTTTTCTTTTCTTTTGCGTTCATCCGTTTTCTTGGAGAATCTTTGGATATACCCCCCCCTTCCCTTCCCTTCCCTTCCCTTTATCCCGCCTCTTTTTCCCCTTGTTCCTCCACGCGTCTTTTATATATATTTTTTTGTTTTCTTTGTGTCGTTATATTGTAGTTAATTTAAGATTTTTTTTTTTGGTTTTAGTTGCTTGCATGGTTTGGTTTGGTAATTGGTTTGGTCTGGGGTTGCATATGTGGGTGGGCTTGGTTTGGGTGCATATGCGCGAGTTGGGATAGGATAGGATTAGGGATTAATGTAGGGAGGAGTAGGCAGGCATGTATGTATGTGTATGGAATTTATAGGGTAATCTTTTGCTTTGCCAGGTTTTTTGGGGGGGTTTTGGGTATAATATTTATTTTTTTCTTGATTCTGTATAGGTGGTTTTGTTGTGCTTGAGGTCAAGGTGCATTGTCGTTGGATTGCGTTGAGGTTTTTACTAGGCGGGTGGGAAGGGACTTGGGAAATGTGGGTGTTTGTACTGACCTTGCATGGGGGTGGGTTGTGGGAGAGACAGTCGCATTTGCATGGTGCCATTTTCATTGTCTCTTGTTTCAAATTTGTAGGGTACGGAGGTGGAAAGGTAGGGTAGAGACTGATAATTTGAGAAGTTTTATCAATCATTTTGCGTGTATATTGGGCAGGTATGAGACTTGGGCTTTGTGATGCGGCCTTTTTTTTCTTCAGAAAGGATAGCCTACAACTGACACTCGTGTCCTCAGTCTAGTTGTTCGGGGTAAACTTATGGGGAGGTGATGCAGTGCCACTTTTGGCCATTGGAATTTCACAAATTACAACGTAAGGTATCTTCTCGGATCAAGTGCTGGTTCTTTTATAATCTCGTAATACCTTACAAATACAGTACCCTCCTATCTTCCAAGCGCAATGGTATCATAAAATACAAATCGTGAAGTAAATACACACAACATAACAATGAAGAAAAAGAAAAAGAAAAGCCGGACCATATACAGAATATCATGACGCGTGTTCGATACCAAGTTTTCACTCACTCCCCCTTTACACCACCTACCACGTAAACCTCCCCGAAACCCTCTTCTCCTTAACCTCCCTCTTAGCAGCACTCGTTTTCGGCAACGCACTCGTACAATCAATCATATTCCGACCCGTCACACCCATCATCCCCATCTTAACCATCGCCACAACAAACGCATCATCCCACGCCTTCTTACTAACGCCAAAACTTGCAAAAGCCAGCGCCGTCGCCGGGTTCCTCGCAACATTTCTGTCGGCTGGGAGAGTAAAAGGCGCGTTTCCACGAAGTGTTTCGGTGTAGTACTTGATGTCCCAGACGCCTGGGGTAGAGTCAAGAGCAGCACCGGCTTGAGAGGGGTCGACGAATTGCTGTTTGGCAGTTGAGTGGGCGCCGAGGAGGGCGGCGAGATCGACGGGGGTAAAACCTCTGGAGGCTGTGATGTATCTTATCAGAAGGTGTTTCTTAAGATATGCTGTTTGGAGGGAAACTCACTGAATAACCTGACGACATCGTTTCCTCTGGCATCACCTCGCGGTAGTATTCTCCAGTCGTTTTCGCGGCTGGAATCCTGGCGCCCGATTCGGATGGGGACGGTGGGACCTTCAGGACATGTCTTGACGGCGTGTGCGGCGGCGAACTGGATGAGATCGCCGACGCCGACGTTGGTTTGCGAGGCTACGCCTGCGAGGTTGCTGCAGAAGCGTTGGAGGCCGCGGCTGGGGGCTTGTGCGCATTCGTTGGCTAGGATGAGAGAGCCGTCACAGGCTCCTGGGAAGCAGTCGTGGAAAGCAGCTCGGATGGCGGCGCGAGCAGCATCTGTGCATTCGCCGTTTGCGGAGAATTGTTGGGTGAGAGTGGCGGATATTTGGGTCCAGATGGCAGGGCATTCGCTTGGATCATCTTTGTTGCCGCCACCGCCACCGAAGATGTTGCTGAGTAGGCCGAAGATGTTGATGAATTGTCGCTTTTGTACGGGAGGAGGATCTGCTACTATCCACTTCTCGTCTTCACCAAATGTGTCATTGTTGTAGGCTTGGACTGTGCTGGCAGCCGCTAGGCCAGAGATCAGAATGTTGCGAATATACATTAGGTATGTAAGGTAAAAAGCGCGGGTTTGACCAACAGATTGTTCTAGGATGGGGGCCTGGAATGACTGGAAGAAGTTGAAAGTAAAGTAAAGAACGACTGTGATAGTATTGGTTCCAAACACAAAGATGTCTGAGGCTCATCTACTTATACCTAACGATATTTTTCGGACGGCAGAGGGGTAGTACTCACGATTAATGTTCATCCATGACATGGCACGAGCAGATCTGCGTCCGAACCCTGAAGCTTGAGGGTAAGCTTTAGAGAGAATTCTGAAATAGAAACAGATCTGACGGGCCGCTAGTCAGGCGATAAGAGCGACCCGCTGTTGTTTTGAAGAACCGTTACCCACTAACATGTTTCCAATATGGTAACGCATGCTTGCAGTCCGGCAAAGGGTAGCCGATGTGCAGATCGACCTTGGATATGCAGCGTGATTGCAATAACCTACCTCATAAGACGAGCTGGGCATGTTTGGAAGCTTGAGTTAGCAAAGTCTTACTCGCCAACATCTAATGGCGGTTATGTCGTGTGTCTCTGCCGTCAGCTTAGAGTATACGCAATGCACTATCGGAAACCACCATTCCAGAATTACTTAACACCGTGTTCCAGAAGTAAAGAATATCCAATGGCAGCATCTTTTTGGGAATACAGCAGGCCATGTACTTCTTGATGGGAGGTGAGCCCTTTCCGTGTCGAAACAATAAGTTGCTAAAGAAAGGCGTGGGGAAGATGCCTATTGTTTCAGGATAGATTTAGACTAGCGAGCGCTATGAAGCAGATCATCATCGGCAATAAACGAGGATCGCCGCGACCCTGGGGGTTGGGCCACAGACGCCATAAGTTTGAGGCATCAGGGATTAAGATTGACCTTTACCAGACGGGGATTAGCATACCAAGGTTGTTTGTCGTGGGCTGATCAGCGACGGATTGCAACTTCTGGTCTGATGTCCTTCATGGGGTGCTTTCTCTATGAAATCCGACCGCAGGGTGCTATTGTGAACAAATGCTACTTGTGTTGATTGCAGGGAAAGTGGTACAAAGAGTCAAGTGGGTGTTGTGATAAAAACGCTAAGTGGACGCCTTGGGGAAGATAGTTAAAACGGTAGTCCCCTAGCGAGAACCTTATTACCGAATTGCGCCCTTGCAATTAGTTCTCGCTCCACTAGTATCGCTAAATCAACGATAGTCTCTTGTACAAGCATTTGGACCGCGCCGGGAGCCGCAAGGCTTGGTGAACTGGCAGTATCAGTGTTCGCTGCTGAGATGTGGCAGGCACACTAATCATTAACCTCGAGCGCATGTTCACGCCAGTGGCGAAATGTAATATTTCCAGAGACCAGCAGTACGAAAGAAGACCTTACCGACGTGAAATGTCTTCTTTGCATACTTACCACGTGAGACCCTCGCTTCGAGCTCCTGCAGCGCGAAACCGATATGCACGCACCGCCGCTCTACCACCCCAAAGAATGCCACCGCCTCTCAGTGGCTGAACTGGAGTCATTCAAGGTCTTTCGTGTCATGTCGCGAAAACGCGCCGCCAGTCATTGAGATGCAGTCAGACTTACGTAGTCGCAAAGCCATTGGAGTCAAATTTAGCTCCAGTTGTTACATTCATGGAATCCCACGACAACGAATGCGATAACGTTAGTGCTTACGCTTGGTGCAGTTGACAGGACGTGTCAAGATACGTGATATTTGTAGCAGATGTGACAGAATGAAGTAGATGATTGGGGATAAAGAGAGTACTTGGTACGTGGTTACGGAACGATATGGAGCGAAACTAGGAATATATAGCCTCCAAAGGGAGCTTGTCGGTACGCAACGATGCCGTAATAGCGTTAAACCCAGTTCTTTAGTGATGAGAATAGCATACTTGTTAGTCGGGTAGATCGATGTCGAGTGCTTACTCGGACAGAGATTGAGTGTGCGCGGCCGAACTCAACTAACTGCATTCCGAGTGACGATTGAGTTGTGACAAATTTCCGTACCCCACGCTAAGTGGCACGTGAATGACCGTCACTATTGTAGACCATGAGATGACTGAACATGTGACAATGGAGTTGGTGTTTCACGAAAACAGCTTCGTGCTACTTAGACATGTATGCATCGCCGAAGGACTTCGAAAATTGAGTGAAATTGGTTTTCTTTGATTTTTTTCCAACGAATATGGTAGTAATGCCGTTGGCGGTGTTCATTCTCTTTCATTGTAGTTTCTTTGATCCGCAAATCAATGCCTTCAGAATGTTCAACGCGTACAATGATCAGTAGTTTAGTGGATTTTGGAGAAGGTGATACTAATTACCTTGAATAGCAAGTACCCATTTTTCACTGGTCCTATTGGACCGGAATAGTGCTTCCAGTTCGGATATCATACACATGTACGCCAAGAGTGTTGGGGTACACTAGAAGTAGGAAGCTCGAAAATATGTACCTGGAGAATTGGCCCAAGCTGTGGCTGTACCGTGACGTCACATCCTCAACCACGTCCCATCCCTATCTCAGAACAGTAAACAATCTGCAGCTTTTTGCTACAGAAGGCATAATTCTTCCATGAAAGAGATTTCAAGAGCTTGGAAGCATGGAAAGAGACTGCAAAAGATGTTTAATTTGACCTTGAAGATGATCAATGCGCACTCATCTTATACACAAGGGTAGGAAGATTAACTCCTACCATCATTACCAGTAAGCTCTGAGACAAGAAAAAAACTTGAATAAACTCAATTCTACAGAAGAGACGATGTTACACATACTTGAACATCTGAATTTCAGGTGAGATTGATTTGTATGTTTACTAACCAACAACACGAACACGACTGTTTACATCCCAACATACTCCACAGCATATAACATCCGAATCCATACCCACCCTAAGCTTCGCCCCGCATAGCAACCCGCTTCCCATTCGTCCCGTACTACACTCAGCTTAAACCTCAAGATATAGATTAAAAAAAAGATCATCTTGCACAACCGTCCTCGCCTCTACACACCCTCCGTCGCATCCACCATGCTCTCCCACCTCCGCAAAGCCCTTCCACCCTTCCTCCTCCTCTCTTCCACCCAACAATCCAACAACAATTCCCAAACCCCCAAGGATGGTATTTGCAACTGACTGGCCGCATACAAGGTTTGAAGACTATGATGTTCGGCCGTTTGTGAAGAAGTGTCTTGAATGGGCGCAGGAGTTTCAACTGTGTTGATCAGATGTTGTGTAGAAATGCGAAGAAGCTGCGGGATGTCAAGTGTTAATTGTGAGAGAGATGGATCTGTAGGCTGAGTGCAATTGGGCGTCACCCTCAGTTCTTGAGATATCATAGCCAAACTGGCTGTAAGTCTTATTCTAACCAGTAGACACCTGGAAACTCTTCAACTAGACTCATCAAAGGTAAACAGTCATCCACAGGACTATATGCTAACAACATCTAAACGCCGTCGCCATGCATATCTGCATATCATGCTAGGTATCCAACTTAATGCCTAATGAACAACGCCAATTGCAAACTTCAATCGAACCTCGTATTCCTTATTTCCCCCCAAAGATCCTCTTAATATCTGCAAACTTGACCGGTTTAACAAGATACATATCTACGCCCGCCTCTTGAGCATCCATCTGATCCTGTGCACTCGCTAATCCTGTGAGCGCTACAATATGGCTCTTGGGCAATCCCATCTTCGCCTCATATTGGCGAATTTGCCTCGTACTCGTCAGACCATCCATGACCGGCATGCTAAGGTCCATAAGCACAAATTCAAAGGGTCTACTTGGTGTGGCCGTAGACTTGGATTCAGCCTTGAAGGTTTCAAGAGCTTCGAGACCATTGGTAGCTTCGACATAGCGCAGATTCTGTCGCTTAGCGAACACGACTAGGAGTTTGAGGTTGATAGCGTTGTCGTCTACCAGAAGAACGCGTGGATTAAAGTACTCGCCATTTTCACTATGGCTAGGACTCAAAGGAGTGATGGTCGAGGGGAAAGGCCTTGGCGGAGGTGGTGAAGGAAATCCGACAGAATCATCATCTTGTTTCGTGGACGACGACTCGGGAGGCCTGTCGCTATTACTTCGCTGGGGTAGGTTTCTCTCTGGGACGAGAGACTGAAACTCTGGCTGCACGACGGAGGAGCTCATCGAACGGCTGATGGCTCGCTCGGTACTGAGCTGTGAAGCGCGACTTTGACATGATAAAAGGGTTCGAGCAAGTTTCCGAGGGCCGCAGCTATCAAAGATTTAGTAAAATCAATGGCACTAAGGAAGTTATGTTACTTACGGCTGAGTGACAATCTCAGCTATCCATCCTAGCGTATCGATTTGTCGTGCAAGCTGAGTCTCAACTGCTGCTTTCTCGGAAGTATCTGTGCAAACGCAGATCACACCGAGTGGAGACTTCTTAGATCGATTGGCTGTTGCCTTGTGTATTAGTTGGAAGAGTGATGGAGAGTCGGTAAGTAGGAAGTCGATGTCGGCCAGCGAGGTATTGCTATCGGAGTTTTTCGACTCAACAATTTCCATATCAAAGTTCTTACAGGCATTCTCCATTGACTGTTTTGTCCTCAGGCCACGTTGGACACAGTCGGTCTCAGTCATGTCGCAAACGATACTGGCTGATAAGCCCTTCAACTCTTCTGGAGCGCGCAGAAGTGCATGGTCCTGGTGCGCATTCTCCTTGGAACCGATTGGCAGACGCATGTTAATCTTGATAATGGTACCGGCATTTTGAGTGCTTTTGACTTCGATCTCGCCCTTGAGAGATTCAACAATTTGCTTTACGATTGAAAGACCCAACCCGGTACCAGAACTGAAAGGATCCTCTTGGCTAAACGGCGAGAATAGCTTCGTCCGTTGGTACTCTTGCGACATTCCTCTTCCAGAGTCTTCGACGCTGATACTCAGGTTCATGAAATTGGCAGTCGAGCCGTTTTGTAGCATCTTGATGGCAATGAAACCAGAATCAGTGTACTTCAAAGCGTTGCCCACCAGATTCATCACGATTCGACGAAGAGCGCCGGGCTGAGAGCGCACAATCCAACTGACATAAGGGGCCACGATTAGCGATACAGCAACAGAGCCATGTGTATCTCTGCCTTCTACGTCGGTATTGACATTGGAATTTTGTTTGGAGCCTTTCACAGCTGCATTTTCGGCTTGGTCATAGATGGCAGATCCACGAATATGGTGTGTTTTTCTAAACGTATGGCCAGCGCAGACTGTGTCGCAAACTTCTTCGACCAGTTGAGCCAGGTCGACGTCAGAAGTAACACCAAGAATGGAATTATCGGCCGGGAGTCTCTTGTTCCGACCTTGACCTCGATGTCTTTGGACAGCGTTCCCCTTCTGTAGTTTGTTAATCTTTGCGTAATCAAGTACATGGTCGATGGTATCCAGTAGCGTCTTTCCGCATGTTTCAATGGAAGAGACGAGAGATTCTTGGTATGCCGATGCCACTGTCTCACGTAGAAACTCGACCGAGCCGAGGATACCATGAAGCGGCGATCGTAGCTCGTGTGAGATGGATGCGATGAAGGTTGTCTTGGCACGGTCCGCCTTTTGCACATTGAGGCGCGCTACCTCACTGGTGACTGAATTTCCAAAGGCCTGTAGGTACGGCAGCTCGTTATCTGGACTCATCAGCCTTCCAGCTTGAGCTGTCCAGATGAAACCACCTGCAATCCATCTTTCCGTACTCGGATCCCATAAAGGCAAGAAGATCAAACTGCGAACCTTGGGCAAGACCTTCAAAAATTCTGTGGGAACGAATCGTTCTCGCTTCTTTCGCGGCTTCTTTGTGCCTGCTGTAGATGCGTTTACAGTGCGGTCCGATTGTTCGGTTTCGGAGCGCTCGGATCTCTCATCGGATGAATTGACGCCGATGCCGTCTTCATTGAAATTGAAAAACTTTCCGTAAGGGTAACGGTGTATGTATCGCTCCATAGCAGCCTCGGTGAAGCTAAACTCAGAGTGCACCAAACTCGCGTTACCTTCCCGTAAAGAAAGCCCGGCTACAGGGCAAGGTTTGCTATCGACGATGTTTGGATCTGCCGAACCATGTGTGTTGACAAGGTTCTGTTTTTTTATTCTTCGCGATGTTGTCGAGTCGCCGGTATCGGTGTTGTGTGTTGCACTCTCGTCACTGCTCCCAGCGTTTCGGTTATAGTCGTAGAGGTGAGTCCTTATGCCGGCTGCAGACGTATCGAAAAAGACGACACCATCAGCATCAGTACTCTGCCGTATAATGCGAGCTGCGCGGTGAAATATGCGGGATGCGTCCGACTCGGAATCGCGCTTGCGCTGCGCTTGCCTGCTGGCTGTGGCATGTGTGGATGTGGAGTTGCATTCAGACTCTTCCTCATCTAGCGTCACCAAGCGCGCGTTTTCAGTCTGCCGCTCCATAGTGCTGGATCGATTGCTCTCCTCGCGCATGTCCTGGGCAGACGAGCGCTCGATGAACTGGGTCAAGCCTCGTACCATGCGCTCCCCCTTATTCCTGTCCATACTGTCTTTGGCCAACTCGAGGTGCTCCATGATGGCGGCTGCAACATCTTGCATAAAGCGCACCTCAGCAGCAGTAATACCTGCACGAGGCCTTTCGTCAGATACAGCATAGACACCAATGCGATTTCCAGCCTTGGTGACAATGGGGACACCCGCGTAAAACCTCACACCAGGCTCGGACGTGACATAATCTCTCTCAGCGAAACGAGGATCCAGTCTGCAGTCAGGAATGACCATGCACTCCGCCTCGAAGGTATCGCCATTATCTTCCTTTGCGATATATGTCGATGTGAAGGTGTGGTAACAGACAGCGTCCACCTTGTTCAGTATGGCATTGCCTAGCCACACCTCGTCCTCAGGCGCTTCAGCGACAGGTTTGAATAGCGAAAGTGTGCGAGTGGCTTCAGCGAGGATATACTGTCGGCTCGAGTCGATCAGGGAGACCATAGCCCGGCGCGTGTCAAGACGGAGCGTAGCCAGCTGCGCAAAGGCAGTCAGAGAGCGATCGCGCGACGACTGCGGCTGGTAGCCAGAGTAAGTCAGAGGCTTGCCAGAGCCGTCGGCATCTAGCAGGCTCTGGCCGTCGAGCCATGGGCGGTAATACCTGGGGGAATAGGGTCAACGGCAGCTAGCGTGGAGTACATATGCATAACGACGAACCTGTGGAGATCACGCTCTCGGATTGCTTCATAAGAATAGCCCATGGTACTGTGTGTTAGCGGGGGGGTATCTCAACATGGCATTCCACACGCGCAATAATTCACGTATCCCAAGGCAAAGGCACAGTGGCGGGGGACATGCGGCGAGTTGTGTCAACCCACGCCATCGACGATTAGCTGGAGATTGATGCCGCGGACGACTGTTTTGAGCGGGTAATTAACTCGATGCGTATTAGAGGCCCCGACCCTGGCCAGTGGAGGTTCCAAGATTCCACGGTCATTTTGCCATGGGTACAGAGAATCCGATGAAAAGACGTCTGTGGTTATCGAAGCATGACGTGCCATCGGAAGGCGCGCTTAGTGGCTTTGCACCCGCAAATCCGAGCAGACGCCGATCTCCCGCAATGCCGCCGATTTGCAATGAACAGAACCTGCACACCGAAACACACCACGCGACAAGGCCGGCGACACAGGAGACGCAATGTTCGAACTGCCGGATGCGAAGTGGTAAATCTCGACCAGGAAGACATCCAGAACCGGCTGCATCATACTGACCTTGCCAAGGGTGCGCCGCGACGAGCTCCAATCGCCCACATCATCACCACGCTCTTCGCCGGATCGAGACCTCGAGGAACTTTTGCGGTCCAAGATCCACAGCCAATTTACGTATACAACGACCGAACAAGTCGTCGAAGATGCTGCGCACAGTGATGACGATGAGGCGGAACTGCGACTCTTTGCTGCACCTTCGAATGCGCCCGCGCAAACACACAAGATCCGTTTATCGTCCCCCACTGCCGACAGTGGAGAGCCGGGCCTCATCTTGAAGAAGCCCCGAAGCTACTATTTTGCCGATGAGCCCACAAGTGACGAGGAGGCTGCCTTCCGGGCGGCAGCCATCGACGGAAAGGGCGTCTTGGAGCTGTCACAGCTGCCTTGGCCGGGCTGCGCCTTGCCGTGGAAAGTGCGCAAAATCTCGCCAGCAGGGATGAGAAAAGAAGTCCTGGTCGGCCATCCTGCAATGCTCGCCACGGCGGAGGAAAAGATACACAAACGGACAAGAAAGAGCAAGAAGACGCGAATTGCAATCAGAAAGAAGCTGCAGGCGACCAAGGAGAAGCAGAGTGAGCAGGCACGGCTTGCGCAGGAGAAGATGGAGGCGGAGCGCGAAAAGAAGACGCGCAGAAACAGAGAAAAGAAGTTGAAGAAGAAGGCCAAAGAGTAGGCCAAGAAGGCAGCAGATGGAGGGAATAAAGAGATCAAGGATGTTGCGGGAGATGCACAAGAAGCATCTTCATCTGTGACTAGCCCTACTCCCGCTCCCGCGGATGACGCCATGACCTAAACTCAACTATGTGACATTTTTAGGTTACAACAATCACGTGGGTGCTGACTGGGCTAAGCATGCGCCTTGGAGAGCGTCCTCTATGATACAGGACTTTCAATCACCATGTTGCCTTCATCTCCTTCCCCTTGAAGTGCGCCGTATGCAAACGATATCTAATAGCAATATCTTTCCCAGTCTGCTTAACAGCGAGGGAACCCTCTGTAAATACCTGAGAGCACAAAGGCGGATACAACTCCGGTACAGAGAGCCCCGCCGCTCCTTCCAACACCGTGTCCGCACTGCTCCTTCCCCATTGAAGGCCGTGCATGTTGATCCACATGTGCACATGGGTTCCTCGCTAGACATGTATCCTGCGCTCCTCCCTTCTTGTATATCACAGGAGGCCGGCTAGCAATGTAAAAATACAACAACACCGAACTATGCATTCAAACGCTCCTCTTGTCGTATCTTTTCTCAATGCTGTCTATCACACCTAACCCCATGACCTCTGCATTCAGCCTTGTCGCGCCACACTATAGGCTGTGCACTCAGCCTTACCCCTCCCCGCTCATCATAAAAGTGACGACGTCGCAAGCCGTGGCGGAATCCGCTCATAAACTTCTGCGCTGTCTTTCTCTTAGATACGATTTTGAGTATAGCCTAACGTCACATACCCCTGACTACACGTTCTGTCAGCTTCGGTCTCGTCAACATTGTTGTGGTAATTATATTATAAGATGGGTTTATCGATGCTTCTATACCAAGGCAAGTTGAGGTATTACTATGAAGATTAAAAACTTTACACAAATGGTACTATCATCAAGTCTAAGCAGAAGCTAATGGGAAAGCGGACTGTAGTATCTCGAAATGATACGCCTGAATCAACATGGAATCTTGGGAGCTTCTGTGCGACCAGCCGCAACCTGCGAATGATTCAGATCACCTACCGGAGTTTGCATACAAGTCAGCATCACCCCAGGAATGTATTCGCCTGATTGACATCCTCGAGCTTTCCACAGATGGCACCGTTATATGCGCTATGAAAGAAAAGCAGTTCAATCTCCATAAGGGCAGCTATAATGCTCTTTCATATTGCTGGGGCCCATCCAGACCTCTGCATCGAATCATTATCAATAATAAAGTCCTATATATTCGAGAGAACTTTAGGAATTTTATGTGTTCTGCGCTTACAGCTCACTAGGATGCCTGTCATAATTTATGGATCGATGCTATATGCATCAATCAATCGGATTTTGCTGAGAGAGCTATCCAAGTCGGCCAAATGCACCAAATCTTTTCCAATGCAGGCATCGTCTATGCTTGGATAGGAAATTGGGACACTAGATTTGGCTCAGCCTTCCAAAAACTTGAAGAGCCCCGCGCAAACAGTAAGCTAGCTTTTTCATTCTTTCACCCGAATGTTCATGCATAAACACCAGTTATATCATACCACGTTGTACCATGTTCTAAAATTGATATAGTTCTCAGAATCTGCAATATATGTTCAAATGTAACCATTTCTATGCGGCACTTGTTCGCACGAGACTACTGGAGCCGGATGTGGATAGTCCAAGAAAATATCCGGCTTCCAATATTCGCCTCCGCTGTGGTAGCAAGTCATTAGATTAGAACACTGGATCGGTATCGCAAATCCTACAGGCAGCCATCAGAGAGCTATGGAAGATTCATCCTCCTATAACGCAAGCAAACTCCAGGAACATGAGCGTTGCACAAACTTTGGTTCGTCTGTCTCTGAGCCGTGCTAGAGGTGACAACACCGCCAATTCTCCAACCTTGTATGAACTTCTTAGTCAACTGGGCCAAGGGGAATGTGCAGACGTCCGTGATAGGATCTACTCACTACTTGGGCTGTTCCCCGAAGGGCCGAGCCTACAGATCGACTATCTCATTAGTACTCATGCGCTTTTCTTCAACGTGCTACTAGCACTTGAACGCAAGAGAGGATTCCGTGACTGCCTGGTCTTAAGGCGTTCTCTGAACCTCACCCACCAGGATCTAGAGGACTACTGGGCCAGTCACAAGCGGCAGCACAGTAACTCTGAGGATATAGCGACCCACTTGGCGGAACTCAAGTCGATCAAGGAATGGAGCAGTCCACTAGCTCTAGAAATCGACTTTACTCCCTTACATGCCGAAATAAGATTCAGCGATTATATTTAGGAGTTTGCACGCATGCCGCACCTCAGCCACGTACTTATTCTGAGAGACGATTCTACTTTCGTCAGGGATGCGACAGGAACAATGACATGTGTCGCATTGGGACTGATTCACAAGTCCCGAGAGTTCTGTAATGGGCCTTGTCGTGCATACCAGTGGCCACATCTCCGACTCAGCGTATTTCCTTGGGAGTCATTCCAACCCGCTACAGTAAGGAAGCAAATTTGGGTGTCATCACCGCCTTCACTATCCATTCATATCAGCCCATCCATGCTGCTCTTCCTTATCAGGTGGTTCGATATCACTTGGTATAAGTGTCATGCCGACAACCTTGGCAACAGTGAACCCCCGTTCTCAAGACAATCGTACTGGAAGACTACCGGGTATACAAAGATATGTCGCCCTCTCCGATCCCAATGCCTACATTTTTTCACCATCCGTATCAAGAATTCGATCAAGGAAGTAACTCTTCAGACTCCGGAATTGGAAGCCAGTAGGATTATTCCGTGCAACTGTACGCCAACAACAGATTTTTTGGAACATCTACGATGAGTGGCCGTGAACAACGGTCTACTGAACATATCCACTATTGGTAGAGAGGCCGAGTGCGATGTTGCTTCATGATCTCAGACGATGGGGACCCGCCGGATCCTCCCAACAGGGTGCAGCGAGGTTTGCATTATGATCAAACGTCATCATTCTCTCCCCTTCGTTCGTCAAGGTTACTCTGGTAACCAGAACCCGGAACCGGTTGCGCTTTCTGTAAACATGAACATGTATCTAGTTGATATGCCGGTAGTTGTGCGTCACGACTTATTGAGGATTTGAGTATGAGATTTCGAATAGCATGACGGAGTCAGTATATACTAGAAAGCGCCCTTCAGCCTTTCAGACAACTGCTAGCGTAGAAAAAGCGAAAGCATTTTTTGTACATGCTGATCATTTTTGAACAATGTCTCACTCGGTAGGAGTTGTAGTTGTTAAAAAGCTTGTTTCGTGGTGTTTCAACATTTGTAAACATGATCTGTGATCTGCCGTGCATGACGGCCCAGGCACATGCAAGGCATCAACGGAGTCTGTTGGAAAATCGATCGCATAATAGAGAGCTTTTCAGCGTGGGCCAAAATTCGTAACATGTTAGCGTAGAAGTCGGGTTTCACATAGAAAGAATCTCCGGCTTGTATGTGGCAGAAGGTGATGCAACAGTGGCGGTGGTGCCCATTGCCTTGAGCGTGCTCGCTCGCTTCTGCGACCCAAACGCCGAGTCAGTTGGAAACAGGGACCCAACGTGACCCTTGATACCACCACTCACCTACACCAACTGGCCCGCATAAAGGTGCCCAAGAGCAGTACTGAACGCGCAAACCTTCGATCGGCACAGCTCGTCAGCCCACCATGTCGTCTTACCTCAATAATCTCCTCACCAACACGACATCGCGCTACAACAACCTGCGACGACAGATCCTATCCGACGAGGCAGATGGCGATACAGAAGACGACTCGCACCTCTCGCGAGTACTTCGCGCATATTACACGGAAAAGGGCAGGCCCTTCCCCCAATGGCTTCCACCAGACCCAAAGGGCCCTCAACCCACGACCCCGACGCAGTTCGCATCTTCTTCGTCGCTGCGACAACAGGGACAAGCACCGCCAATGGGCAGAGGAGGTGGAGGACTCAGCGATCTGTGGGACACTCCTGCGCCGCAACAGCAGGCACAAGAACCACTGTCGCTCCGCCGAGGTGCAGGAGGACGTGGCGGAGGAGGGCGCCCGATGCAAGGCCGACCCATGGGCAACTCCATGACGCCAGAGCCTCAAGTGCAGGGACGACCATTGCCGAGTCAAAGGGCTGGTAGCTACCAGAGCTCGGTAGGAGGACGTTCTCAGGCCGAGTCTTCATCACCACCACCAAGCGCAGGAGGGGGCACATCCGCGCAGGAACGGCTCAAGGCCAGGCTATGGGGGAGGTCACAGAGCCCAGCGCAGCGCGGACCAGCTTCAGATTCTGGGAGCGCCAACCCGTCTAGCCCGCGCAGCCCATATGACCAAGGAGGGCGACCACCATACCCAGAAGAGCGAAGCAACAGCTATGGAAGTAATGGCAGCGCTGGTGGAAGGCAGCAGGGCTATTCTGGCATGTCGGCAAACTCGCCTTGGACTGGCAATGCCGATCCATATGCGCCACAGAATGGTGGAGGATACGGGGGAAGTGCACCGCCACGCGGACCACCACAGGGCGGACGTATGGGCCTGCCGAGTGGACCGCGCATGCGCTGAAGGCCTTTTGAGTTCTTGGTGGGTTGAGCATGGCGTAACGGAGTGGTTGTTGGTACTCACTGGGAAGGCAAGCATGGGTCTGTAGACATTTGGCAACATAGTTCAGGTTTACTGTACAGGCAGGTCCTTAATAATATCGATCTATTCAACACAGGGCCGTAGCAAAGCACCGGTTTCAGTTTTCGATTGTTTGCGCGCGTCATATCGTTGTCCAGGTCGTGCTACCACTACCACCACCTGATTCGATGAGGGGCGACGGTAGCGGCGACGCGTTCCCCGCGCACAGCCACACTCGTCATCCGGCGAGCTGAGCCTAGCCTGCAAGCATCACCTGCGACTATACGCCGCTGTTCAAGCATGTGCACCTGTTTGCCTAATACCTAGATTATCTTCTACATACTCACCAGCATCTTAGTCCTACACGCAAATCTCTCTCCATCTAGTGCCACTGTATAGCCCTGGTGGTCTTATAGCCCCGCATGGCTTCCCAAGCAGAGGCGCCACCCTCTCCAACCGCGAGCTTCTATGATATGAGTGATGATGAAGAGGGCGAGTACAACACAATTCGACATACTAGCAGTGGCAAAGGTGTAAAGCTACTGTATACAAAGAGCAAAGTTCGCACAACGACGTGTACATTTGGCCATCTGCACACTGGACTAACACGCATAGGTATACGTACATCCCTCACCCTCGTCTAAGGACAACATCCCTGGCTTCATTGCCCTCATACAACAAAAGTCAACCCGCTCCCCCAACGATGTACGCCCTACTTCATCCTCGTCAGCCCGAAGCGTCAGCGCGTCCTCATTACTCCTTTGTTGGATACCAGAGTCGAGCCTCGGCGATGCATACGATACCTACGTCAAGGTTGATCTATCAGACTCCTCGTCACCACCTAAACAGTCATATCTGGTGCCACCACCTCCCACGCCTTCCACACACTCTGTAACTCCCGGATATGCATTTGCACTACCCGTCAGCGAGATATATTCGGTCTTGATACGACCACCAAGTATAGGATGGTGGTTTGGGAGCGTGGTTGTCAATACCCGTGCTGGTGACAGTTTTCCTGCGCTATTCTTCCATGACAGTGAGTGCCAGTCCACTATTATGCAAAGGAAGAAGCTAGCAAAGGAGAGTTTTGACCCGTTCGGTGACGGAGGTGGCATGTTCTGGGGCGGCGACGAGGTACTCAGATGGCTCAAACGATACGTGACAGTTGAGCGGTCGGGGGCCGACCCGAGCATATATCTCATTGATCCCTCTGAAGAAGACAAGAAATCATTTGGAAAAGATGTGGCACCGAGAAAGAGCACAGAGGGACAAGCAGGCACACCATCTTCGCAACAAGGCGGACAAAGAGACGGAGCCATGGATCCAGTAACAAAGGCGCTCAAAGAGGCGAGATGGAATTTCCTTGAGAAGCTCAGCCAAGTCACTACATTTACAAGAAGGACTGCACAAGCCGTTGCAGACAACCCCAAAATCCCTCCTCAGGTTAGGCGCTTGATTCAGAATCCAGAGGTACAGACCTTGCAGGAAGAGTTCGACAGTGCACGGTTATATCTGGCGAGGTGGGCTATGGGAATCGCCGAGCAAAGTGAACGAGAGCGAAACCAGCGCATATGGACAGCCAAAGACGTCTTGGCCATGGAGGAAAGCGACGTCGGCGACTTTGAGATCCTAGACATGGACAAGATGACCATGGCCGATCGAAGAAAACCAGTCACCTTGGAAGAGTGGAAGGGCTTCTTCGATTCCAAGGGACGGTTGCAGTTGATGCCAGACGAAGTCAAGGACCGGATCTTCCACGGTGGCCTGGATCCCGACGACGGCGTGCGCAAAGAGGCCTGGCTATTCCTCCTGGGTGTTTACGAATGGGAGAGCTCAGAGGAAGAGCGACGCGCCCACATTAACAGCCTTCGCGACGAGTACATTCGACTCAAAGGCGCATGGTGGGAGCGGATGGCTGAAGGTCAGCACACCCTAGAGCAAGAAGAGTGGTGGAGGGAGCAGAAGAACAGGATAGGTTAGTTCCCGTGTTTGCTTTCGCTCTTTTGAATGTTCACTGACTTTCCCCATTCTATGGGGTTCGTTGTGTAGAGAAGGATGTACATCGCACAGATCGCAATATCCCCATCTTTGCTGGTGAGGATATTCCTCATCCTGATCCCGACTCTCCATTTGCAGATGTTGGCACGAACGTCCATTTGGAGCAGATGAAGGATATGCTGCTTACCTACAACGAATACAACAAGGGTCTTGGCTACGTACAAGGCATGAGCGATCTCCTCGCGCCCATCTACGCAGTCATGCAAGACGATGCAGTTGCCTTCTGGAGCTTTGTGGGGTTCATGGACCGCATGGTGAGTTTTCCGATAAACAATCAACATTGGAACAAAGAGGCTGATTATGAAATAGGAGCGAAACTTCCTACGGGATCAGTCCGGGATGCGCAAGCAACTCATGACTCTTGATCATCTTGTACAGCTCATGGATCCTAAGCTGTACCTGCACCTTCAGTCAGCGGAGTCGACCAACTTCTTTTTCTTCTTCCGCATGCTACTTGTTTGGTATAAGCGAGAGTTCGAATGGGCAGATGTACTGCGGTTATGGGAGTCCCTATGGACCGACTACCTAAGCAGCAACTTCCACATCTTTATTGCATTGGCTATACTGGAAAAGCATCGGGAGATTATCATGGCACATCTGAAGCACTTTGACGAAGTGCTCAAATATGGTAAGTGAAATGGCCCCTGAAGAAGCCCTTCTTTATACCTAGCAAACACTGACATTGCTTTAGTCAATGAGCTCTCCGGTACAATGGACCTGGAGTCAACACTCGTCCGCGCTGAGTCTCTATTCAAGAGATTCCAGCGAACAGTAGAAACTATTGACAAAAAGGGAAACTTTCCCTCGGCACCACAAGCAAGGCAGCGGAAGCCAGCCACTGGGGTGGCTGGTAGTTCGGGCTCCTCATCGTCAGCCAACCAAGCGACGAGCTCTGGTACTGACAAAGGCAAGCAGGCTGCCGGGGATGAGCAAGAGACGAGGGTGATCAGTCCGGAACTCCGCGCATTGTTGAGTCGAAAAGTAGAGAAGCTCGACAAAGATCAGACGTCAGAGCAGGGTGGTGGTGTTGGCAAGTAGGCGTGGTGAAGGATTGTTATCGTTAATTCATGAGTGGCGTTATGGGATGGCAGGATAGTTTTGGGAATACATCGGGGCATTCACTGCGGCTGGCGCGTTTGATAGGCTAATTCAGAAACGCCATTGATGATATCGTATCTCCACGTTCATTGCGCACCCCGCACTTCATCTTTCGTCATCACGTGGTGCCACGTCTGCCCTCATGCATCATGTTTTTATGTTTCATTTTCAAGGATATACCTACTGCGTCCTGACCGCGTTTTCACCTTCAATCAAAATCGGTTGCGCGGCTGTCGCTCATGGGCCTGACTCGCGCGTTCTGTTTTCTCCAAACAGTAGCCTAACACTTCACAACTTTATTGATCACCAACGCTACACTTGTATGATATGAACAAACCGCGTGCGGCTGCACCCTTCTCCCTTCATGAAGAGAGATACCGTGCCAGTGAAACTTTCAATGAACTATATCAATCGCTTCATCGACCGGCACTTGTCGCCGCGTCCGCGTACACAACGACCCTCTCAGCCGCCGAAACCCCTAGCGAGCTCCCATCACCAACAAAGGATACGCTTGCGCCCTCATTCTCACCACAAGCACAAGCGACGCAAACGCCGCCGGGAGATGACGGCTTTCAAGGGACCTTGGTCTAGCGACCTTGATTCCTTCAAGAAGTTGGTGCACTCGATACCAGAGCAGTACAAGCACTCTTTCGCTACTTCCTCAAAGGCAACGCTCGACAAGATTTGCGATCCAGGCGTGCTACATGTCTGGGAGTCAAACTCTGATGTCGACAGCTTTCTGCACCTTGCCTCAATCATTGCTAAGCTCTGCAATCTTGGAGTGCGCAAGAACGCCGGCGCGAATCCCAAGGATGGCTGTATGGTAATTATCGCTGAAGATAACAGTAGTGGGAGCAACTATAGTCGCATCTGCGAGTATGTTGGTTACTTGACTGGAGCCAAACTACGGAGCCACCTCGAAGACACTGTTGCCGCGTATGGCAAGATTGTTGTGGTCAGGGGTTGGGACAACAGTGTACTGAGTGGGCAGCGCGAGGCGCTTGAGAAGACTGTCCGACGAATCAACATTGCGATTGAGCGTGTACTGAAGATGGGAAAATTCGAAGGCAAGAAGAGGAAGATTGTCTGGCATCACAATGCAGTCATACCATTCTTGTTGCATTGGATCAACACCACGACACCGGCCTTGCGCTCGACCATATCTGCGATTACCATCACTGGCTCACTGGACTTCTCCACTGGCATTGGACCCTCTATCGCCGGTCGCGCAAACAAGGTACCAGATCTCGAGCGTTTAGAACAGTATGCGAAGAAGCTCGGTGTTCCTGTTGTCTTTCTCGACTCGTCGTCACAGCTCATCAACTTTGACTACTTGGGTACATATATGTACTACTACGCCTACTACATCAACACCTTCCTACCCTCCTCACTATCTCGACCTCACCTCGAGAAAGCTCAAGACGAACTTGTAACCTTTGCGTTTCGACTTCGCGCAGCCAGCGAAGCCAAGTACGGCATGGAAGCAGTAAAAATGGTACAAAAGTACCTCGACCCACGCACCGCCAAACAATGGGCCCACAACTGCATCAACAAAGACAGCTACGAAAAATCCAAATGCCGCGCCGCCGGCAAAGACGAATCCATCCACCACGCCGTTCAACTCGCCGACTGCCCTTTCGCCCGCTTCTCCTCTACCCCAGGCGTCCCAGCCTTCGCGCGTCTCGCCGTCGGACCCGCCTCGACCTCAACACCAGACCACTACACCGCCGCCCCCGTCAGCATCGCATTCCGCAAATCACAATTCCGCCCCGCCAGCCCCTCAACCTTCTACATCCTCATCCCCCAAGCCACCCAGGACCTCGAAAAAGTCACAAACCGCATCCAGGGCCTCATGATGGCGGTCCTCGAGCGCGTCCGCCGCGAAAAGGGAAACCCGGTCCTCGGCGACACTGAAAAAAGTATGTGGCGCGATGTCGTTAAAGCGTGCACTTGGGCGCTTGATGGGAGTGAGGAGAAGATGCCAAAGGATATGGTGAGGAAGGTGCGGTTTGTGAAGCAGAAACTTAAGACGGGGACGTGGGGGTATGCGGTTAATGCTCCGGCGACTACTGATGCGGCGGGTGGAGCTGCGGGGAATGGCGCTGCGCAGGCGGGTGTTGAGATGAATCGCCCGTATGCGTTTGATCAGGGTAAAGGGCAGAGTGCTACACCCGGGTATTATCAGGGTGGTGTGCAGCATGTGCTTCAGGCGCCGGTGGATGGCGCTGCTCAGGTTGCGCCTGCGCAGGTTTATCCTAGTGTTGGGCTTGGAGGGCTTCGTGGTAGTGGGCGTGGGTTTACCTGACATGTTTCTTTTTTGCTTTTTCTTTTATTCCGAAGGTATGCTGGCATTGTAGTTTTTTGCTTTTCTTGCTTTCTTTCTTGTTTACACCTTTTAGCGTTGTCGGACATGCATGAGCATTGAGCATGTGGAGTTTAGGTCATGACTTGATGATTAGATGATGCATGGATGGGTATATATATCTTATGAGTAATGACACTTATGGCTGAGTATGCTTTGAGCGTAATGTAGTTTTTTGCGTGCTAGTGATGGAAATGATTAGGTGGAGAAGTGTGGACGAATATGGTTCTGGGACGGTGTTTTTTGACCTGTTCTGCTTCATATGTTTTTTCGATGTTGGTTTTGAGGGCTGGTACCTACTAAGAGTATACGATTAAATACTGCTGGTTGTAGGCGTTATAATTCATTACACCCAACCGTATGATCCTCTGTTCGATGTTTGGTATCCTCTTCCTGAAACTTTACATAGACTGTAGCTGTTTTTGTTCATTGTTATGGTAAAGAAATACTGCAGGCTTTCTCACTCATTCCGGGCTTTTGCGAAAGACAAACACGAAGGAGTAAGATATATTCAAATTACAGAATCTTTGTATATACAAGAAGAATGATACTAAATACATGGTATCTTGGGGCATGAATCCACCACGCAAACGCCCACACCTAGAGCGAGTCCTCTATTTGTTGACCATGGGCTTCCCCGGATAACCTAGCTAATTCCATTTCCTTCTGGATTATCTCGAGCAGCAGGTGAAATCTCACTGTATATGGATGATGAGATCCATATTGCTCGGTCAGCTCGTTGTGTGCTTGTTGGTATAGCTTCGTTGCTTCCACGTATCGATGAAGTCTGTGCAAAGAACGGGCGAGATGGCGTTCCCCAAGCTTCTTGGTGGATATCTCTAATGCTTCCCGATATAACTTCTCAGATTCTCTATATCTACCCTGAGCAGATAAAATTCCTGACATATCACTCATACTACGCAGGATTAAGCTATGCCTCTCTCGTAGTTCTTTCTTACCCACCCCTAGAACTTCTTGAAGTAGCTTTTCCGCCTCGCTATATCTGTTCTAATAACGCATTACTGAAGCTAGGTCAGTTTTAGTTGACAGCGTTAAGTAGTGCTTCTTTCCTAGCTCTTTTTCATACACCCCTAGAACTTCTTGATAGAGATTTTCTGCCCCGCTATGATTTTTTCGACTACACATCAATGAAGCTAGGTTGCTTTTAGTTGATAGTGTTGAGTAATGCTTCTCTCCTAGCTCTTTCTTGCAATCCTCTAGAGCTTTCTGATAAAGATTTTCTGCCTCATCGTCCTTGCCTTGAGAACGCAGTGCTGATGCCAAATGTGTCACACTTTCTAGAGTACTAGGATGGTACTCTCCTAGCTCCCTCATTTTTGCTTCTAGTGCTTGCTGGCTGGGTCTTACTGCCTCTTCGTGCCTACCTTGACTCTGAAACATCACCGCCAATAGTGACATAGTAAACAGAGTTGTCATATCACTGGGACCCAAACTCTTCTCCTCAGTAGCTAGTATCTTTACTGTAGCCTGTGTTGCAGCAGTATAGTCCCCTTTTTCAAATAGATAGAACGCTGCATGTTTCAGAACTCGGGCCCACAACAGCAATATATCCTTACCGGATGGCTTGCTGTTAAAAAGTAGTTCCACGTGCGGAAACAGCTGGTGCCACTTTTCCCAGTTCTTGACAACCACATTAAGCGGCTCTTGCGCTATCAGCTTTTGGGCCATTAGCTCTATGAATTCTCCTTCCCATCGCTCTGCATCACCATGAGACGACAGCCATGCTCGTGTGCAGAACTGCACTAGAGCGTGCATATCGCATACATTATCTGCGGTCCTCGATACCAAGGAGTACGCTCGTAGAGTAGTTAAATCCTCGTCAAACCCACAATCATCATTATCATCTCCATTTTCTTCATCTTTGTCTTCGTCTTGGTTTTGGTGTTGGTGTTGGTCTTCGTCTTCATCATCTTCTACGCCAGTCGCCTTTACCATGTACTTTCTGAATCGCCGCAATGTCCACTCTGGTATGCCCTGTGAGTCAAAGAAGCTCATGAGCGACAACAGATCGGCTGCTGATTCTCGCTCATGGCGGATCTGCTCGAATGACATTTGCCAGGTATTCAGTATAGAGCTGGAGGCACTCTGATCTCGACGCAACTCCACTACATCGCACTTCAGCAAACGCACTCGATTCGTCTTGTTTTTCTGAAAATTGTCTAGATAACGTGACACCGTCATGTTTGTACATCGGTTAATGTACGCAGCCGCTTCTATGATAGCAAGAGGTATATGGTCGAGTGCGTGTAACAGTTTTAGAGCGCTCTCCTCAAGGGGCGGGTTGTATAGTTTGTTGCGCAACAGCTGGAGGCCCTCGCCTATGCTCATGGCAAGCACCTCGCGAATCCTGTTGTGACCGCCTGCTAGGCTGGAGGCCGCATCTTTGCTCCGTGAAGTAACTAATATCGACCCGTTGAGGCTCTGGGGAACATATGTGGCCAGGGAAGTAGGGCTGTCGGTATCTGTCTCATCCCGCTTGCGCTTCCGTGATGGGAAAAAGGTCTCTACATCATCAACATTGTCTAATACCATCAACCACCTCCCATTTCTCTTATCCCGCAGCCAGTTTTTAACCAGCTGTAATACGTTCGCCTTGGGTTCGTCCTTGCCTGGCAGCTGTAGCTGGTCTGCGATATCTTTATACGCTTCCTTGAACCGGGCACGGGTACTAGCATGTACCCAAAAGACAAATGTCTGCGGGCTCGCATCGTGGATGCTATGGGCGTATTGTATCGCAATCTGCGATATGCTACTACATATCAATGTATTAATCTTGCAATAGGCCTACAATACGTCAACATACCCTACTCCGCCAAGACCAACCAGCGCTGCTCGCGCTCCGTTTCCCGCGCACTTGTCGCGCGCCCATGCGAGGATATCGGGCCGGTCGACGTAGTCCGGATCTGGTGCAAACGGCAGCGTGGAGAAAGGTTCAAGTTGACGATGAGGTGCTGGCAGACCGTTATCCGCTCGATCAGACCCAAAGTTGAAGTTCATCGTCCCACCAGGTCCACAGTGTGGAGCTGTGATGACGGTGTGAGCATCCAGGGGCCCGTGGAACGTGCTGGTCATGGTGCGGCGGAGAAGTGACTTCGTAAAACCTTCTGGTCAGAGAGAGAGAGAGAGAGAGAGAGAGAAGTCAGACGACTTGCAGCTATGTGTGCTGCCTGGATAGGAATGTGCCAGGAGAGTATCAGTTTCAGCCTTGTGTACTTCAAGTTCTGCGATGTTCAGTATTTCCTACTTCTTTTCTATGTAACTTTGTGCTAACTATCGAATTTGATTTATTCAATATGCGCCTGCTACGACGCAACGACTATGGCGGATACATCCTGCAAGAATTTGTAGGGGAGACCGTTCCCCGTTACGCCATCTTGTCTCACACCTGGGGGCCAGATCATGACGAAGTCACCTTCGCAGATCTCGGCAAAGACACAGACACATATATTTCCAAGCCAGGTTACAAGAAGCTACGGTTCTGTGAAGATCAGGTTGCCAAAAATGGCCTCTGCTATTTCTGGGTAGACACCTGCTGCATCGACAAATCGAGCAGTGCAGAGCTCACCGAAGCGATCAACTCCATGTTTGCCTGGTATCGCGATGCCGCGCGATGTTACGTTTATCTTTCTAACGTTTCAGCTGGCACCCCAATTAGTGGATCATCAGACCGACAACAATGGTACCCTGCTTTTCAGCAAAGCAGATAGATGGCCAGAGGATGGACGATCCAAGAGCTACTAGCTCCCGCATCGGTTGAATTCTTCTCAGTCGAAGGCCAGCGACTGGATAACAAATACTCGCTTTTGCAGGGACTCCACAGCATCACTGGAATAAGCATCGAAGCTCTTCAAGGAAGTCCGTTAGTCTGATTCAGCATAGAAGAGCGCCTGTCGTGGGCGCAAAAACGCCAGACAAAGCGCGAAGAAGACATGGCATATTCACTTCTGGGTATCTTTGATGTAAATATACCGCTTATATACGGAGAAGGCCTTTGCCCGACTGCGTAGGGAGATCGACTTATCCGCAGATGGAGGGCCTTCAGATACACCTCAGAGCGACATCCCAAAAGACCAAAATGAAGACTCGCGGAAGTATAATGGACCTGTATTCAATGGGACTATGTCAGGGAAATATGTGGTATCAGGAACTCATGTCACAGGCGGTAGTACAGCCAACTTTAACTTTGGAGAAGAAAGCCATGTTCGCCATTGAAAGAGAAATTCGAATCTAATGTCTAGACATAATACCAGCACAGACGATGAAGAATCTGGTATTCACGTTTGTAGAAGGAAGAATACTTGAAGGTCATTAGGTCTGGTGCGTCGCTCGCTAAAGATACAATGGAGAAGTTATTTGAGCCATATAGACTTCCAATCCGGGTTCACACTGCCTCTTACTCTCTCACCGTTCATGATACCATAGACATAGACCTCCCCTCTTACTGGAACTGGCCTCAGCAAGAAAAGCGTCATCGCATCTTCCAAGATCCACACTTCATCGGCTGGCCGTGACACAGATGTAGCGATTCCAAAGTAGTAGTTCATGGTTCTGAAGAAAGTTCGGTTACCTAGCCCGATCATGCGTTTGTATCGCCCCACTAGGGTGTTGTTGATTTGGGAAACATTGGCTTGGTCTAAGTCGTCGGCTGACGGTAGTGTTTGGAGCGCCGCCTCATTGACAGAAGTTTGCCGCAATGCATTCAAGTTCCTCAACCTCTCCTCGTAGTCGTCTAAAGTGGTAGGGTCGGAGCCACGGTCTCCTATTATCTTGGGGCACCACGTCCCTTCCATGAATTTAGAAAGAAGCTTTTTTTCCTTTTTTGGACGATCAACTATCATTCTCCGAAGATAAAGCCAGGCCTGTTCACTTGCCTCAATCGGGTGTCTCTTTGTGGTTCTGCTGACCGCACCTATCAAGATGGCTTCAAGTCGAATCAGGTCAGGAATATCAAGCTCCCATCTCAGATACTCTTCACGTGTTTTGTCGTTCAGCTGCTTTGTCATTTCGCATGTCAGGCCGCCATCTTTTCCCGTGATTTGCTGAGCGATAGTAGGTTTACTTCTCGAACGAAAGATACGCCGGGTAAGATCAAGATTGCTCCATATTCCTGCTGGATCGGACCACCTCTGAATCCCGTTGTGCATTCTTCTAGATTCTTTGGCCGCCCGTCAAGAAAAAGAAGGCCACTGATCCGTTGATCGTCCGCAATTCTTCCAATTTACTGTGTATGTGTTTGTCGCGGAGTCGTACACGCTCATAAATGTAAGCGAAAAGCTGGAGAATGCTGCTTCCGTATAAGAAAAGCCGGATGCAGAAAACATAGTTGATTTTCAGCCAGCTTGCCAGGAATCCGAAGCTGTTATAACTATAACCAGCGAAGTGTTAAAGATTTTTGTGCATTGAAAACGAGTTTTATCCTCTGTGAAAAATTGAGTTAGGGTTGACGCAAAGGCAGGCGGTAATTCCGATTTGCTGAGTGGAGAACTTATGGAGTTCTTAGCGCCGCCTGTTATGAGATTCAAGATAGATAGGCAGCCTACAACATTCGTTCCTGTATCCCTAGGATACGTTTGGTGCAAGTTTCAGGCTCGGTCCGACATATAGAGTCCAAACCCGAGAGAGATCGGTAGGGATGTATAAGCTTGTTACTGAAGAAGTTAAGTCAGCAACTATAAATACCAGCGCATGGGACGGGGTAAATACATATCGAAGCTGTTGATAGATCTAGCTCTGTCAAGGCTACACGTCTCCATAAAGCTTCTGCTTGGGCCACACATGATTCAATCTCTTCGAAGAAGCGAAGGAAGAGGACTTGGTCAGCTGAGGTAGTGCTGTATTCAGGTTCTTCGGGCTGCTCCTGCTCTGCTATTGGGCAGTCGCTAGGGCATTTTTCGCTGTCTTCGGGGTCATTCAAGAGAGTGAACTTCCCTTGCCCGTGCTGGTCATGTGCAGCGACATCAGCCATTTTCGACTGCGCAAGCTTGCAGATGCGTTCTATCACGTCAACCCAGTAGGCGTGTCGTATTTGAATCTGCTTTAGTGCGAAGAAAAAACGTAAAGAGAACTTTTGGCGCAATCTTGTCGAGTTTTGGAGGAGGCAGAAAACTTCGCTGCACTCTCCCTGGCTCAGCAAGGGAATAGCCTGTTCTGCAGCATGGTATATCTGCCCCGCCGACTATTGCTTGTAATTGCCACCCTCGAATAGGATCTCTAAGGCTTTTTTCTCGTTCAACTTGTACTCGTAATACTCGTTTCCATTGTTTTAGTTATTGAGGCTAAACTGCTCCGCTATGAGTAGCTTTGCTACCGGCGCCTAGTAGAAGGTCAGAACGTTTGGGATATAAGATTGAAGCATACTTACTGTGGAGAACCGACAACAACCTTCTGGGCGCAACTAATACTATCGCATATAAATCGTGCAGAATAAGAGGTTCCGTGCTATATCGATGATTGTGTGTGGGGTTGAGGACGCTTTATCTGGTAGGGAAGTAGGAAATAAGATTGTCTGCTTGCATGTTTTGGAGCGCCACTATATACTATACTAGCTTCGGGGTGAATTCATATACATGTTTGTTATTACATAAACGCAAACAAAAACTGCCCACTAAAACAGTGCCTTGGCTTTTCACCTTCACTGGTTGTGTAAGTAAGCATTCACTGCTTGGCTTGGCGAGGTGGCAAGTCTTAATTTCAATAGCAGTATTGTTTGATATGACAGATTGTTTTCGCTCCAACATTAATCTAACTACACAAAAACCCCGCTCTACATCACCCGCTACAACCTACTACAGCGCTATACCTTTTCCCAGCTAGATTACAATTCTACATACTCACAGATAACAGCTACTCTCTTGCCTGCGCCACCTGTATGTCATTGCCTGTGTGGCATGTGTCGCGGCTGTCACTTTCTATGTCATACACCTAGATACCCAGTGTTATACCTAGTGCCTTTGTACTCGCCACCAACTTCCTCGAAGCCCGATCGGTAAGCTGTAGATATTGATCTTGATCTTGATCAAAATATAGTGTTACGTTAAAATCGAACCTGAACCCAAAACGTGTTAGGTATGGTAAGACCGCGCGTAAATGGCGGGTCGGGGTCGCTTTGCTCCGGAATTTCGTCGTCCACCTCGTCAGTGACAACAATATCCTCGTTACTGTCTACTATCTTGTTCTCCCTCTCTTCTTCGTTGTTATCCTCATTGAGCTGAAGGATGGCGTCAAGATCCAAGCCTACTGAGACTAAGTACTCTAAGTTTGGTGGAAGCACGTTGTATATCTCTGGCAAGTCTATATTAAATGGGCTCGACTACAGGAGCTGGCTGTGAATTTTAGCGTATTTAAAGTTGGTAAGCAGGTTTAGTTGGGGCTGTAGGGACTTGGGAATAGTTTCCTGGCCTCTGTTATCGAAGTCCGTGTACTCAAAGTCTAAGTCGATTGTTTCAAGCTGCGGAGAGTTCTGACCAAGAAACTTGAAGAGTTTATGGAGAGTTCCGATCAAGAAACTTGAAGAGTTCATGGTAGTTTTGTTTGTGATGCTTTGAGAAACCGCGCATTCGAAGGCTACGGAGATGTTGCAGGTGGCCCGAATGCGACAGCTCCGTCAGCGGTGCTGTCGTATCCATACCCAACACTACCACCTCCATGAGCTGGCTCTTGGTTTTGTTGACCATGGCCATGAGGTTAAAAGACACGTTCTGATCCGTCGAGCCGTGTATGATGAGGCGCTCCAGACTTGGTACTATTGGTACACATACGTCGGTAATATCGAGGCGCCATTCTAAATTGCGAAGCGCAGGGAAGACTAGGAGACTGCAGGAGACTTTTGCATATACTATGAGTTTTGTTCAATGGGGTCGTATTGGCTTGCTACGTGGTTATCTCCGAAGTTGCTGGATACACTGCAATTATCACTAAAATTGGTACAGGATTCCGAAAAGGAGAATATAAAACAAGAAAGCTTCTTCAACACTAAAACTCAGAAATAAAAACTCCTTCCCGCGAAACGTATTATTAAAATAAACTAGTTTAAAGTACTAAAATGTCTTCGGATTACTTTTGGTGGTAGAGGGAGAGAGATTCGAACTCTCGATGAGTTTTATGAGCTCCAAAGATGTGTACGCGGAGCTAGTACCAGCTATCATCCAATCGATAGACTTGATGTTCTCCGCCATGGTGATTATAAGTGCGATCGAAGCAAGGCCAATACAGGTGGAGGCATAAAAGCTGGCGCGGGACATGTTGTAAGCTTCTTCAACCGCATCCCGCACATGGCGGTGGTCGTTTGATGGCGGTTGTTGGTTGCACTTCGTCTCTCTCTAAGTCAGCGGCGTTTATCTCGGTTGCTCTGCTGGCTGAAGTGAAGAAGGGGTATCGGTAGAGAAAGCGAACTAAACCCAAGACCTGTGGCGAAGTCTAATACACGAGCTTAATTGCTTTGTATAGCACTTCCTCGGTCGTAAACAATTGCTTCGAAGTTTGTACAAAGGTGGCTATATCAGGTTGCGGTAGGTATCTAGCCACCTCTAGTGACGACGACGTGTTTGCTAATGAGGTAGTGGTGAATGGTGAAGGGAAGGCTTGTAGGCCGAATAGGGTTTAGCGGCCTGCCACAAGATGTCACGACGCCTGGGGAGAACCGGTATGGTACCAAAGGTATTGTATTGTTATCCTCTCAGGAAGGATCTCCTGTCTAGCTATATACTTCAAGTCACGTGCATCATGTGACATTCCACCGGGCTCTCCCGAAACCACCTTTCAATCCATATTTGTTGTAATGTTCCTTTTATCGGGATCTATTGAAGCCTCCGCCAGAATTCTGGCTGATGATGAGCTTCTCACAAGAGCAAGGGTGAACGCGGATCAGAACATCAGTATGGGTCGCCGGTGACAGGCGCGCCTTAATAAGATGAATTAGCGACTAGCAAGGCGATTTGTAGAGAGATCACAAAATTCTCTTGACTATATGACTTAAAGGATAGTCCGATTACCTGCAGAAGGAAATCTAGTATCAATTTCGTTAAGAAGATACGGCTCCGATGAGGAAATATGTAGATATACTCGCTGCGGAAAATGCAAAATTAAAGCAAGTTTTTTAAGTATTTGCAAAGAGGCCTTGGACTCAGTACGTCCAGATCTGAAATATAGGAACCCGACGGAGACTTCTTGGGAGCCAAAGGAAATCCCTGGCAAGGCTCTGGTGGCAGCTTATAAGCCGATTACTCAGCTTACAACGTACTTCGCGCTGAAAAAAAAGATTTAGTGATGGTAACGTGCTAGTGCTGTATAGCAACATGGACGAGAAGACACGTAAAGACCGACTAAGGCAATGGCGAGATCTCTATAGCCCCCGGATCATGGTCATCTCTATGGCCTACGCCGAAGCTGTCATACTTACCGAAGCAAATTTCCTTGTCCTTATGGAGCTTTAGGACCGGTAAGCAAAACAAGACTAGGTGCTATTTCGCATCTACCGCATTGGGTATTTGGCAGCCTCCTGCTATGCTTACATCCTCTACAACCTAGACTTAGATATCTAGGTCAACACACTTGAGCGTCAGTAATTTAAAACTCTGCTAAGGAATACGCTAGTAGAGAACAGAGATTCGGAGACGGTTATTGGGCACTAGATCAAGTGGGAAAGTTTAAAAAAGGATATCGTATACAAGGTAGACGGATTGCCATGGAAACGAGACGAGAATAGAAGAGTATAGAAGTGGACAGTAGTATATATTTATTGGGTGGGGAGGATACTCGGCTTTGAGGGCCATATGCCTGCAAGTCAGACTTTTAGTTAGGCCAGTCTTTGCGTTGTCCGAACTTCGTCAACTACAGATCCATTTCCTCGACAATGACTCGCCGCTCGAGATTCCTGTTTTTGAGAAGGACAATCTATCACATTTACATGTCCTTGACCTCTACTATTTCAAAGATGTTAGTTCAAAAACAAAGAAAGTCTTACGCGCCCATCAATTCCCGCTCCTTACAAAGCCTCGAATCCTCGAATCCTGAACGAGAATTCGAACATGAACGGCCGTCATCACAAGATCCCTGAGATATTCTGGGATCATTGTCCGATGTTGGACATACTGGTAACCGATGCCGTGTATGTGGAGGACGAAAATGGCCCACCCACCATCCAGCAACCAAAGCCATACTCTAAGAGCTTAAGTTTCAAATTTGCCGCTTTAGCCCTGAGAATTGCAGCTTTGGGTGCGGCTTGCGCCTTGAGTAAGTCACCTTTGGCGTACATGAGCCTTCATTGAGCTGTCTGCTTTGCTTTGCTAGCCTTGGCGAGCCGTCTTTTTTTTCTTGCGGTCGGATGTCGAGGTATTCTTGCGTTTGGGCTAGCACCATCACCTGCTTAGCAAGAGTAAAAGGAAGGCAATGGAATAGCACTTGCTATGGACGTTAACGAGGTAGACGACGAAGCCGCCGAACAACAAAGTCGCACCGACCCTTTCTCGCTAGATAAGCTCGCCAGCCAATTGGCAGTCCTAAAGGATTTTGCTTTAAGATTTGATTTCGAAGCAATATCCGAGCAGGATCTCAATAAATGTCTACAAGAGGCTGATATGGCCCTGAGAGAGCTGGTGACCGAAGCGCGGGAGCGGGGGATACGTATACTAGTTGGCATCTACTTTTTTTTTAAACTATTATCCCTCTCAAAACCAAATGCCACATGAACATAGTCTGCACAACGAAGCCCCACAAAGAGAAATCGCATCATGATTGGACGTTATAAGCAACCTCCTCGCTCATCGTTTACACGCTTGCAGTATGGCGCGCCCGCGGCTCACAGGCTCGCTCTCACTCTTCATCTACATACTTGGCACGCGTGTTATTTCGTAGGAAAACCATTGTGGATTCCAGACTTGTGCGAATGCGCAGACGAGGGGCGAGTCTGTATTTCGTTCTTTTGGTAGCGGCTCGCTCATATGAATGAATTCATTACACACAATGCATTGTGAAGATGTTCTTTTCACTTCTTTCCAATTCCCTTCAGCACTCTAATGTGACACGAACAATACCCAATTTCTTTGACTTCGTATTATTTGATCAACACTAACAATGGCATTCAACACAACAGAACCTGATATTGAGCAAAGAAGTTTGTCTTCTAGATTTGACTAGAAATCATGTCTCCAAAAAGACGCCATGCTCCCCTTCATCATCTCACCATACATCTGCTGATGTTTCTAAAATCCTTTTCAACAATATTTCCACACTCCACTTTTGGCATCAGTATACGAAATTGACAAAGAAGATTAAAACATGGCGAAAGAAGGTCCAGAGCAACGTAAACAGCGCCTCATAGCCAACGGCATCAGCAAGAAATGGGACATCAAGCGGCGAAGTAGACGGCCTCGGGGTATCACGAACACTGGAAACGACTGCTATCGCAACGCAACACTGCAGCCATTTTTCCACTTTCCCCGCTTCGTCAACTGGATCAAGCAACACAATTCTGGCGGCGGAAGATGGCCTTGCAATCTCAATGATCGAAATCGAAGCCTTGACTGCCTCGATGCCATGACGCAGGGCATTCTTCGAGACGAAAGCTACAAGACGATGACTTTGAAACAGAGAGCTGCTTACGATAATAATCCCAACGGCGGCACAATTCGACCTTTAGATATAGAAAAACATGATCCAAAACATTACAGCGGATGTCTTCCTTGCCTGCTCAAGGCGGTTATCAAAGACTATTGGAGTAATGACATGGTCGACGACACTGCACCATACCATCCCCAACCCTTTCCGTATACCCACGATTCAGTGTTTAAACTGTACCAGCTTTTCCAGCGCTACTTCTGCGAAAACCCAGATGGATTTTCCGACGAGATTGACGACCTACGCAGCGAACGCCCGTCTATGAGCCAAGCGCAAATTGACCGATATACCCGGGCAGAAAGGCGCGAGAACATGACTGCACAGCAAGATGCCGACGAACTAGCCGTACGGATCTGGGACGGCATTGAAGCAAGTTTCAACCTCGAGTACGTATTCCCCCCCAACCCTATTCCCATTCCAAACTAACAAAAAACCAACAGAACAGCAGACGGCCGCCACCGCACCTCGCAATTCACCTCCCTCTTCAAACTAACCTACACAATCTCAAACACCTGCATTGCCTGCCACACCACCAACACGCTGAACCCCGAACACAGCATCGGCCTCAGCCTCGACCCCCTCCAAAAAGGCCCCGACACCATCTCCGCCGCCATCTCCCGAACCCTAAACTACGACTTCTCCCCGGGCATCCCCTGCAACGCCTGCCATGCGCCCCTCACCTACGCCAAACGCACCACCCTAACCGCCACCCCGGAGTACCTGCGCATCGGCCTAAAACTAACCCGCATGGACCCCGTCACCGGCGAAAAAGACAAGATTATGAATCCAATCGGGATAAACGACACGCTCAATCTCAGCGCTTACATGGCAAATCAAGACGCAGATGCCGAACCCGTGGTGTACAAGCTACATTCTGTGACGTACCACTCGGGTCCGGAGATCACAGCGGGACACTACATTGCGGGCGTCAGTGGAGTAAAGGTGCCAGGGCAGAAATTGCCTACACCGCTTTTTTTGGTGGATGATGAGGAGACGAGGGCGTGGGGTGCGGGAGATGGGGGAGCGAGGAATGTCATGGCGAAGAATCCGATTCAGCACGAGTCCGGCAGGTTCGATGCGGTGGCGGTTTGGTATGAGATTGTGCCTGGGGCGAGAGAGAGGGCGCCCAGGGGGGTTTCGGCGGCGGATCGGTTGTGTTTGGAGGAGGGGAGACGGATTGCGGGGGAGGAGTTGGGGAGGGGGAGGAGGGGGAAGGGAGGGGTGGGAAAGTGAGCAAGGGGAGTTTGTCAGTGGGGATGTAATAGTGTGATGAATCTTTTGCGTGGATGTTTTGAAATTATTACAGCGTTTAGATTGCTTTTGGCATGTTGTAGTGGGAAGAAGGAGAGTGTGTATTCTATTTACCGAAATCTATCAGTAGAAAATGTCTTTCGCATCAGAATGAATTAAGTATTTCTTGGGAAAAGGGACTTGCCTAGTAAATGCAGCCATTTTCGCCACTAAAGTTTTCTTCCTCAATCACAAATACCTACTTCCCTCTAGCCCCTCCTTCCAAGCCTCAAACTCTGAAAAAACGGGGTATGAAAGAACTATATAATTTCCCCTTTCCTCCTCTCCTCCTCCCCCACCTACACCTTCCCCTCCCCCTTCAAAAAAATCCCCCATCTCCGTCTCAAAACCTCCCAACTCTCCCTAAAATCCCTCCCCTTTTCCCTCTCTTCACGCTGAATCCGGGTTGCTGCAGCGGCGAGACCGATTGAGATTGCAAAGAGGGGATCGAGACGTCTGAGCAGTTAGTACAAGGTAATCGGAGTGGGATACATTGTTTTTTTTTTCTACTTTCTCCGTGAATCCAGGACATGGAAGGGTTAGGAGAAAAAGAGAAGCATACTTTGATATTATATACTGCGCCGGCATAGCTTCTCGTTGTGTCTTTTGCACACTTTTCGAATTTTCAAACAAGTTGGTAACGACACAAGAGTCGAAAAATCGGCGCTCGGGTCGTACAAGCGTTTAAACTTTTGGACAGCCTCGTTGGGTTTGATGTAAGTTGATTTAAACTTCTTCGTCTTCTTCTTTTTGCCAGGTCGGGGTATGTAAGGAATCTTCCAAGATCCCCACCCGCCGACCGACGGGCCCTGCATTTGGGTAGTGGGTCCGTGCGCGGAGCCGGCTTCTGGAGCCCTTTTGCTTTTCCCCACGATCCCCCGGTTCCGGGCGATACGTTATGCAAGGCACTAGAAGGGTTAATGTTGCATAGAAACTCCCCTTTCCTTGTAGGGCGGGTGTTCCATGTTGCATTTGTATGCCTGTCGCCTGGGTACATACAGAATGTGGCTATGTTGGTGGGGGTTGTGGTGGCACGCGGTTGCCTATCAGGTGAGCGATGTCGTCATGTGGGTTTCAGACGACGACCGGATGAGCCGCAAGTCAGGCTGCTATGTCAGGTACGCATACTCAGGCACGTTCACGGGAAGATACAAGACAATGTTGCAGAGTGCTAACAGGTGCATCAAGTCATGACAGATCAGGTCTGGTGCATTTGGACTAAAGCTGAATCATCGAATTATACAGGCATCTCATGAGAAGAAGCCAAATCTGCCCAAACACCTCTCTCCGAAACGGCGAATCTTGCTTGTACAGATGCGACTTGTCGTCGTGCCTTTCCGCCTCGGCTTTGCTGTATCAGTCCTCGCAGCTTCTGGTCAAGGTTGGCTGGCCCAGGATGCTGCGCGGGTTGCCGTTGCACCAGCTGTCTGCCATTCAAATCAATCAATCATCCTAACGGTATACTGTTGCGTGAATATCAAGAAACCCATGATCCGAAAACGCCCGAGTTCGCCGCAGCCTCGACAGCCGATAGATAAGGGGAATGTGAGGATGAAGCGAGCCCCTTACAGAGCCTCGCCAAACGTGTTCTCGCCCGAGTACCTGTCATCTTGTTAGCAGTGCGTTCTGAGCGGAGACGTTGAGAGGCAACATACGTAATGTACAGGAAACCGTCCTCATCCTTGTGCTCCTCATATATCGAGCTCATCAGAGCGGCAGTGGGTGGCAGGACCTCATCGACGAAGATGAAGATGGCCTTTTCAGGCGAAAGCTTGATGCGCTTGCGGATCACGTAGACGAACTGGCCTACGGTCAAGTCGGCGGGTACCAGGTACTTCTTCTTATCGATGGTTGCAATGTCAGACTTCTCGACCTTCTCGCAGATGACCTAGGCGCTGTTAGCTGGCTTGTCGTGGATGAGAACAAGGCGGTGTCTACGTACGGGAATGCGGTCGTTGTACTTCTGGCGAATGCGCTCGGCCTCGGCCTTGCGCTTCTCAAACGGGTGCTCGTCCTTGAACTTGGAACGCATGGTGGGAGTTTGTGAGTGGTGTATGGATGTGTGTGTGTGTGTGTAATTGTGTTTGTGGGTGGGGATGAGGGGGTATATGTGTAGTTTCGCAAAGGGCGTAGAGTCGTGGGAGTGGTGAGGTTGAGCGTGGCGGAGGAGGAAGTAGGACGGAGGGCGTAGGTGCGGTGTGGGAACCTTAAGCACAGGCAGCAGAGCGGGGCTAATACCTGCGCATCACTCCCGCCTTACCTAACCAACGCCAGCAGCCGCCGAGGTCACTGGTCACTGGCCACCACCCACCCGACCAGCATCTCACCTACCAGTCAAGTGAACATCCACACAGACATACGTATATACCTGCACACTTCCTACACAATTCCACTGCCCCTGAGCAATGACAACATCGCCCTTTTGCTGCTGCTGCTGAACCCCGGGCGTGACTCGTCTGGAGGGCAGTGCTGACCGCCTCGCCCCAGCCCAGTCACTTGCTCGGCTCCCATGACCTGCCTGGCTACCTGGGTACTTTGACTCATCCCGTCTCTCTCCTTCTCTCCTTCTCTCTCGCAAGGCGGCCATCACCATGTACAGTACGGTAATCAAGTACTTCCTCGCCACATCAGAGTCGATTACTACGTGAAGCAGCCGGCAGCCAGGTGGACGCGTTTGCCGGCGCGTTGGCGGCCATGCGGCCTAGCACACCCACCTGTTGCCACTCATAGCGACGTGTCCGCCCCAGCACTGGACACCACGAAGCACTAAGAAGTGCTTCTTTCCTAGCTGTCCCAGGACGTCATGCAAGCCAACGTCTATCTGCTCTTCCAAATCGACAGGCTGGTTGCCAGCAACGCAGCAGACGTAGACGTATCTATGATGCAGGCCGCCACCCGCCGTTCACTCCCCAAGACCCCCGAGACATGAGCAGTACGCAGGGACTAAGCGCAAACGTCCGAGCATCGCCGGCCTTATAGTGCTCACACTTGCACGTGTGCCTGCTAGAGGCGTGTTTGTCGTGTTTGCACCATGCAGGTACCGATACCGCTAGTACCAAGGAAACTCCACCGAAGGTGCGCCCACCATGGTGTGATTCCCGGGACGTCAGCACCGAGGTTGATTGTGCTCACAGTTTTTTTAATATAGCCTAATTCATCCTCTCTTGTCTTGCTTCATGGTCCAACTGTAACTGACCTGCTACCATCCCGCCCCCCGCTATGCGTCCGTTCCGACCCTTGTTCCGCATTTCTCGCGCGCTTGAGCTTCCCCACAACTACACATCACAGCGCACCCTACGCACAAGTCAGATATGTAGTAGGCAACTACACTCGTCTCAGAGTCGCCATGTCGATCTCCCTCGAAGCAGCAAACCAGAAAAGCCAGATCCTCTGGAGGAATGGCGCAATCCCGAACCCAGCAAATGGCCGAACCGGATAAGACTGCTCTTTGTGCCATTCATCGGGGCTCTGGTCTACACTATGGTAAGCCCATAATTCAATACACATTCGTTTAAAATGACTCCTACTAATCCATTCCACAGTGGACAGATGACACAATCAAGACTGAAGGACCAACCATCGCCGAGAAAGACGCTCTCCTCAAGCGCGAAAATGGCGTATCCGAACAATCCCCCATGCGCCTCCGGATGGAGCAATTCATAAAACAGCAACAAAAGCAAATTATCGCTGAGCTTGAAAAGGTTGATGGCACAAAATTCAAAATCGACACATGGCAGCGCCCTGAAGGCGGCGGCGGCATAACCTGCGTCCTGCAAGACGGCAACGTCTTTGAAAAAGGCGGCGTGAACACCTCTGTCGTCTATGGCCGCCTCCCCCGCGCTGCCATTCAAAAGATGCGCGTAAACCACAAAGCACTCGACCCAGACGTCGACTCGCTCGCCTTCTTTGCCGCCGGTCTCTCCATGGTGCTGCACCCGCACAACCCCAACGCGCCCACCGTGCACCTCAACTACCGCTACTTCGAAACCGCCGACGACAACGGCAACACAACCGCATGGTGGTACGGCGGCGGCTGCGACCTCACACCCTCGTACCTCTACGATGAAGACGCCATTCTCTTCCACAACACCATCAAACACGCCTGCGACAAGCACGACAAAGCCTACTACCCGCGCTTCAAAAAATGGTGTGACGAATACTTCAACAACAAGCACCGCGGCGAAACCCGCGGCGTCGGCGGCATCTTCTTCGACGACCTCGACGAAACAGAGAAAGACCAGGAGCAACTCTTCTCCTTCATCCAGGATTGCCTCACTGCCTTCCTGCCCTCCTACATCCCCATTATCAATCGCAGAAAGGACATGCCCTTCACCCCCGAAATGAAGCAGTGGCAGCAGATTCGCCGCGGAAGATATGTAGAGTTTAATCTCGTCCACGATAGGGGTACCGCGTTTGGACTTAATACCCCCGGATCCCGCGTAGAAAGTATCCTCATGAGCTTGCCGCTTACGGCCCGCTGGCAGTATATGCATGCGCCTGAGAAGGGCAGTAGGGAGGAGAGATTGCTTGAAGTGCTAAGGAAGCCAAAGGAGTGGGTGTAGAAAATGGGACGTGGTACTTGTAATTATTCCAAAAGGCTCGTATGTGTGTGTGTGTGTGTGGAGGAGAGGAAGGAAATTTCCAAACATATGGGTCTACATGAGAGGTCAAAAAGTGATAATAAATACGAACTTCTTAAAACCTAATTCGTTTTTCCATTTTCCCATACTTTTACACGCTTAAACCCCGGTATATACTAGTGTTTTTCTAAGAAGAGATAAGAGAGACAACAACAACACACGAGACACAAGCACAAATAACACTGATTTCACGCACATGGCTGTGGAGAGATAAACCCCACCATCATCATCATCATCATCAACGACAATAACAACATCCTCTAACCCCTAGGATCATGTCTCCACCCATGCAACCCACTCAATCTACTCCCCATACCCCCCAACCCGCCACTCCCTTCTCCACCTCCACCACCTGCACCCCCAGTACCCCCAAACCCACCGGTACTCGACGCAAACCCGCTCCTCCCTCCACCTCCACTCCCATTATTGAGCAACTTGTCAAACTGCTCCACACTCACCACCGCCCGCTGTTTAACATCAAGATCCATATCGCGACTCAACTGCTTGGCACCCTCCTCAAAGCCCAACTGGCGGAGACTCAGCGCGCGTTCCCTGGTCGCCGCTTCATCCGTGTGATCTTCGACCCAGACAAGGTTATGCAGCATCCAGGCACACGCTACACGAATATCGCGGCGGGGATGCGTAAACAGCGGGAGAACGTGTTGCATCAGGCTAGTCTGTGAGATGAGCAAGGAGCGGTGCTGGGGGCGGCCGTTGGCGAGGTGGATAAGAATAAAAATTGTAGCCAGCATGAGTTCCGAGGCTGGGTAGCTGTTCCAGTTGGGCTGGCCCATGGGTGTTGTGGAGGATAAAAAGGGTGGGCGGTGGGTACCGCTGGGCCAGTAACTCGGGATGCTAGGGCTGGCTTGGGTTTGGGAGGATGAGTTCGAGGCGGAGGCGTTTTTGGGGCGGATCTTCGAGTCGAGGATCTCGAAGAAGCGGCTGTGGCCAAAGGTCTTGAGGAGGTGGTCGATCATCTCGCCAGAGGCCTTATCCTCGGAAACAAAGTTGCGGATAAAGTCGAGTGCTTGTTCTTGGATACGGATATCGTCACGCTCGCCGTTCAGGCGATGGTCTTGCTCATCGTTCTTGATCTGTTGTAGTCGATCTCGAATGTTTGTTGCGCTCGTGTATCGAGGACCATGGCGCTGATGTCGCCGCATTGATGGTATGCTTTCCGTCATCGCATCATCGTCGTCTTCAGAACCTGATTCATCGTCTACATCCATATGCGGCTCCTCCACAGCGTTAAGAATGTCGACTTGCTCTCCTGCTGCATTCGGCGTGCCCATGGCAGGCTTAGATGGCTCTCCATTGAGCACTTGGACAAGCCAGCCTACTCCGAGTTCCTCTAGACACTGTATCTTCATAGCATGGGGTAATCCAAGACACAGGTGCTTGAGAGCCCAGAGACTGCCAAAGCGGAGGTCAAAGTTGGCAGACCGGCACTGTTCGCAAAGTGTGCCCAGGACTCCGGATTCAAGAATCTCCTGCTCATCGTTAGCTAGGGAGTCAATAGTGTCAGGTTTCACTCACAGTCCGCATAGGTGACACATCCAACACCAGGTTAGTGATGACCTCCGTAGCTGCAATCTGCACCTTTACATTCGGATGTGTCAAAAGCTCAAAAATTGGCTGTGCAACACCGTGATCAATGAGACTCGTTCGGAGGACGCTGACCGATCTCGACAATGACCGTGTGAGCTTGCATGCAGCAATCAAAACAGCGTCAGGGTTACCATCCTTTGGCGAGGATGATGCTCCTGGTTCGCTGTTTTCGTTGTACGGAACTAGAGCTTCAATGATATGCGTTGCCGCACCCATCTCAATCACCATCTTTCTCAACGAGTCTTGGTCACCAGCCATCGCCGCCAATGCCAGCAAAACGCTTTCTCGATACTTAAACGCATGCAGTATATCGGGATTAAGCCCAGCTCGACCTAGAGTCGATGAAGCATGGTCGATATTTGGATCCATGACTTCGTGAGATGTCGGCTTCGGCTGCCAAAGTGGCTTTGACGACGTCGGCGGTATATCGAACGACTTCTTCAAAATCTGTATCAAAGTCGGCAGAATGCGAGAATGAACCGCAGCCGTCTGGAGTGCTTTATTTCCAGTAACAAGCTCCGCAAGAACAATTGGGGAGCGTTCGAGCACAAGGCGCAGCTCATCTCTGGCTGTCTGGCTCATGGCACTGGCCTTTTTGGCATGCTCTGATGTCGGGCTTGAGTCCTCAATCATCTTCTCAACAAGCGGAATAATCAGATACGAAAAGTGCTTCTCACGTGTCGTCTTTGACGGGTCGTTCAACGGCCATCGCTCGCCAAACTTTTTGAGCAATGCTAGTAGCCAGCAAGCAGACAGGCGCTCTCTGGCTTCACCTCGCCGTGCCACATACATGAGCCATATGAACAGCGGAGACTCGGACTCATCCGAGATGGTGTTCCGGCTCGAAGTGTGCTGCAGCGACTCCATGCTTGGTAGCCGAGAATAGTTGTCCGCCGGACCAGAAGAGTAGGCACCAAGAGCCGGCCATTGCTTAATGTACGGATCTGACTTGCTTGCCATAGTCTGTACTCGCGGTATCAACCTGTCCCATGATGCCGTCTGCGGCGTGTTGTTGCTATCGAAAGTTCCTGCAGAGCGTTCCTTTGGCCAACCAAAGAGCTGTTGTATCGGCTGCGAATAGAGGAATTGTGCAGTGTAGAAATGCGAGTCCTTGATAATAGCTGAGATTGCTTCCAGGATGTCCGACAGGTAGGCACGAGGAAGCTGCTCGCGACTCGACCGCTTCCTGTCCGAAGCAGGGATGCGATCGTCCATAGCTGCAACACCAGCAAGTAGTTCAGCGAGCAGATCTAGTACATCTGCATCTACCAAGATTCTTTTATGGCTGTCCTCTCGACACGTCTTTGTAATCAGCCGTATGGCCGATTCTATCTGCTGGTTGACCTTCATGGTACCCGCCGTTTGCGCCAAAATCTCAGACAGACTCTCAACAGTTGATTTCGTGTATATAATCTCACTTACGGCCGATGCGAGAGATGGCTTCGACGAGCCTGACAGGTCGAGCCATGGCTTTTCTTGCGCAACAGCATCGACAATCTGATTGAGCGTCTTTAGAGTCGCGGTGACGAGTTTGGATGGTGTTTCGCTTGGTCGTAGTGCTTCGAGCAACGGAGGTAGTACATCACCAGCCAGTAGTGGCGCAACAAATGCAGGTCCGCCTGTACGTCGTACATATCAGCCTAGGTACTCTTTCATCTCATGTTTTTGCATTGCGTGCTCACCATTCGCCAGACTGCCGACGACGAGCGTGGCTTGGAACCTCAACTCATCTTCGGTGGTCCACTCTTCCAGCCCAGCTGTGTCACCGAACAGCCCAGAGCTGTTCCCGTTCCCAATGTTCCTTCGCCTCTTCCCGCCCTTCCTAGCCTCGGCTCGCAGCAAACTGGCAAGTGGTTTCACAATACCATGCGTAACAGCAAGCTCTTTTCTCTGCTCATGCCCCACAAGTTCGTTTTTTAGGCTTTGTAGCGCTGCGACTTGTGCCTCGGGCGTGGTAGGGTTGGAGAGCTCGCTGAGTGCGGAAGGGATCGTTGAACGGCCCATGGCGTCGACAGCCAGCGAACAGGTAATTGATAAAGGGGGAGACGCAGATTAACAGTTGTCGTGCAGCCCTACACAAAGAGGCCTAGTCGTGGTCGTACAAGTGTACGTCAAGGATGAGAGAGGCAATGATGAACGCTTCACTGAGAAAGCACAGCCTTAGTCGGAGTGTTGCGGAGGGAAGGCGCAACGGACAAGTGGTTATCATTGCCTGCACAGCATTTTATGCAGCAAGGCTCTGATTGCTTTCTAAATGGCGCGAGAAGCTTGCCAAGTCGCATAGGCTTCTTTGCGCGGCGTAACAGTACGTGGCCGTGAGCGAAGTTTGATGGACATGAGATAGCCGCGTCCCAGTCCCGCAAACGTCAGCGCAAGGACGATAACATGCCTTATCAGCACGTGACTGTTCTATCCTTCGAGCATACTTCCATGTATTGAATACTTCTTTCTGCTAGATAAATCACTCACTAAAATCAATCAGAGTATCTCCAAAGCAAATGCGTACGTTCAATGTACATAACTATACAATCATAACCATTGACTCCATAATTCCATGAGTTATCATTACAGTCGTTAATTCCACGTCGCACCGTTTCATGCTCATAATACCCGCCTAAGCAGTTGCACGGTTCTAGACAAAGGAAACATGCATGTGGGTTGCAGGTGTTTGCACCAAAGCAAAAACCCCTCGAATGAGTCCTCAAAATGTATGCCAAAAACACCAGTCCGTAAAGATCCCAATGCCCTCCTCCCTTCCCTCTCCAGAATCCCTTCCGTTTGCCTGCCCAGACCCTGCTGTTAGAAATCTTCAAGCACGCTGAGATCAGTATCGTTTTCCTTGACAACACCGCCTTCCGTGAGGATGACAACTGATACACAGGCTGCATATGCTTCTCTGATAGCACAAGCCATGCACGTCTCTTTGATATTCGCAACGATAGCACTGTGTCCATGATGGGCGCACCAAGCTCTTGCAAATACCTCGTTGTCACTGACACCAAGTGCCTCAATGGCCAGCACATTCGTAACCTGCTCATGAGCACTCTTCTTCTGCTCATTCATGAGTGCCAGTGCCTTCTTGCCGGGTGATGACTTGGACGAGGTAGGTCGAGGTGTGCGACCGGATTGCAGACCCCAATCTGTAATGTCTACAAGGCCTTCATCGATTTTGATTGCTTTGTACGAAAAGTCATAGAATAGAACTGGGCTAAAGTCAGCATGAGACAATCAATCTGAACATGTCATTGCTTCGTACCATGAGGTCCTTGGTGGCAAGGGAAGGCATTGATAAAACTGACGTCGTACCGTAGCTTCATCGGCCAGCTCTCGCCACCACATGCGAATAAGATCGCAGCATCAAAGACCATTGGTGGGCCAGAAGCACCCCGGCCCCCTTCTGGTCGTTCTTTGATGGGCACAAAACGAAGCTTCTCCATTCGTATCAAGTCTGTGACGTCTTCGGTATCCGGCATGGGAATGTCGTAGTCATCGATCGGATAACTGTCCTCTATTGTTCCCAAAGGATTCGTACGATCATCCATACTTTCAACGTCAACCGGTATGAGCACTGGATCTGGAGACTCAAGCTGCCTAATCTTGACGCACTCTGTCCGTTTGAGCTCAGGGGTGTAGATGCATGGCCCAATCCAGCCTGCAATTTGCTTCACCCCACGCGCAGCTCCTAGGACTTTACCAACAATACATTGGGCTGACCAGTAAGTATTGGCACGGTACTGAAATCCAGATGCCGGGTGCATGTGCGTAAGGTACTTGAGAGCGTCGCCAGTATCTTGGTCGCAGTCAATCAAACTGTTCATGATGAGCCATGGCAGTGTGCGACCTGGCAAAATAATGCCGGAAAACCACGACATGGCATCCGCAGACCTGTCTTCGACGGCCTTTTCGTTCGGGTCCCGCTCGTCTAGAATGTATTCAATCTCATCCATGTTGGGCCACTTGAGGGTCGCAGCAAAGATCCGCAGAGCTTCTATCTGTCTACTCTTACTCTTGAGATCAAAGCTGAACGTGCTTTGCGTGGACGATGTCCGCGTTTTAGTAATTTCCATATTCTCAAGCCATCGCTGTGCCACAGCCAAGTCCCATGTTATCATAGGAGGAAGTTGCGAAATCAGCTTGCGCTTGGACTTTTCGGAATGCCCCTTGGAATGTATGCGGAGGTACAGCTCCACAGAGAGCAACAGTTGATGGAAAAACTCTTGCTTCTTACGCTGATCGGGCGCGTCAAAGAACTTTGCTACAACCTGGTTTCTAGGCTGTGAAAAGTCTATCCACTGTGGATTGCTCAATACAGTAATGAGGTCTGTAATCTGCTGGTCAATCCGAATATGGCGGCGCTCCTCATCGTATCGTTCCGGATCTTCGATGAGCGTGGTATACAGGTAGTGGTACAGATCCTCCGGGTCCTATTAAGAGCAAAGTTAGGGAGACGAACCAAAACAGAGAAAAAAAGCATCCGGCGCATGGCTGTTGACTGACATCTTCATTAAGTCCACTTTCCAGCTTCTGTAGTCTGTCGAGGATTTGCAAGAGCTTAATTTTTCGCGGTTGGGCGTCACCAGCAAACTTGATAGGGGCATGACTTGTTCCAGACTTGCTCACCCAATAGTTGAGCGTTGTAGTGCCTGCACTCTTTCCAAACGCATAAGCCATGCACGGGTACTCATGAGACGACCACGGGAATTGGTCATCGCGCGTGCCCGTCATGTTGAGCGAAATATCCCGGTATGCCTGCTGCTGAAAGTGTGCGCGGTCGGTTCGGCTCTGGTGCTCAGCTTCCAGAACCGCGTAGAAGCGATTGTATCCATCTGGTGCATTTGCTATGGCATCTCGGTATCCCTTGAAAGTGGATGCCCCTGCACAGATAAGGTCATCTGCTTCAGCTGGGTCCAATGCATCCTCGGATCTGTATCCCTTCGGGGGCCATCGTCTCGACTTGCGAAAGTCCTCAAGGGGCGTCGGGTGGGAATACGAGCCGGCGCGACGAGAGGGCGAGAACTTTTGGTAGGGCACCATATGCACCTCACCCCCACTAGATGAGGGCCGAGTGGGATTTGGCTGGGAGCCATGTCTAGCGATGCGCGTGCGGGTGACGACGGGCGATGTTCGTGTTCTGGAGCTCTTTGTGAGCTGCAGCTGGTTGAAGTCGTCGTTGAGCTGGGGAAACGGCTCAGTAGGGAAGGCATAGGGCAGGGCACAGGGTGCCGAGGGCGGTTCGGGACGGCGCGCCCCCCATTGACTATGACTATCATACTGGCGTTTGCTAACCTCGCGGCGAGCGTATTCAGAGGTCATCTCTTATGCATAGCACTCTGTGTGAGCAGACTACATCCAACTCTGTTTGCAAGTAAGTGCGTGGTCAAGGACTAGGTGGGTCTAGGAGCATGTCGCGACGCTGTTGGCAGGCCGCCAGGGCACGCGGGGTGGTGTTTCTGGCGATACCGGGGAGGTGAGACTTGACTTGGTAGCAAGCGAGGAACATGGCGAGGGTGGAGATGTGTGGCGCGCCCGCTGGAACAATCACCAACTGACCTTCATAGTACTAGAGTCGCAATGCTACCGCCGCCGTATCTCGATCAGGAACAGGAACGCGTTTACCGCGAGGCGTGATGGGAGACGTCTCGGTCGCGAGGCTCTGGAGGTATACGTCGGCACACGACCTCTTTAGGTGCGGTTTCGTGACAGGACACGCGTGGATGTAGTGGGGGGTGGGGGAGTGGGTGGAGGGCGAGAGAGGGTTTCACTTTCAAGACCAGAGAGGTCAGGTCATGGTCGCTAAGCCGATGAAGTCGCCGGAAGCCGCACATTTCGTTCTGCGAACCCTTCCCTGGCGCCCTTACATCAGTGTGTACATCTCCGCTGTCAGAGGCGGGCATGTTCGATGGCATGTTCTGACGGCCTTGGAAGATGCGAGGGCTAGCCTCACCTTGCCGAACCAGGGCGGCCGACTGACTGACTAGGGTGCTGCTTACCCCATCCTCTTATTCGTCCACGTTACTCACGGGATGCCCTTAGCGGCTCGACCACGATGCGCTCACTCAGTGCTCCAACAACACGCCATCGGCGTTCAGCTCGAAAGGAGGGGTTGATTCCACGACTGATGCTATCTACCCAATAGAACCGCTGCTCAATTCCACCACACATGACATGCAGCGTGTACAATCATACATGCCATAGGCCAGGAGCTGATATCACACTGCCCATGTATCCTGCACATGCCACGCTCCATCACTGCCCAGACTCCCCAAACTCGTTCCGTGCAGCTTCGGAGACTGCTACCGGCGTCCGCAGCCATGTATGCTGTGACGAACGGGCGGGAAATGGAAGCCATGGGGCCATACACGGCCTGCCCATTGTCCGCCTCCGAGGCATGAGCCTGCGACCGATGCGGCAATGCGCCCTCCAGAGTCTCATAGGGCTCCACGTGGGTGGACATACACTGTCAGATGCTCTGCTGTCGAGTCATGTCGCCAGCTCATCGTTCGACCCGTCTGTCCTTGAGACTCCCATACAGACGTGACCACGAGGCAGTTCCAAGTCCAAAAGGACAAGATAGCCCACGAATCTGAGGAACGCCAATTCGCGGGACAGACGGGAGTCTGAACAGCACACACGCACACATGGTAGCGCTGTAGGACCATACAGTGTCCAGAGTGTTGCGCGGCAGTTGTACGCACAATCTTTATACGCCTGATTCGTTGGTGTGAATACCTGTGGCTGACGATCCGTTAGGAGGAGGGACTTGGGTGGAGCTGGGGGTAGACGCCGACTCGGGCTGCTTCTCCATGATGTATCCAGTCCCACGGTCGACCAGGCCTTTGTAGTAGTCTACAAGAACTTCCGGCTTGGGAACTATCCGCCAGTCCAGCTTCCTCAAAAACTCGAGCTCCAGCAGCGCCAACTCACGAACGCTGACTCCACCGACTCTTGCATACAGACTATTTGTCCAAAAGCTATCACTGAGGCCCTTGGCTGCAACCGTCGCAGCTGTTATAAGAAACCGATGTACAGTCAGGCTGCTTATTGTGAAGGCGGGGTACATGGCGCATAGTTTGTCGACGTAGAAGACCATGGAGAGGAGAATCGGCGGAGATAGGGTCGCGTGCACAATGAGGCGGGAGAGATAGTCGCGGACGGATATGCCAGGGGGTGCTCTGTGAAAAAAAGGGGGGGTAAGCAAGAGTTGCCTCAATCAATCGTGGGTAAAACACACCTTGAATGGAACCTTGTCAAAGTACCGTCCCGCAATGGATAGCCATCATTCAGGCGCACCAGCTCCATGAGCATGTCGGAGATAAGCATACCAAGGTCCTTGACGTCGCAAGTCTCGTACTGAAGGGGCATTACTTTGAGATTGGGTTCCTCAGGACGGGCTCTTTTGGCTGGCGATTCAGGCACGCGCAAGACGGTGCTTGCATCTGGTGCAATGGACCCAGGCTCTACCGCAGGGGGCATACCATCGCGCGACGCGGGGCGAGCGGAGACCAAGGCATTGCGTGCGGGCGCAGCAGACTGCGGAGATTCCCGCAGCTGAGGCTCTGGAGGCTCCGTGACTGCGGGCGCGGCGGGGGCGGTGCCCCGCTGTGTGGGCGGGATTGCAGGTGCACTTTGCGAGTCTGTTGCAGGAGCAGTAGCGTTGGTTATGGTGTGGTGGTCCTCGGTGGAGGCGATGGTGGTGATGGCGGTACTGGTGGCCGGCTCGGTGAGAGTTTGGGCGTGGGTGTCAATGGTGGGCGGCGGGCGGTAGGTGGGGGGAAACCCTGGCGGGGTGTACTGGGTGCCGTGGTCCGCGTAGCTTCTCTTGCGGCTCTGAGGTGAGGGCGCAAAGGCTGGTACGGGAGAGGGTTGGCAGCAGGTGGGCTTTGGGGTTTGCGGCGCGTCGAATCGCCGCTGTGCTGGGTTGGTCAGGGCGAGGCGGGGGGAGTGTGTGGTCGAGGAGATGGAGGTGCGTCGCGAGGCATGCTGGTAGGGGCGGTGGGCGGGGGTGTGAAAGGTAGTGTTGGGCGAGGGAGGTTGCGAGATGGTGGGCGAGGATGTGATCATGTCTGAGTTGTAGCGGGTAGCGGGTAGCGGGATGCTAGGGTGGAGGAAGACGACAAGAACGGGCAACTGCTGTGCGCATCATAGCCGGGCCCTGTTGAGATAGGAGGGTATTTTTGGCGGAAAACGTGGAGAAGAAAAAGGGGACCGCAGGGCCAGCGCAAGGCAGAGACAGAGGCAAAGGCTTGATGCGGCATGCCAGACGAGAAGGTAGCAATGCCGCTCCTGTGAGGCCTGGCTTGGCTGGCGTTCAGGCGATAGCTGGGGCGCACGTGTGACGTCTGGGGACTTTAGTAGGCTGCCCGTCTGAGGCCTGGCAACCATGGCTTGACAGGCCGAATGCGGCGCCCCCATTTGGTTGCGTTGCAGTCAGTCGAGCTGGCTAGCATGTTGCCGAACAAGAAAGTAATTCTCACCGCATGTCTTGGGATGTGCTCGTCCGTCAATTGGCCACGGAGCAGCGTGTTGCCCAATGATACGAGCCTGGGCCGTACCTGCGACATGGAGGGAACATGTCCAGGCCAAAATTTCCGGAAGATGACGACTGTTTGTTAGCTGCCGCTGCCCCTAGCTCCGACTGTGGGCTAGAGAATTTGCTCCCAGCTAGTCATGCTCGCCTCGATGCCACCGACAACCATTTGCCCATGCGCCTGTGTGGCGTTTTTTCTCTTCTCGCTGCTGCTGCTGCTGTTCCACAGGGACCTAGCCGGCTCACTTGCACTTGCGTGTGCCTCGTCGCAGCGGGTGCGGGCGTGAACATCTCCACAACTGCTTACTTGGTTAGTAAGTGCATGGCAGGAGTAGGAACCAAGGCCATGTGTGGTATGCGATTAGATAATCGCTTGTGCCACGGTCGTTCCTGCCCTGCGATAAGATGCTGGCTAGCCCCGCCCAGCCCACGCTAGCCCGTGTGTAGCCGGAGCACGTTGCCCATTCTCCCCTCCTCACTCGACAACCACCTCGCACGCCTGTCCGAACGGGCTACCTCGCTCTCAGAAGGCCCGATCGCCCTCTCTCCCGACACTCACACACGGTTGTGGCAACGGCGACATACATACTCTACATACTACTCTACATACTACTCTACATATTTACGCCCTGCTCTAGTCAACTTTTACATAACTACTTACTATCAATCCTACGTCTCTTACTCTACACTTGACCCCTCTTTGCCGCACTTCCCGATCCAACACACACACTCACTCACACACATCACGGGCTGCTGCGGGCGGGAGCATGGTAGCCTGTCTACCCAGCCAATCACTTCGCTTGGCCGCTGTCGTGATCTACCCATGCTCCTCGCTAACATGCAGTGCTTTCCCCGTAGTAACCTCCTTGTCCTCCATTCCCCCGTTTCCTATTGCAAATGCCATGCTTACGTAAATGCCACCCAAGGGCAGGAGTCATGTCTCGGCACTAGCTATGCCTGAATGCCCGAATGCCCAGGCAGATGGCCTTGCTATTACCTACTATACACAACACTTTCCTACATCACCGACCCACCCGTCTCCACCCACGTCAATTACAAACACATCACCCGCAACCGCTTCTCTTCTTTCCTTGTAAAATCTCAATTGTCACATGGCTGCACTAACTAACGCCGCTTATCTGCCTCCTTTACCCTGAAATGCTGGTATCGCATAGTTCGCATGCAAAAAAAAACAATACAAATAACCGCTCCCTTTTCTTCACAACCTTCCATTATCCCTTCATGTCCTCTTGACATGCTCCGGTGCCTCGAGCTCGGCTGAAAAGCCCTGCTGCCCGATTGGCGGACTATGTAGCTCTGCTGGTGCCGGTTGTGTGCTCATGTGCGCATACTTCAATTGGTCGAGTCTAATTGAGAAAGAAAAAAACCCCGAGTGTCAGCATGCATCTACAATCACAGATTTAGTTTCATGACTTACTGCGCCTGGCTCATGCCGCTCGTACTGCTCATCATGCTCAAGTGTCCTTGGTGCGGTATCGGGCTAGTCCATCCACCCGGGTGCGCGTCTCCCACACCGTGTTGGCCATATTGGGGCGGCGAGCCATATCCAAGATCGCCGAGATGGCCTGGCGGCGGCGTAGCATATCCAGGCCGGGCCGGTGCGAAGCCCGGCGACGCAAGTCCTCCATCACCATACCTCGCCCCAGCTCCACCGTATTGGCTCATGTGTGGATCCACATTGTTCGTCGCATTATGGCGTTTGATTGTGTTCTTCAGCGAGTTGGACCGTCCAACAAAGAAGAATAGAGCTGCGCACAGGGCCACGAAAGCAACACCACCTACCGCTATGCCCGCAATGGCCCCGGTCGACAGTTTGTGGCTGCCACTGTTTCCATTGCTAGCTGGTGTAGACGTTGCCGACGACGTGGCCTCGGCGGGGATTGGCTCACCAGGCGCTATTTGGAAGTCTGCTGCAGCCGCAGCCTGTACCTGTGATGCCAATGTCTGTGTCGAATTGGGGTTGATGACGCCGACCATATGCTCTCCAATACAGCTATTTGGTGCCGCACAGTAGTAGAATATGGGTTCTGTTGAGTTGATGGTGATGTTGAAGTATGTAATCTACCAAAGTGTTAGCCCTTCTTGAACGACTTCGCATATCTCAAAGAGACAAACCTGGCTTGTGTCATTGACCCATTGCGTTTCAGACCAGAAGCCTACTTTGCCCTTTCCCGTCTCCTCATAGGGTACACATGCTGAACCAAACTCTGCTCTTGCAACTGAGTGATCAGGCGGGTAGAATTCCCAGCTTACAATATCTCCGACTGATACATTATGAATTTCTTGCGGCGTGAACTTGAAGCCTCCCGCGCCGGCTTTGATCAGGTGCACCGTTGGTTCTCTTGACGGTGTTGATTGTGATGGTGCATTTGATGCAGTCGGTGTTGGTTGTGGTAGTACTGACGATACACCCCCTAGTATAGACGTGAGTGTACTCTGGTATTGTGCTACAGCTGGAGAAACGAGCAGTTGACTAGCAACAACTGCCAGCCTTGCGGTGGATGTGAGCCTCATTTTGAGGGATTATATATTAGCCCGACGGATACAAGTATCAAAGTACCTCAGGGGTTCCGTTTCTAGTTGTAGGCCTGATTTCAAAAGACCAATCGCACTCGACTCGCGCTCCTGGCCGTTAGTAGTAAAGCAATATATTTTTCAGAAGAGTAACAAGGTCAAAAAACGAGGTACGAGAGGGGTGGGGGAACAATGGGAAAGTAGCCTATACGGCTGAGCTCAACCTTAAGGCACGATCCTACCCATCTAGCCCTAGATCCATCACACCAACATCAGCCTTCCAGCCACATTATGGGTACTAGTCAAGGCAATAGGTCAGCGCTTTAGGGCCACCACCCTAAGCACTCTTTGTTGTCCACACGTCACCAATCATGACCTCCCTTGGTGGTAATCTTGCAGCATTGCCCTTGCCCAGAGCTGTTCGAGGCGCCTTTGAGGCGTGCAGTAACGGCAGGACATGCTGGCCGGCAACAGCAGGGCTCTCCGTCAGCTGTCAGCAACACACAGGAAGGATGCTTGAAGTGGAGGGTGAACATGTGTAAATGTGGGGAGTTGGTGAGGCTAGGCTAAGAGCTATTTCCGGATCCCCTCCCCACCCATTACTACGAGCTGTGCAGATATTTTGAGAACCTCATTTCTTATTCCTTATTCTACTTTCTAGGGATCCCGAGCATGTGGCACGACAATGCCCTCGAACAGGGTTTGCCCACAACCCGCACTTGTCTCTCTGCAAGCCAGAATGGGGGAGAAGGCCTGGGCGGGTTGTGGCTGTCCTGCCGCCCGAGTAGGCTGTCCCTACTTTCGCGTGAGTTGGGTTAGTGGAGCGAGCTGAGTTGTCGTCAAGGAATGAGCGTTAAGGATTTTGAGCCGCCAACACTGAGTAAGCCTAGTCCAACTTTAATCCGCGCCAAGGAAGGTGGATCTATCGCCTTGGCGCATCGGGCGGGCTGAGCCCAGCATCGTACTCTAGGATAGCGCTGCGACGCGTGTGTATTTATGTATACTCCGTGAGGACCGAGACAGTGGTTGAAAGAGTACGCGAAAGCGGAGAGAGCAGGTGTAGGGGTGTGACAGGTCATGCTTAATGATCAGCAAGCGAAGCCCACGCCACAGGGTCTAAACAAGAGTTTGTACCAAGATTGTCCATCTTATCAACCAACATGTGAGGCTCGGCAGTTGAATGAGGCGGTGAAGTGCATGCTGGCGCCTTGCTCATAAGGTCCAACTATCAGCTGAATGCTTGCTTTCTACAGGCTAGTATAGTGCAATATGTTTACTCAAGAATGAAATATCGAGCTCAGTTCCATGATACAAATGATACAAATGAATTGGTGTTGGGTATGCCAGACGTACGACAGCATCCTATGAGAGAAATCAAACGCCATGCCATGCAGAGAACAAAGACAAATCCCGAGCAGCGCCATCCACCGATCAAGCACCGCCTGCTTACGAAGACGGTCTTTTCATAGGACTTCTGGTCCCTGAAGTCTTGGGACTTACGGCGAACAGACCAACCGCTGGCATCTTAGGGCTTTTCAGTGCATTGGCCGCGTTTTCTTGTCTGCCGCCGGGCTCGAATCTCTTCGAATCGTAAGGCGCCCTTGGCAGGGGTGAGCTCTGCAGTCCCATAGATGTGGTCTGCGGTCCCTCGTCAGTACGACTTGATATATCATTCATCTCTTCGAACTCTCTCTTCTTCTCCAAAAGCAGTTCCTGCACTTCCTCCAAATGCTGCTCCAACATATCATCTAGTGTGTCCTGAGATGACTTTATCAGATTTCCGAGCTTCTTGCGCATCTTACGTTGGCGGCTCGGGTCCCAAACGAAGTGGCTATTCTTTACAAATATCATTGAATGCTGCAATTGTCAGACAGGACATAGCCTCGAGGTTGAGTGTTGCTCACCGAGTGGTACCAACTAGAGATGGTATCGTCCGTCGCTCGCTTTATCGACTGAATCGTGGTTTCAGCCACGAAACCGATAAGACATTCGACCGGACTATCGGGATCGGTGCAGTTTTCTACAGACTCAGCGGCTGAAATCTTAATACTATGAAGTAAAGCTTACCGTTGTGGCTAAGTAAATCTACAAGTCCTAGATAGGCATCACCGACGCCCATTAGGAAGACTTGTGTTGCTTCATTAGGCCTAGACTTACGTTAGCAGATACCCAAAACAGTCATGTGGCTGATTTACTCGATATAGTTCTCCCATAGATAGCTCGCGAGCTCACGCGTTTGTTGTGCACGAATCACTGAGTTGTCTGATTTTGTGAAACCAATGTTCGGCTAGCTTACGTTAGCAGACTTTGATACTTGAAGATTTTCGGCAACTCACATCCTCAACCGCTACTACTCTGGGAATATTCACGTCAATGACCTGGAAGTCATTTTTGATGGCCCAATCAATGTACCTCTTGGTAACATCAGTCTTCAGTCCAAAGTCAGCCATTACACAGTACAAGACTGTCGTCGTACTTACGAGCCATGTGTTGTGTAGCTCTCTCCTGCCAGACATGGGATCAGAGTGATCTTGGAGACTCGGTGGGTCATGGAATATCACAAGTAGGGGATATTGCTCCATGAACTTTGGTCTATCATAGGTAAGCATAAACATTTATGAAGATCGTACAGCACTTACGTAGCGATGATGTTGTGCTCAAACGTCTGTGCCAAGCCTGCTTTGTTGATCTGAAGTGGAGGAAGGGGAACCATCGAGTGCTCTGCAGCTAGACGTTGACTCTGCCATTCTCGGATGATTTCGTGAAACCGGTACGCATCCTGGTATCCAGGGTCTGTTTTATCCAGGTGTTTCGGATAAAGTGACTTCCAATACTTTGAATGCTGACGTTTGACGTTCTCTACAATGTATACAGCGCTGTCCTTTGGCGCTGGAAGGTCATCACGCAAACGATCCGGAGGCTCAAGCATGAGCACTTTGGTTACCGCTAGCGCAGAGCGTGCAATCGACCGCAGATTATAACCACCTTCGAGACATACAACCAGCTTTCCCTTGGCTAGGCTCATGAGCATATGGGTCATGTGACCATAGCATGCAGGCGTAACAAAACACCCACCCAATAAGTCGCCCTCGGCTGCATCAAACCCAGCCGAAATGATGACAAGATCGGGGTTAAATTCCGTAGCGATCGGCATAACGACTTGCTGGAAAGCGTAAAGGTATTCTGAATCGCCCATCCCATGTTCTGCCCATGGAATGTTCACATTCTTTCCTTCGCCACGGCCTTCACCGCAATAGTCAAGATTGCCGTCAGGTAGATTGGGATAAAAGGTTCCGTCCTTGAAAACATGTAGCGATATGTAAAGGACGTTGGGGTCATCGTAGAACGCATGCTGAATGCCGTTACCGTGGTGTACATCCCAGTCCAAAATCAAGACTTTGCGGCAAGTTTCTGGATAAGCATTCTGACACACGCGGGTAGCAATTGGAACGTTGTTGAAGATGCAGAATCCTGACGGTTGATCGCTTTCCGCATGGTGTCCAGGAGGGCGGATGATAGCAATGGCGTTGCGCACAGCTCCCTGTACTACCGCTTTACAAGCTTCAATAGCACCACCAGCTGCGAGCTTCGCGCATTCATAAGTCGAATTGTTGAGATAGATTGAATCAAGCCGCTCAGCTTCAAACTTCAACTCATCGGAGGTCATATCTGGCCAAACAGTTAATTATAGTTCAACCAGACCGAGGATAGTCATAACTTACTTTGGAAGGACTCCACAAGGTCGTAATGTTCTTCAGTATGAATGAGCAGTATCTCAGGTCTTGTGGCAAATCGGGCCGCAATCCTCCAACAGTGATCTTCTTTGTCTTCTTCCGAAGTGCTGGAAGCCACTAGTCCAGCTTGCTTGAGCTCCTCAAAAATCGAATGGATACGCCGAGGGTCTTCAGGATGGATGTCGTCTGGATTGATGTTCATATCTGGGAGTTCGGCATGAAACCGCATGCGAGGGTCATAAACGAGTCCCGTTTTTGATGTTGGGTAAACAAGTGTAGAGCGTGGCTTAGGAGGTACGCGGACTTGTGGGCTGGAATGTTGAGCTGGAGTCAGTCTTGATGCATTCATCTTATCTGACCAGCTACTAGGCGATTTGGTCATTCGGTGGGACCCGGGATTACTTCGATGTACATTCGGCTGCAACATTGGACCTTTGGATGGACTGTGGAAGGGTAGTTGCTCTTGTTTGGACAGCAGCGGGCCCTTGCTATTGCCAAAGATTTTAGAAGGAATGACCGTTTCAGGTGCATGGTCACCGTTAGGCTCTGTGGAGATAATTATTGAGTCTTCCCCCATCGGGAAGTCTTCGTCATCCATGACTTGATTTGATGGATGGCGGAGCGGGCTAGTAAGCCTCGCTTCACACTTGCGGGCCGGCGGCTAGGTAGATGCGTTAGTATAGAAATTATACTAAACAAATGACTGCATGAGCTGATGGAGGTTGTGGGATGGTTTGAACAAGAATTTTCGAAGAAATAATGAGAGTCTTGGTCCTTTTTAATATCGTATTTAGACAAGGAAACTGAGACATTTTCCAGGAGACTCAAGACAGTAGCTCGAGAAGTGAGTCAAGACGTATAGCGCTAGTCCTGTCTCTCTGGAACCAGTAGTTGGAAGAAGTGGGATGAAGTAAAAGAGATGCTATGATGCTCAAGAAACGAATACTCACTAGAAGATCTTGCTACCGCATCGAGCTAGAGGCTGCAGCCCACTGTACGGTAAAGTTGCTAAAAGTGTTGGTTTCGTAGCAGTTATCGCTTTTGATAGGTGGCGTCTGCAAAACTGTTAGTAAAGTTGATTTGCCGCTGCAGCTCTTGATGGCTGATAATCGTATCGCGTTCAAAGTCGAGCGAGACTCGGGAGCTTCGTATACCAATTTCTGTCTCCGAATAAAACGTCAATATAGCTGCAACTATCGCAAGTAATACATCAGTTGACTGCAGCTTTCTAGAGCCAGGATTGGGTGATGTCGTTTTTGATAGTAG